CAGGGCCCGGAGGCCCCAGAACGTGCAGCGCCCAGCCTCACGCCCTGCCTGCAGGCCGCCGAGGCGCACGAGCCCCCGGAGGCCAAGGGCTGCTCGTGAGTAACCCGGGCACGGGGGGCCGGGGTCCTCAGGTGGGTGCCCGGCACACAGTGGGGCCCTCGCCCCCCCAGCCCTCCAACAATGGGGTCCCCTCGCTGGGCCGGCAGGCCTCGGAGGGCCGGCTGGGAAGCCTGGGGCCGCGACAGTGTGCGGGCCGGGACCCGCGGGCAGTTCAGAGAACTCCCGAAGCGGGAGAAGCCAGCAGGAGCCGGGGCCTCCGCAGACACCACACCCCTCGGTGCTCGCCTGGCGGACCAGGCCCCTCGCGTCCCGGGCGGCCCGCAGCGGGGCTCAGGGAAGGACCTCCCTTCCCCGGGGCCAGCCCTGCGTCCCGCAGCCCCGGGAGACCCGAGGGACTCTCACCCGCATCGGACAAAACCGCGGGCGGCGTGCGGGCTCTGGGGACCCGCCGCGAGCCCCGGGACTCCGCCGCAGCCCGCCCGGGGGGCGCGAGGACACCCGCCCGGAGCGGGGGGGCTGGACAGGTCCGTCTGCGCCGCGCGGATTCAGCACCGCGGCCCGGACAGCGCCCCGGCAGGGGCGCCCGAACCCCGCGTCGGGCCAACGCCGCTCCCGCCGCGCCCCGCGCGCCCCCCGCGCCCCCCGGCGCCGCGGCCTTACGCTGCATGGCGGCTCCAGCCCCGGCGGGGTATCCGCGCGCAGCGCCCGCCGGCCCCGCCGTCCGGCCCCGCCGTCCGGCCCCGCGAGCTGAGCTGTCCTCCCTCCGCGCCGCCTCCGCCCTCCGCCCCTTCCCGGCCGCGCGGCCAACGCCTCCCAGCAGCCGCGGGGAAATAAATAAATAAGTCGGGGCGGATGGGACCCCACAAGCTGCCCCTTCCCCACGCTCTGTCCCTCCCCCTGCCCTCCCGGCGGCCCCTGACGCCATCCCCGTGGGGAGGCGCGCGCGGCCGCGGAGAGCGCCCCGTCCTGGAGCCGGGCCGGGCCGGTGGGGCTCCCTGCGGGGCGTGCGCAGGCCGGGCCGCGCGGCCAGGGCAGCAGGCGCGTGCGGAGCCGGAGGCCAGAGCCGGGCGGCGGGCGGAGGACCCGCTCCCGCCGCCCCCGGGCAGGGTCTCCTCCCCGAAGGTGCGCGGCCCCCTGGGACGCCCGCCGGGGCCCCGGGCGCAGGGCTGTGCCGGGCGGGGAGCGGCCTCCGACGCTGGCGGGACCCGAGCGCTCCCCGGCCCGAGCGCTGCGCCAGGACCCGCGCCGGACCGCACGCGCCGCGCCAACTGGCCGCGGGGCCGGACGAGCCGGGGCCGCGGGACGAGCTTCGCCGCCGGGTGGCCGGGACGGGGGACGGGAGGACCCGGGGCCGCGGGGACCCGCCCTCCCGGGGGCCGCGCGGCCGGCACCCACCTCGGCGCAGGTCCTCCCTCCGCGCGAGCAGGGCCAGCAGCAGGTCGCCACCTGCCGGCTCCCGGGCGGGGCCCAGCTCCGCGCGCGCCTCCATGGGTCCCGCCGGGGCGGCCGCGGCGCTCGGCCCCGAACTTTCCCAGGGCCCGGTGAGGCCACCGCGGTGGCCCCGGGTCGCGTCCGAGCGCCGCGGTGGAGCTGGGCGCCGCGCCCGCCCGCCTCCCGGGGCCCCAGCTCGGCCGGCGCGCGGAGGGCGGAGCGGCGGGGGGCGGGGCGCGGCGCGGGGCGGGGCGGGGCCGGGGGTCGCCGGGCGCCGGGGCAGCAGCCGCCGACTCCGCGCGCCCGGGCGCTGGCACCCTCGGTGCCCCGACGTGGTCGGCAGCGCCGGGCTCGGAGGCGGGACCGGCCGGGGGGGCCTGGTCCGGGCTGCCGCCGGCCGAGGCCCGGGCGCGGCGTCGTGGGGGCGGGGAAGAGGCCGGGGAGGGAGCGGGCCCCGCCGCGCCCGGGCTCCGACGGGGGCAGGGGCTGGGAGGCTGCGCGTGCGGGGCTGTCCGCCTCCGCGAGGAGCCCCAGGGAGGGCGGCGAGGGCCCCAGACCAGGGCAGACCCGGCTCCCGCCGCTGCGGGGCCTGCGCTTGCGACCGGAGCCCCGGGGGGCGGGTGCCGGCGAGGCGGGCGATTCCTGGGAGGGACACCCAGTGCCCTCAGCCGGACCCGGACCCGCCGCCCGGACTCCGGGCGGCTGAGAGCCGGGGCGCCCGGGGACCGGCCTCAGTCCCTTGCCCAGCGTGGCGGCAGCCCCGCCGCCCGCTCTCCCGCGGTCCTGTGGAAGCAGGGGCGCGCGGGCCTCCGGCGGGCAGAGACCTCCGGCTGCCGGCGGCTGCTTCGCCTGCGCGGAGGACACAGCGCCGGCCGCTCGGGACGCAGCCCCTTGGGGGCGGGGGGCGGGGCGGGGCAGGGGGCCCTGGCGGCAAGCAGGAACCCCCAGAAGTGCGGGGGGAGCCGGCAGGGCTGCCGTGCCGGCCTCTGCTCCGTGCAAAGTAACTCGGGGTCAGGCCCTGCCGGCCGGGCGGACGGCGGGAGAAGCGCAGCCCCACGGCTTCCCGCAAAGGTCTCCGCCGGTGCCGGCGCCGCGCGCCTCCGCGCACACAGACCTCCTGCCCCGGGGCGGCGGGGGACGCCGCGTGGGCGCCGAGGGCAGCTGCTGCAGGGCTCCCCGCGGGCCTGGGCGGCGGCGAGCGTGCCTGCTGGACTGCCAACAATGCCCCCATTATTTCCCAACGTCCGCGGCCATCGGATGGCCCTTGGGAAGGGCGGGTCGGGCGGGAGCCCGCCTCCAAGGTGGCCGGTGGGGGCGGCCAGGGCTGAGGGGTGTGTCTGGAGGGCCCCCCGCGAGGCCCCTGTTCTGGGCTCTCGGCCGCCGGCCACCCACCGGGAGGAGGGCGGGCCGGGCCGCACCGGCAGGGGGCCCAGGCCTCCCCTCGCCCCTGAACTCTGGAGTCCGAGAGACCTGCCGCCCCCTCCCCGCCCCAGGGCACCGCCTCAGCCGCTGCACTTCGTCCTCTCTGCCCCCAGGGCACCCTGCTGGCCCCTGGGCTCGCCTCCGCTGCCCCGGCCTCGGCCTCTTCTCCCCTCGGCGGTCTCCTGCCGGCTGCGGTGGCCACGCACCAGGACTCTTACCCCGAGTCCCGCCAAAGGGGCACAGGGCCGCGGCCACGGGGCCCGGGGCCGATCTCGGTCGCGCTCAAGCTCCGTTTCCAGCAGCATCGCCGCGCGGGGCCGGGGCCGGGGCTGGCCCTGGAGGCCGGCCTGGGCCCTGGTGGCCTGGACCCCGCTGGCCTGGACCCCGCTGGCCTGGACCCCGCTGGCCTGGGCCCTGGTGGCCCCGCCGCGGTCCTTCCGCTCCCGGGGGGCTCCCGGCGCCTGGTCCGGGGGCGCCGCGCTGCGCGCTGTCCGCGGTGCTGAAGGAGGCGCGGGGCGCCCACCTCGCCCACTGCCGCCGCCCCCGCCCGCCGCCGCGCGCCTCTGCACCTCCCGGGCACCTCGCAACCGTCCCACACCCCGCCCCGCCCCGCCCCGCCCCCCATCCCCGCGGAGGGCGGAGGGAGCGAGGTGGAGGCTCCACCCTGATCTCCGGCGCCCTGAGGCGTGGGATTCGCAGCAAGCGGGCGCTGGTCCTCTGAACAGCAGCACCCAGGGGCCCTGGCGGGGGACCCGCGTCCCTTGGCCTCCAGCTCGGCCTCCGCGGAGGCCACCAACTATCACCGCAGCCTGAGGCCCTGCCCGCTTCCCACCTCCCTGCGCCCGGCACGCAACTTCCCCCAGGTCTCAGGTGCCCCTGCCCCGGCAGCACCCCTAAGGGCCTCGAGAGCTAGACAGTGGGCGACAGCTAGACGGTGGGCAGTGCCACCTCACATGCGGCCTGGGGGGTGTCCCTGCCCCCGGCGGTGCCTGTCGGCCTCTGCAGCGCCGGCTGGGGGGCCACGGGAACCCTGGCCGCCAGGCTCCCGCCCAAGTCACATGCGCGGCTACGGGAGAGCCCCCCAACAATGTGGGGGGCAGAAGAAATCAAATAAGTTCAGAATCTGAGACGACAAGGTGTCAGGCAAAGCCCGGGGAACGCTGGGGACAAAAGCTGGGGTGTCCGTGCCCGGGGCAGCGGAGCAGCGTGGGCCGGGGCCCGGTAGGGCCTTCGTCAGAGGCCGCCACGGCCACTCGGGGCCCACGCGCAGGCGCGGGCGGCGGCGGCAGCTCAGCCCAGGGTCATCCATAATTGAGTTCCCGCTCCGGCCCAGCCGGCCCGCTGGCTGTCCCCGACTCTGCTTCTCCTCGAGAGATCTAGAATTTCAGGGTCAAGCCCACAGAACGCGCCAGGGAAGGGCGCGCTGACGCCCGCGGGCCAGCCGGGGAGACGAGCTCGCGGTTCCCAAAGAACAACTCTTTTCCCAAACGTCGGATTTCTTTATTTTTAAAATGTGCAATTATAGTTCACTTAAATACAAAATGTCCCGGTTTCTTGCAAGTAAGAAATTTCACATTTACATGTCAGCTTCTTTTTAATCAAATTTCTCCCGTTAAAAATAAATAAACATTTAAATTACCAAACTATTATATTCCTCCGTCTCGACACCTCTTGAAACACAGCTCCCGGAAACAGAGCCGACACCAGCCGGGCCCCCGCGCGCCCACCCAGCGGCCGACCCCACCCGCACCACCACGCGCCAGCCGCCCCGACGCGCACCACCCCCACCCCGCGCGGAGGAGAAAGGCCCCGAGGGCCCGAGCTGCGGGGACAGAGCCGCGGGCTCTTCTGGCTGGAGGAACGCGGTGTCTTCAGCAACCCAGGCCCGCAACGAGCCGTGAGGACGAGCGCGTGCTCTTGTTTCTACAACACGAGCTTCTGGGCATTGAAAAGGCCCGGTAAGGGGACACTCCAGCGGCAGAAACGCAGGCCCCAGCGCCCCCAGCCCGGCCTCCCCAGACCTGGCTGCCCGCCCGGCCCCTCACCCTCCGGCCACTGAAGGGTGGCGGCGGCTGGCGGCCGTTCAAGGGGCCGACGGGGGCCCCTCCCGGCGGCAGCAGGAGCACGACGGGGCCTGCGAGCGCGACACGCGGCCCCCGCAGCCAGCAACTCGCGCGTGAAAGTGGAGCGGGAAGCACGCCCGACAGCCGCCACAGCCACACGCCGTGCCCATGGACACACGGGCACATGCACCATTACACACGGCACATGCACACGGACACACACGCTGCCACACACACAGGCATACGCGCGCCCCGGGGCTGGTGCGGCTGGAGGCCACAGAGGGGCTCCGTGTGAACGCGCCAGGCGGGGTTCGTCTGCCCTGGAGCTGGAAGTGAGCACGCAGTGACCGCATCAGGTGTCCGCCTCACACTGCTCCCGGGCCCGGCGCTGCCCACGGGGTGCACACCCACCCACCTACCAGAGCCCGGAGGACGGCGCCAGGACGGGTACCCTGCCCCCAGACCGAGCAACAAACAAAGGCACGAAGCAGCCCAGTCCGAGCCAGGCCCCCGAGGGGGCAGCGTCCAGGCCATGGAGGCGCCGCGATGGGGGAGGCCTGGCCGTTTGGCGGACGCCCCCCCAGCTCAGACCCGCGGGAGCGGCAGGGGGCCCGCTGGGAAGGGCACCACGAGTGGCCGGAACGCGGCGTGTGGCGTGCCGGGTGTTTGGGGCAGACGAGCGTTTGCACAGGAGGACGTGGAAGGAGCAGGTGCCGTGGGGTGGGGGCAGCCTGAGGCCGCGAAGGCCGGCTCTGGTCACAGCGGCGAGCGGGGCCTGGCTAGGCGCCGGGGCCAGGGGCGCTACACGGCCGGGTGGTGATGCCGGGTCTTCCACCGCTTGGATCGCACTCGGAAGAAAAAGTACATGACCATGAGGAACAGGGAGGAGGCCGCGTAGAGCAGCACGCACAGGCTCATGTCCAGGCTGGAGAAGCCAGACCCCAGCACGGGCACGGCCGCCTCCGCCTCCCCGCGGCCTGCGGGCCCGGCCAGCCTGAGCGGGGGCCCGGGGGACAGCAGGCTGGGCGGGCGCAGGCTCTCGGCACCCGGGCCCCCACGGGGCCTCGCCGGGGAGGCGCGGTCTTGTCCTTGCGCCTCAGTCTCAGCCGGGCTGCCCCCTGGGCCGGCGTTGCCCAGGCCCACAGCATGCGTGTGGACGAGGTTGTCGCCGCCGTAGTGCCGCTTCAGGAACAGGAGCACCTGGTCTTCATGCCAGCTGTCCAGGCCCTTGACTTCCTCGTGGCAGGCCGGGCAGAGGTCCGGGGTTGGCCACGGCACCTTTGGGAACTTGGGGTCCTCACTCAGGTGGCCTGGGGGGCAGAGGAGTAGGGTGGTGGCAGGAACACCCGTGGGTCCCCAGAGCCAGCTGTCCTGCTGCTCCCCGCCTTCCCACACAGGCGCCTGCCTCTCTCCAGCTGCTGGTCAGGTCCATGCCCACTGCAAAGAACAGCGACCCACGCGGCCGCCGGGCCACTCAAGTGACCAAGTCTGGCTCCATCCACCCAGTGACACTGGCCCCCGCCGAGCTCTCCCCGCTGGGCCTCCGGCCCCATGACTCTGCCTTCTCCTCGGGCGCGGGCCCGGCCCCACACAGTCCGGGGGCACCCCCCCCAACACTGCAGGCCCTGGCTGCGCTGGCCCTTCTCAAGCCCTAAGGCCCGAGGCGCCACCCCTGTTCCCCGCGCCCCCTGGAGATGGATGTGATGCCAGCTCCCAGACGCGGGTCCTCGCTGGCCACTGCCCCTCAGCAGTCATGAGGCTGCCTGCCCCTCGCCCTCCCAGCGCCCCCTCCCTCTGCGCCTGCGCTGCGGCCACCCCCACAGCCGTCCCATGGCCGCACGGCCGTCAGCGCCGAGCATGAGAAAAACCAATTCTCTTTAGCGCTCTGCTGTGATACGCTTTCTTAATGCGGTGGATTAAATAAAACCCAACAGTTTACTGCATTTTCTACTCATCTCTGTGAAGGTTTCTTCCTCGGTGGAATTATTTTTAAGCCTAATTTTAACCAGCTGCTGCCTCAGGAGCAGTTGGAATCACTTAACTCTGATGAAACGTGCCCGGCCCGGGGAACCGAACCAGCGCAGCCCACTCGCGGCGTCCAGGCAGGCGTTAGCGACGCGAAGGCCACACTCACACCAGCTGTGCCAGCTGCCCTGTCAGACATGCTGGGGCCGAGGGGCACCCCTGGGTGAGGGGCAGGACACGGGCTGACATCCGCCGCCAGGCCCCGCCCCGGACTCCGGCCTCACCACCCATGCCCTGCGCCCTGCGCCCTGCGCCCGCCAAGACCCCGGCTGCCGCTCACCTGCCAGGCGGTGGTTCACCAGGTTATGCTTCCTCCAGAGCCAGAGAACTGCCTGGTCTGCAGTTTTCACAGAGCCCAAGGACTCGGCAGCCATCTCCTCGAAGTGCTCGGCGCACTCCTTGCAGCCAAAGAAGGTGCGCACGTAGGCCCTGATGGCCTGCAGCACCGCCTGGGGGTCGCCCTCCAGCCCTGCAGAGAAGGCAGCAAGGGCAGGTGCCGGCAGGGCCAGGCCGGGCGCCGGTGCGCCCCGACACCTGCACTGCCTGGGGGCTGCCCGCTCCCGTCACACCATGCACACCCCGGGGAGGGCCCAGGACCCGCACCCCAGCCTGCCCACCAGCACCCGGGCCACAGGCCAGCACAGGAGCGCGCCCTGAGAGCGAGGGCTGTGGCAGGCATCCTTGCCACCCCACTGCCCTGGGGCTGGGTGCTGGAGCCACGGGCCACTCGGCCCTGACCACAGCCGCTTCATGCCCAGAGCCTCGCTGAGCACAAGACCGGGCGAGGCCACAGGCTAGGACGGCCCTGGCCTGGTCGCCAGCCAGCCTGCCGGTGACCTCCGCGCCAGGGCCACGACCATGGCTGCTGGCCAGCATCCTCTGGGCAGTGATGGCGCCCACAGCGCGGGCCTGCGCGCTCTGCGCTCTGCCGATGCCTCAGCGTGAGGACACGCACGCCCACCGCACGCAGCGCACGCCGCCAGCTGGCCGCCGGGCGTGGAGAAGCCGTTGGCGCGGTCACACCGGAGGTGCCCGGGCCTGGACCCAGCCGCCCGCCAGCCAGCCAGCACGGGGACGGCGCGGGCAACATGCCACGAGATTAGGGCAGATTAGGTGCCGGCTTTGAAAGAAACACAGCGAAGAAATGAGGGGGAAAAAAACATATCTGAGAATAATGTCTTAACCGAGCAGGCCTCAAGGTCCACGCCGGGTGTCCACCACGCAGAGTTGAGGGCAGCTGCCGCAAGGCGGCCCTGACCCGGCGCCTCCTGCCCCGGGGCCACGCCGACCGCTGGCTCCGAGGGGGAGGGGCGCTCCCCGCTCAGCACCGGTCCCGGCCAACGTCTCCCCCACGGGTAATCCACCCTCCCCTTCCCACCACCCTGCTGCACTCTGCGGGCGCCCTAATCTGTAAAGTGGAGCCCTAAGCCTCTACCTGCGGGGATTAGGGGCGCGGCAGCTTCCAGAGGCAGGTTTTAAAGGCGCGTGTGGCGCAGAAGCCCCGGAAGACGTAATCCGCGCCAGCTGACCCAGTTCTCCGGGCGGGAGCCGCTCCTGGAGGCCCGCCCCGGTGGGTCAGGGCCGAGCCCGTTGCAGTGGGCCCCCCGCGGGGACCCCCTTCCTCAGGGCAGAACACGTCCGCGGCTCCCGCTAAAGGTGGCCGGCCCGTCGGGAGGTGCTGTCGGCCCCGCAGTCTTGGCCCGGCTCGGGCGTCCCCTCAGCTGCACGCTGCGCGGGACTCTCAGGAGAGCAGGGTCAAGGGCCACCCCGCCCGGCCCGGCCCGGCCCCACACAGCTGGGCCAGGGCTGGAGCAGGTAGGCGGGGCTGCCCCAGTGCACATGCGGGCTGCGGCTCAGGCACCAGCTCCCCAAGGGCCGTGGCCGCCCACCCCAACCAGCGCCGCCTGCTTCTGAGTGGCCACGGCCAGGCGGCCCCCGCCCCACAGGCGTGCGTGGGCAGAGCCACTGGGTCTGAGGGTGGCCTGCCCAGGGCCCCGAGGCAGAGAGGCAGGGCTCGTGCCCCAGCACCCAGGGCCGTCCACACTGGGGCACCTCCGAGGATGCTCCCGCCCCCCAGCGAGTTCCCCAGGCCAGCACTGCTGCCCCGACAGGCGTACCTGTGCCGTCCAGGGCTTCCGGGTGGGCCGCAGCGTGGACAGTCAAGGTGTGGAACAGCTTCCAGAGAGAACACGTGTAGCCCCTCAGCTCGGGCCAACTGCCTTGACAGCCAACCCACTTGATCTGGCTGGCGAGGAATATTCCAGAGATCTAAAAGGAGAAAACAAAAAGTACTGATGGAAGACGCCACAGCCACCAGACAGCGGGAGGGCAGTTGGCGTCTGTCCAGAAGGCGACCCCTGTCTCGGGGCAGGAAGCAGGCGTGTCTGGCAGCGAGCACCGGAAGCAAGGATGCGCCCCCAGGCCCAGCCAGTAGGCTGTCCAAGCGCCATCCCGAGCTGGTGGGCACAGTTGTGGCCTCGGGTGAGTCAGAACCGGCCTGCGTGCCTGAGTGGCCTCAGCAAGGATGGGCTGCGTCTCAGCGCTGGCCTGAGAAGGGCCTCAACTCCCCTAGGCACAGGCCGGCGCGGCCGAGGACCCACTATGACAGAGGACCGGGCCCGGCACCAGCCCCCGCAGCTGCAGGTTCCCAGGGCCAGGGCTCCCGTGGGCCTCAGGGCACAGGGCTGTGCGAGGGTGTGGCTGCAGGACCGGGTGAGCGTGCTGACACCTGTCCTAAATTCTGGAAGGCCGCTCATGGGGGCAAGCCACGAGCATGAGCTGCAGCCCTGGAGGGCGTGGCTGATGTCCAGTGGGTGCGGGCAGGACCGGCCTGAAGGCCGGCGGGAGGAGCCCCTCACCCGCATCTTGTTGTTGACCAGGTCGAGGACGGCGTTGTAGGGGATCCTGTCCAGGGGCAGGCTGGTCAGCCACTCCCGCAGCATCTCCAGCAGCTTCCTGATGGGCGGCCGGCCGGGGAACAGCTGGGGAGGAAGGCCCCACAGTGAGCCCGGGGGCAACTCAGACACAGCGAGCCCCAGGGTGGGGCAGGCACCGCTGCCCACCCACGTGAGCGTCTGACCCAGGACCTGACCGCGAGCCGCCGCTTTCCAGCTCAGAGTTCAGAGCCGCCAGCCAGAGACCACCCAAGGCGCCGCAGACGGCTGCTGGAGAGCCAGCCTGCGCCCTCTCGGAAGGCCCGTCGGACTTGACAGCCACAGGAGACGAAGGCAGGCAGGCCCTTGCCCTCAGGACACCCCAGAGGCCCTGCTGTCCTCACCGGTCCTCCCGCTGCTGATCGTCAGGCAGAGGCCACAACCCTACCCTCGGCGAGTCCCGCTTCGGGTCAACACCCCATGCCCTGGACAGCCCCTGCCTGACAGCGTCGCCTCAGCCTTGGCCTGACACGCTGGGGGGTCTGCACCAAGCAGGCGGCCTCCGCGCCCCATGCTTCCCTGTGGCCCAGGCGGGTGGGCATCTGGGAGGCCTCTGGACAGCGCTAGGCCCCCTGCAGCCCGTGCCCCTCCCTCGGGCAGCACCCCCAGCGCGCGCACCTTGGCCAGGACAGTCACAAAATCCTTGAGTGCCTTTAGCTCAGCTCCGGCCAGGGACCGGTGGGCGGCCAGCTCCACGCGCAGGAGGTAGTGCAGGCCCGACTCGAGGTCCGCCGTGTATAGCTTCGACCTGCGCACAGTGTGTGAGTGAGGGGACCCCCGACATGGTCCGCACGCCCGCCAGGGCCCCGCCAGCTGCGTCCAGAGCACCTGCCTGTCAAATTCTCTCCACACCACAACTTCCGAAGATTCTTCTCTGTTTTGCTTTTCAGGTGACAAAAGCAATTTCTTCCTCACACCAGGCAATGACTTCAAATAGGAAGAAAAAAATGACCGGAGGGGCTTCCCGCTGCGAGAGGGGGCAGAGAAGGGCTCAGAGCCCGGAGGTCGCTGCCAGCAGGTGGGCAAGGCTGAGTCCTCGCCATGGGGGTTCCTCGGGGGCAGTCCCAGCCTCCCTGCTCCTGTAGCACCAGCTTGGGGCGCTCCAGCTCAGGGGCCACACGTGAGGCCCCCCAGCAGGCTACTGGCCAGCGGGGACAGTGAGAGGTCTTTGGGGCTGGCTGGGCACCCGTGGGCTCCAGCTCGATTTCCTGCGCTTCTGACCTGCCCGGGAGCCTGATGCACGCACGAGCTGCAGCCCACCAGCCCCGTGGTCCCAGACCCGCCCCACTCCACCCAAGTCTGGGGGCGGAGAGCTCCCAGGAGGCCTCGCCCCTTCTCAGGCCACGACCAGAGGGGACCCCGGGACCCCGGCTGCAGGAGGCGCTGCCTTCAACCTATGGTGCTGCCTACCCTGACTCGGGGCGCACAGGCCCTGCTGGCCGTGGCCAAGAGGGGGCCATGAGCCTCCACCGCGCTCTGGGGAAAGGGGTGAGCACTGCTGGCCACCACAGAGGCCGGGGGGAGACCCAGGCACCGCCCAGCAGGCCCAGACACCTGCAGCCGACAGCTTACATGGCAACCGGCCCGTGAGACCCGTTCGGGTGGATCAGGTAGCACGAGGGGACGGGGGAAACGCCCAGCGAGCCCAGGAGTGCCGCGTCAGTGTCCAGTGCTCTCCTCACCAAGATGTTCTCGAACGGAACCAGGTCCAGGATCACCTGCGCTCCAGAGGGCAAGGTGGCTCTGCGGGGCGGTGTGCGGCACGGCGCCCTGGGGAGTGGGGGGCGTGGGCGCCGGTGCCAGCCGCCCGCCTCAGTCCTGCTCCCCAGCCCGCAGAGCCAGGCCGTGGACGCACCGGCTCAGGCAGCGCTGGCCCCGCACGCCCAGGCGGCCAGCGGCCCTCCCTCCACACATGCGTGTGGCCCTGGGGGTGCAGGGGAGCACGGCGCAGCCCCTCAGGAGCACATCCCAAGGGGGACAGGGGCACTGGGGTGTGATGAGGGATCCTGGGGTGGCAGGGCCAGCTGAGGGCTCTGGGCCTCAGTGGCATGCCGCAGAGGTGGCGGCAGGGGTCACACGGAGCCTGATACGGGCCGCCCGGCACGGTCTCTGCCTGGGCCTGGAGCCACAGACACGGGCACTGGGGGGGAGGGGGCGCTTCTCTGGCTCCCTCTGGGAACCCCAGTTGCCACCATCACCTCCGCACCCAAACTCACTAAGGCCCAGACCCCACAGCGGAACCAACAGAGGGACGGGCTCCATGGCGTGGCCGACGCACCCGCTGGTCAGCATGAAGCAGACGCCGACCCCCCACCTACCTCACGCCCAACATAGGAGCCGCTGCTCTCAAACAGAATGGCCACGTAGCGGTCGTCGCGCTGGCTGAGGAGGGAGAGGACGTCGCTGGGGCTGTGGAGAGAGGCTTTTAGGGCCCAAGGGCGCAGCGGTGCGGAGCCTTAGCGCAGGTGCCGCCAGGCGGGCTGAGGCGGGGCGCTGGCGGCAGAGCTACACACCGGAGGGGCTCCAGCGGCGGGCAGGCGGGCGGCCGGTGCTCGGCTGAGTGGTTCTGCAGGAAGTCGACCATCGTGCGTCGCACTGTCTGTAGCTCTCGGTCCGGCCCTGCAGGTTGCACGTGGCACCATCCAGTCTGGGCAACCACGGCTCTCCTCCCGGGGCCCCGGGGCCCAACCTGGGCAAAGCTCCGTACAGGGAGCCCCGGGGTGCCCACCCAATGCCCACGGGACCCTGAGCATGAGCGCACATGCCCATGGACACGCATGGCCAGGCCGGGCCGGGCGCCTGTTCTGCGTACTGTCTCTGCGTGTGCTCCGGCCTCGGCGCTGCGCCAAGCCTTTTTAATCTGAAATTTTAAAGCTTCCCCCCTTATTTTCCCAGGAAGGCCGAGCACAAGCAGCAGTTCCCCTGCCCACAACTATTTGGAGCGGAGGGCAGGGGAGGGCGCGGGGCAGGCCAGCATCCTGGGCTGGCGAGGGATCTGACAGCAAACACAGCTCGCCCTTACCTTTAAAATTTTCTCCAGTTGTGAAGTCCTTGGCGAATGCTTTAAAATACTGAGTGGGAGGCAGAGAACAGGTCAGGAAAGGGCCCGGCCTGAGCCCAGCGGCTGCTCACCTACACGGAGACGTTGGCGTGGGGCAGTGCTAGCTGCGAGCAGGCAAATGCGTGGCCAGAGGGTGCGGACTCGGCGGGCTGCCAAGGCGCGGGCACGCGGGAGGCGACCCCAGAGGGAGCCCTGATGCTCACACGCACACCCACAGCCCCTCCTGGCAGCCGCCCTGCCTGGCGGAGAGGGCTGCATGCGCACTGCCCAGGGGACGCCCGCCAGGTGGGGGCCGCGGCAATGCACATGACCGGCGGGTGGAGGCGCAGCCGCCTCCCGCCAAGCCCCAGACCTCCAGGGTGCAGTGGCCTCAAGGACGAGTGCGGGGCAGCTCCCAGTGGTGCCCTGGCCCGTGCTCCATGCGCGAGGACGCTCAGGCTTGCGGTTGGAGGGTGGGGAGGGGGCGCGGCTGCGGGAGGCCAGGCCCACGACCCGCGTGTCCGGGCCGGGTGGGAGAGCGTGGGGGCACGGGGCTGCATGGCGGGCCACTCACCCGGAAGGTGGGGTAGAAGTGGACGTCGTAGGCCCCGCACACCTCGTGATTCTTCTCGTCTGCACAGTCCAGGGCAGCGACGCGGATGGCAGCCGCCCAGTCTGAAAGCAGAGGCCGCGGCCAGGCTGGGGGGAGTCCCTGGGGCCTTGCTGCACCACGCCCCCGCAGTCTCCGGGCCACTGCCAGGCCTCGGGGCCACCGGGCACTGTGGTCACCACAGGCCGGGCTCAGCCATAGCTACACCCCACCTTGCCAGGCAGAGACTAGGGTGCGAGACACCCCAAGGGGCCCCCCACAGCACGGCTCTATCTTGGAGGTGGAAAAGGAGTCTTGAAACGTGTGCATTTCCCTTCTTCAGCTTTTTATTATGGAAAAGCTTCATGCTTTATTTATTTGTTTGCTGGTTTGTTTGTTTGTTTTGTTTATACATGCACTGGGTACAGTCAGAACCGCGGGAGGGTGAGAGAATAGGAGAGGTCTGCGCGCCATGTGGGCCCTCCTCCGGTGGCCGGGGAGCAGCCGGGGATCGAACCGGCGCCACAGAGGCCGCGGAGCAGCTTCGCAACCCAGCGCTCAACTGCTTTATTTTTTTTAAAGGGTAAAGAGTTATTGTTGGTTTTTTTTTAAAAAAAGATTTACTTATTTATGCATACAAGAACTGGGGTGCAGGCCAGTGGTGGGGGTGAGAGGACTCCCCAGAGACAGAGTGGGGAGCAGAACAGGCGGATCCACTGAAACACACTGCTGAGGGGGGCAGCGGAGACAGGTGAGGCCTGCCGCGCCGTGTGGGTCACTCCCTGGCCGGGGATGGACTCAGGCTGCAGTGGCGACAGCCTGAGACTGACCCCCAGGGACACCGTATCATGGGAATACTCTAACGTGTGAATGAAACAGAGGCGGCAGCCCCCATGCCCCTCATCTCAGGACCAACCACCGTGTGCCCCGGGAGGCCCACTCCTGAGCATCCAGCGGCGCCTGAGCCAGCACCGCCGCCGCCCGCACGTGCCTCCAGAGGCGCCCGCCTGCTGCCGGCCAGTGCAGACACACCCCGGGCCACGGCCCTGGCCTGGCTCCAGCCCCCTGCATCTCACCTGTGCTTCCGGCGGGGGTCCTCCCGTCTGCCGCGCCCACCCTGTCCAGGCAGGCCACTCTAGGGGGGTGACTTCCCCAGAGCTGTAGCCTCCAATGGGGGTAGAGGACCTCCTTTCTCACTGAGCACCCCAAAGGGGTCACTCCTGAGGCTGCAGTCAGATGGGGCCTGGCAGGCCCACCTCAGGGGTCCGGGGAGCTGCACAGAGGCAACTCCAGGGCCCCGGGGGCGCTGCCCTTAGTCCTCAGCTCCCTCTTCAGAAGGCACCCCCTTCTCTAGGTCACATGCGCCCCGGGGAGCTGCCCGAGGAAGCGGGACAGGCCAGCGGTGGCCCTGCAGACAGGAAGCAGTGCAGTGAGACTGTGGGGGGGCGAAAGGAGTCTGGTGGTCACCCAGGGGTGCGGCCACCCTGGGCAGGAAGTCCACTCAGTGACGTCCATGCGGGAACCCAGGCTGGCCATCAGCAGCGACCTGGTTAAGGTCACAGGAGGAGAATCTACCCCCAGCAGTGACTGCGGCCCACACTCAGAGGGTCTGTGAGAAGCCCCCTAGAAGGGGGATGCTGACCAGCAGTGGACACCACAAAACCGGGCCTGCAGAGACAGCGCCCTGGAGAGGGCCAGTGTTCCATCTAACAGACCCCATCTGCTTTAAAAAGTTCGCTTTCGGGCCTCCCCGGGGGCGCAGCGGTTGAGCGCTGGGCTGCGAAGCTGCCCGCAGCCTCTGTAGTGCTGGTTCGATCCCCAGCCACCGGCGAGGGTCCCACACGGCGCGCAGACCTCTCCTGCCGCCCGCCGCTCCCCTCAGCAGTGTGCTTCGGTCCTCTGCCTGCTCTGCTCTCTGCTCTGGCTCTGGTGAATTCTCTCACCCTCCCGCGCTTCTCACCGTACCCAGGGCTTGTATAAATAAATAAATAAAAATAAATCTTTAAAAAAAAAATGTTGCTTAAATGCTGTTGAATTAAAAAAATAAAATAAAAAGCTCGCTTTCCCTGAGTTACAGCGAACAGCAGCCAGCGGGAAGGCGACGGCAGGATCGAGCGCGGAGAGGCGTTCGCGGCCAGCACCCACCCGCACAGCACCCGCCCCGGGCCTTGGGGAGCCCGGGCTCACCCAGGGTGCGGGCGTGGGGCGCCGCTCCTCGGGAACAGCAGCGGGGCTGGGGCGCACCAAGGAGAGGACAGCCAGTGCTCCCTCGCCGTGCGGCAGATGGCCGGGCTGGCCTGGGCGCCTCCCGGCAGCGTGGCCAGCACCCCCTCCCCACCCCGCAGGGCCCCGCGCCCCCCCAGCCCCGCCTGGTGTTCCTCTCCCCGAAGCTCCCCCTCCAGCAGCTGGCGCCGCCTCCTCCCCGCTCAGACGCGGGCGTTGACCAGGAATTCCCGGCACCAGGTGCACCTGGAGCCTCACCCGCGGGGCGGGGACAACCGCCTGGAGCCGGCCCTGAGGCCTGAGGGACCGGCCACCCGGCCAGAGCAGAAACCGCCTCCCTGGCCCCTGGCGCACCCACTGGGTCTTGGAGGCGGGACGGACCCGCGTTTCTATTTCAGACTTTGCTTAGTGGGGCTGCCCAGGAAAATAAGCCCCCCGCCCGCTGGCCTGACGCGCCTGCGTCGCCGGACCTTTGCCTTGGAAGGACCAGCACTCCTGTCCTCGGGGAGAGCCCGGCCTGCACCCAGCCCCGCTGCTCCCACAGGTCAGCCGGGCCTCGGCGCCCCACTGACACCACCTCTCAGGGACCCCAGGACAGGGACGAGACCACGGTCCCAAAGGAAAGACATGGGCCGCGTGGGGCAGGAAGGGCAGGGTGGGGGCTGGCCTCGGCCCCACCAGGCAGCTGACGGTGTGCCCTGTGTCAGGGCCCCCTCCCGAAACCCACCAAGGGCTGTGGAGCGCCACCGCCTGCCCTGCGCCCCCCGCCGTGGAGATCAGCTTCCCGCCCGGGCGGTCCCGGTGTCTGCGCTCCAAGCCGCAGGGTCAGAGGCCTCGGCCCCACTCAAAGGTCAAATCCAAACTCCCTCAGAGACCAGCCCCGGGACCTCCACAGGCCCCCCCTCCCCGCCACCAGGTCACTGCGCCCGCCGGCTTCTGGCCTTCAGCTCGCCCGCGCCCTCTGCACCCGCACAGGGAGGAGCAAGGGGGCGCACTGGGGGGGGTCTGAGGGCAGCACCTCACTCCCTGGCCCCTCCAGGCCGTCCCTGTCCCCTGGGCTCCAGCCCTCAGGGGTGCCTTTGTGTGTCCTGAGGCGGGGGTGGGGTGGGGGCCCCCCCGCAGGCGCCCCTGGCAGATGGGAGCATTGAGGCCGCACAAAGGAGACCACCCCGGCGGGAGCCAGCGGGCGCCTGCACCATCCCTGCCCCTCCCTCACGAAGGACAGACCCCCACCCGGGGCGACTGGGAAGCAGCAACCTCAGGTGGGGGGGCCAGGGCGCAGGGGCCTGCGGCCAGTTTTCTGCAGAGCAGCCCTGAGCCGACTCTGCTCCCACCTGGGGTGACGCAGGCTGCCCAGGGCCACGCTCCGCGCCAGTGCCGCCTCCTCCCGGCCAAGGCTGTTGCACCCAAGCACAGGCCCCAAAGCCCAGGCGCAGCTGAGGCCGCAGCGGTAAAAAGGAAGTGGGCGTGCTGCCTAGGCCAGGCGGCTCTGCGCAGAGCCAGGGGCCTGGCAAGAGGCCGGTGCTGCCCCAGCCTCGGGCCGTAGCCGTCAGGCCCACTGAGGCAGCCGGGCAGGTGCTCTGAAGCATGGTGGGTGACTGGCAAGCCCGGGGCAGCCACCATCTCTGGTGGACAACATGTCGGCACCAGAGGTTGGCGGCTGGGAATGGGCCCCTCGGATCTTCAGAGTCCAGGTGAGCAGCGTCTGGACGCCCCCTCTGGACACCGCCCTTTGGAAGCCTGGGCCTCAGCTCAGGGCCGCTGACCACAGGGGCGTGCGTGGGGGAGGGGCGCGTGACAGGCCTTTCTAGGCCCCTGAAGGGAGGAGGCCACACACCCACCCCAGCCCCCCGGCCTCACCACCGTCTGTCCTCCCTCTCTGGCCTCTGGGGTCACCAGCTCGTCCCCCAGACATGTGTCTCAGTGCACGGCTTGAGCGCCCGGTTGGGGCCTCTCCAACGGGCACTGGCAGGAGGGAGGAGCGCGTGGCGCAGGTGCTCACCCGCCAGGCCTCAGTTCCCCTCGAGGATCCCAGGGCCAGCCAGGGCAACGCCCCTGCCCCCCCCCACCCCCCCGTCTGTCCTCCAGGGACCAGCAGAGGAGCCAGGAGGGCACAGCAAGGGCAGGCCTCCCGCAAGTCTGGGGAGCCCAGCCGACAGGCTCGGCTGCGCCCCAGGCTACAGGTTTTGAGGGCTGGAGCTGCAGGCTCGCTGGAGCCAGCCAGCCCGGAAGAGCCACCCAACAGTGGACCTTTTGTTCGGCACGAGCAAAAGCAATTAGTGTAAAACCCTTGGAAACCCGAGTGACAAGCGGAGCGGTCCAGGTCTCTGCGGAGAAGGAAGGCGCCCTGGGCCGTGGCCTGCGAGACAGGACCCACCCTCTGTAGCCCAGTGGGGGCCTCGGCTGGTGTCCTGCACCAACCGTGCCTATCGGGCACCCCACACCTGGGAGCCGCGCTAGACCGCACCCACCCCCGCACATCAGCATGGTGAGACTGGGCTGGGGGCTGGCTGGGGTGGCAGTGGGACACCCTCTTTGTGGAGGGGCAGGAAGAGGCCCCAAGGAGGTTGGCCGTACAGCCCCCTCACAGTAGGTACTCAGGCTCACTTGCTGGCAGTGGCACAAAGGCTGCATGCACTGGCCCCGGGGGGCTCAGGGACCTCCATGCCCTAGGGACCCGCTGCTGACAAAGGCCTGGGTGAGAAATGGGTGGGGCCCCAGCACAGGCAGGGCCGCCCTCTCAGGGGCTCACCACAGTCAGGCCCGGGAGGGCTCCCAGCGAGTCCACCCCAGGGTGGCGGGGCGGGAGCGCAGGTGTCCTCATGCTCCACAGTCAGCTCTGCCCATAGCACTCAGAGGCCTGACCCAGTGGGTCTGGGCGGGCCAACAGCAAGGAGCAACTCCAGCAAGTCCCTGGCAGTCTCTTTGGGGACCCCCAGTGGGACACTCCCCAGAGCCAAGAGCTCTACTGTCAGAGCCTGTTCCTTGGGAGGTGGCCCCTCAGCCTGGTGCCCGCAGGCCCCCTCCCAGTCTCGCAGGCCACAGCTGTCTCACTTTCGGACCAATCTCCCTTTGGGCTCAGGCCTGTTCTTCCTGCCTTGGCTTGGACGATGGCCAGCTGTGCTCAGAGCTGTGCTTATTTAGCCAAGAGTAATCACACCCACCAAGCATGTATTTCACAGTTTCACTTTCGGAGTGCCCTCCATCCGGGGCCCAGGGGCCACGCTCCTGCACCAAGGCTCCCGGTGGGCAGGTCCGGCTCCAGGATGGTTGGCAACACTTGAATTTGGTTCACAAGTTTTACACTTCAGATACGGAACTGAAAAACTCAAACTGCACATAAAATAGGTGACAGCTGTCCTGCCAGGCCTGGCTACCTGCATTTGAATTTACACATCTGTCTCTGCTACAAAACAACAAGTGAGAACTGAAAGGTCCTCTATGTTGTCCAAGAGCTTGTTCTGGAACGCTTACCAAAAAAAAAAAAAAAAAAAAAAGCAGCCTCGGAAACCGCGGGCTGGTGACAGCTCTGGTCATGCCAAACAGGGGGGACTCGGGAAACATGGGCTCAAGGACCAAACCCGTGACTCCAGAGGCCCCAACACCCTGAGCAAAACAAGGGCCTTCGAGGTCGTCACTTGCACAAAAACGCTACTTAGCCCGCTCGCTCTAGTTTCTGTGTGCATTTGCTGAGCTGTAAGAAAACACCGCAAGGCGGGATATGAGACTTAAAAAACAAAGGTGCTGGAAGAGAGAACAACACTTTGTTACCCGCTCGCCCACTGAAGAGTGTAATTAGAGGTTAGCCCAGGCAGCACAGTCCTGCCACAAACCTCACTCCTGCTGGGCCAGCGCCACTCCGGAGCAATTCCAAGGAGCCGGCGGGCAGGAAAGCCCTCGCGTGCCCCCTCCCCACGACAACGCTGCCACTTAGGGCAGGCCAGTGACTTGGGGGCCCAGGAACTATTTGCAGCAAAGCCACAGCAGCGTGGGCGCCGCCCGTGGAGAGTCCGTTCAGGTCTTTTTTGCCTCTCTAGACAAGTCTGCAGAGTACCGGGACTCCTGAGTTGTGGCTCCCTGGACGCACCCACCATATGGTCAGCGGTTCAAAACGCAGAGAGGACGGGGAGGGGCGGCTCACAGGGAGAGGGGCTTGGGAGGGGATGGGGATCCTCAAAGCGTGGGAGTTCTCGGCCCTGAAGTGGACGTGCTGAGCAGGGGGCGGGCGCCCCGCGTCAGCCAGGGGCTGCGGGGGGTCCGGAGAGCAGGGAGCACGGGCGGGCCCGCCCGGGGTGGGGGGGAGCGAGGCTCGCCCGGCCTCCCGGCCCGCGGCCGCGACGGGGGCGAGCGCGAATCGCGGGGCCGCGCCTCACCTCGCACGTCGGCGGCCAGGGCGCGCCAGGTGGGCGCGTAGCCGATGCAGTGGCCGCACCACGAGGAGTAGAACTGCACGAGCCACGCGGCCGAGCTGTTGGCGGTGGCCCCGCGCACGCTGCCGCTGTCCAGCACCCACACGGCGTCCTCGCCCGGGCGGTACAGCCGGGCCGCGCCGGCCCCCGGCCCCGCCGCCGCCAGCAGGACGAGCAGCGCGGGCAGCCGCCAGGCCCGCCGCGGGGGCGGGCGCGGGACTCCGGCCGCCGAGCCAGCCGGGGATCCCGGGCTGCGCGCCGCCGCCCCGGCCGCCGCCATGTTGGAAGTGCGCCGGCGCGCGCCTGACCTTTCACCCTGGCAACCCGCGTCACGTGCGCCGGGCCCCGCCCCGCGCCGGGATGCAGGCCCCGCCCCTCGGCCCGGCCCCGCCCCCGCCGGCGGCCCAGGCCCCGCCCCGCCCACCCCCGAGGGGCCCCGCCCCCCCGCCCGCGCGGACCCGGGGGCGCGGGGTGGGGCGCCCGGACGCGCCGGCGGGAGCCCAGACCCTGCGGGGAAGCGTGGGTCCCCGATAAACGTGGGTCCCCGATAAACGGGCGTCGCGTGGGGCCCGGGGGGGCGGCGCCGGCCTCGGGGGACGCGGCTGGACGCGCCCGGCGCGTGGGGCGCTGGGCTCCGCGGCCCGGGCCAGCTCCCCGGCGGGGCCGTGCCCGGCCGGCGTCCCGGCGCCCCCCAGCGGGTCGGTGCAGGCTCTGCTGGGGCGGGATCCGCGGGACCGAGGGCGGGAGGTCCAACCGCTGACCCAAGCCAAAGCGCCCTGGCCGAGCCCGGCCGGCCCAGCTCTGGGGTCTCCCGGCCGCCGCCGGCCGCCTGGTCTGTGCGGCTCCGGAGACAGCGGGGACCCGCCGGGTGCCCAGCCCTGCGGTCCGAGCCCGCCGAGGCCGGGCAGGTGGGCCCGGGGCTCTGACAGGCGAGGGGTGGGCAGGGTGGGGGGCGCGGCTCCCTGGGGGGACCGGGAGGAGAGGCCAGCGCTGGAGGCCAGGAGCTGCAGCAAAGGCCCCGGGGCGGGGCGGGTGTGAGAGGGGCCTGGGCCCTCTGAGGGCAGCAAGGAAGGGAGTTTAGTGGGAGCAGAGCCACTTAGGGGAACAGAACCAGAGAAGCCAAGGGTGACCGCCAGGGCCTCGCCGTGTCCCGGCGGCCGGGGAGGACAGGACGGGGCCCAGCTTCTGCCCTGGCGCTGCCATGTAGGGGCGGGAAGGGAGAGGGGGTTGAGGGGCCACCCAGCCTCCACGGTTGTGGGTTCTGCAGGGGAGGGTCAGACTTGGGGCCGCACCCAGGGTTTGTGGCCGAGAGGCCCTCTGCCCGCCAGGCCTGGCCCTGGGCACCTGGGAGAGTGAGTCGTTCTTGGCCGCAGGCCTGGGGCAGGACGGGGGTGGGAATCAGGAATCTCTCCGTGGCCTATTCAGTCCCTGAGACCGTTTTGACGTCAGAGGGAGCATCTCTGCGTGGCTGGGTGGGCGTCGGGGCTCGCCGGGCACGTGGGCCTCACGCAGAGCCCTGGGCCAGCTCCAGGGCTGAGGAGGGAGAGGGCCGGAGGCCTAGCCGGCAGTGGGAGGGCCTGGGGGGTGCAGACTCTGAGACAGGGACGGCGTCCAGAGGCCAGCTGGGCATTGGCCCGCGGGGGCGCTCCGTGGTGGCCGGACACCAGCGCCGGTGCAGGGACAAGGCGTGATGGGATGTGTTTCAGGAGGGCAGTGGAGAGAAGGCCCAGGAGGGACGGCCCTCTTCCCGGGAGGAGGGAACAGCGGCGGCTGCACAGACATGGCCTTTTCTGGAAGCTCAGAGGACCCAGAGCGGGAGCCTGTGTCCCCACAGTGAGTAGAGCTGCCCACGGAGGGGGCGGGCGGTCCCGGAGGAGGTGGGCGGTCCTGGCACAGCTCCGGGGAGTGGCTGGGCTGCGGTGGGGGGTGGGGTGGGGGGGGTGTCTTAGCATCTGAAGTACCCCGCAAGGCCTGCTGGAGCCAGACCCTGCAGGAGAGTGCAGGGCGCGGGGCGGATGCGCCTGCATGTGTGAGCAGCCCTTGCCCGGCCCACACTCAAGTTTTGCAAACACCTGCCTGCTCCCAGCTGTGTTCATGGGCGGTGGGGGGAGGGTACAGGTGGGAGGGGTGGGAGGGGCGGGACACACCGCAGCACAGCCGTGTGGAACTTCGTGCTCGCTGGGCGGACAGGACGGGGCCACAGGCATAGGCAGCACGGGGCTGGCCGTGGTCCTCCGGGCCCGCTGCCTGCGGAGCTGGGTGGAGAAGGCCCCGTCCCGGCCTGGTTTTGTCTGGGGCCAACCAGACAGGCTGGTCCGGCAGGGCACCGGTTCCACAGAGGGCCAGTGCTGGTCACCGCCACCCTCCCCGTCTAGGCCCCAGCAGAGCACCCTCGCTTGACCCGAGTCCCCGGGGCTTGCCGGCCCCCCACCCCCGCCCCAGCCCCCGCATGTTTTCGGAGGGCGGGTGCGATGATCTGGGGTTTGGCGCAGACGCGTGTCTGGGCATTTCATGCGGGCGCGAGTGGTTCCTCCGGAAGCTGAAGGAGACAGATGACGGGAAAATTAAATGTGGGCTTTAACTGAGAAATAATCATTTTCTATGAAAGATAATGACTTCTCTGGAGGCTGGTATCAAGATTTATTGACCCAGGAGGTTACGACGGACCGGAGCCAAGGCGAGCTCAGGAGACCTTGAGGGAGTAATCTGGATATTGAAGTCCTGCCCGTCAGCACACGGGAGCGGCCCGGGCGTGCGGGGGCCGGAGCCAGCGCCCAGCTCTGCGGGGGACACGCATGTCGCAGCACGGCACCCTGGGGTCCCTCCTGGGCAGGTGTGGCCAGGACGGTCATTAGACCCCAGCCAGCCCCCGCCAAGGGCACGGGGCATGGCCGCAGACGGCTCCTGGGAGGCCACGCACCTGCTGGCCTGGGGAAGGTCACCGGGGGCCACTGCCCAGCTGCCAGTGCACCCAGCCCGCAGCCACCCGCGGGAGACTATCGAATTTCAGGCAAATCAGCAGGGCTTCAACGTGGGAGATTTATTACGGTGCCAAATGTGTGTGTGTAAAATACATAATTCCTCTCACATGGCCTCATAAATCCAAAGGGTCAACCATAAATAGGAAAAAGATAAAAAATTACAGACTAATTTGTTCAGAAAACTAGAAGGGAATCAATAAGCTGTAGCTCAAAGTGAGTTTTGAAATTGTGTACACGGAGCATGAACACATTTCCCCTCCGTGGCCCTGTCACACAGCCCGAGCCTCGGCGGGCGGCGGAACCTCTCCGCAAGCTCTCGCTCAGTCCTGGACTCCCTCCAGGCGGGGGCCTTGCAGTTCAAGAAGGGTGTTGGGAGAGGACGGACGGACAGACGGGACAGATGGAAGGGTGGGTGGGTGATGGGCGGACAGACCGATGGACGGGCAGAGACGAAAGACCAATGATGGTAAGTGCACGGTAGCTGGTGGATGACACAGGTGACAGGTGAACACAGGCGCCTGGAGACAGCGGCTGCTGTCGGACATGGCGCGTCTGCCAGAGGCCCAACCACAGTATAAGAGAGCCCATCGCAAGACCCCTAGCCAGGTAGAAACAGATTTGAAAGCTGCTTCCCTTTATAAAAGAGCTGATTTCTGGACTCACTTAAAAGTCACTTAGTCCCCAAGTGCACAGAAAATACAGTTTAGGACAAATATTGAAATGACAGACCCTTCGGCTGCGAGACGCAGGGTCCACTAAGAAGAGCGTCAGGTGGTTTCCGGTGAATTCCTTTGTGTACCAGCCAGGACGTGCTGCATGTTGGTGTGGACAGCCAGCATTCTGACCACTGGGGAAGATGGTCGGGTCCCTCACAGGTCTCGAGGGTGGCCTTGCCAGGCTGGGTGTGGCCGTGGCCCTGCTCTGGGTGAGGGGTGAGGGTGGGTGCTCTGGGTCCCCAGCGGCTGGTGATGGTGACTTCTGTGAGCAGCGGCCACTGCTGCAGGGGCCTGTCCTCTAAGCCCGCGAAGGCCGGCTGTCCTTGTCTTTACACACAGGCCTTGAGAAGCAAGAGCAGGCAGAGGCCCTCACAGCCCACTTCCCAAGCAACACACGGGACCCCCTTCCTGCCCCGGCTCCCGAGGCTCTTCTTTCCCTGGTGGGCTTTGCTGGCCTTGGCTTCTGGCAAGGGGTCTCATTCACGGGAGCTGCTCCCCCTCCCCGGGGGTCCCCCTGCCAGCCCCTGAATCCATACCTTTTGGCTATTGGACAACAGCCCCCCAACTTTTTACATTCCTGCCTTTTAATCTCTTTGGGTCGGGGCCCCTTCCAGAACCTGGAGGACATGGCGGACCTGACATCCAGACAAATGCAGATGGAGCCGACCCCGCCAGACAAGGAGGAACCGCAGCCTGGTCTTGGACTGGCACCGGGTGGCCAGCTCCACGGCCAGCACAGCGTGACTGTTCTGAGTGGCAGCTCCGCCCTGGCCAAGTCCCGGCTTCCTGAAGCCCCATGTACATGCACACACACACACGCACACGCATGCACAGCCCAGCTGTGCACACACCCGTGGCTTCTCAGGCCTCCTGGCCCCGCCAGGACAGCCCGGCAGGCGTGGCGGGCGCCTCAGGGACCCAGCTGGTCCCCACCAGCTCCCCCGTCAGTGGGCTGCCTGGCTGGGCCCGCTCCGAGAACACCGCCCGCGTGTCGCACAGGATCCTCCTGGTGAGCCGGGTGGACACCACATCTGCAGCCTCGGCTGTCCCCACACCCAGGAGACCAGCCTGGGGGCCTGGGCCCAAGCCAGGAGCTGGGTGGCCGCCCTCGGAGCCAGAGGGCAGGGGGTCGCCAGCCACCACCCCTGTGGCCAAGCCTGCCCCGGCCACTCGGGCCACAGTGGACACTCTGGGGAGCCCCCCTAGGGCATCATCTGCCCCCCCACCCCAGGGGGACCCTGGCCAGCCGAGCGACTCAGTCCACTGGCCGCCCACAGTCTCCGTCTGCCCCCCAGAACTCGATTCGCCCGTTTCCTCCTCCAGATGTCTGCCCCGGCCAGCCGCCCCCAGGCCCAGCCCCAATTCCGGGGGGGCTGGGGATGGTGCCTCAGGCAGAACGTCCTCGGACCAGGAGGGTACCTCAGTGCCGGCAGAGGTGTCCTCCCCTGGGGAACCCGGGGGCACCCCAGGAGACAAGACAGCGTCTGCCGGCGGCGGGGGGATGTCCTCTGGCAGGGGGTAGGCCTCTGCCTCGCTCTCTGCCGGCGGGGAGGGGGGCGGCGGAGGGAAGGGGGCGGCCCTCGGGGAGGACAGCGCCTTGTCCACAGGGGACAGGATCTTGGGCAGGATGCCGCCGGCCAGGCCAGGGCGAGGGTCTGCTGAGGCCCTCCCGGGTGCTGGGCCGCAGGCTGCCAGGCTGCTGGGGTCCCCAGGAGGAGCCCACAGGTTCCCGGGGTCCTCAGGCTCAGGTGAGACCCGAAGGAGGTTCCCGTCAGTAGGTGGCCCCTGGACAGTACTTCGGGGCGCCAGCAGGCGGCCAGCCAGGGCCCACACGGCCTGGGTCTCTGCTTTGCCTGCGTCGGGCCCTTCCGAGGCCAAGGCCCCCGAGGGGCGGGCCGGGGTCAGGTGCCCGTCACTGCAGGAAGGGGCTCGGGGCGGCGCTGCGGGGCCGGCAGTCTCAGGGGCCTTCTGGCGGGCCGTTCTGGTACCTGGTCCACCGGTCAGGCTCCCGCTGGCTCCAGAGGCCTCCTGCCCCTCCGCAGGGCCCCAGGATGGAGGCGGTCCCCAGTTCTCGGGGTCGGATTTGCCGCCCGAGGCCGAGGAGGGTCCCGAGGCTCCAGGCCCCGGCAGGTTCTCCTCATCCCAGACTTCTCTGGACGCCTCGGACAGGTCGGACCCTGGCCTCGGAGGGGGGCTCTGGGGGCCTGGGGGTGGCTCTGGGGCTCCTGTCCCTGTGGTGGGGCCCTGAAGGGGACAGGCGCCCCTGCCCTCTGACCTCTCCCAGGTCCCCTGTCCTCCGCCCCCGTGGAGCCCCTGGGAGTCAAGGGCAGAGAACTCCCCAGGCCAGCCAGGGGCCACCTCCGGGGTGTCCCCAGCCTCCCCGCCAGACAGGGAGCTGGAGCTCTGGGAAAGCTGCACCAGGATGGCCGACGCCCTCTGAAACTCCGGGAGGGAGGCCCAGGACGCGCTGCTGTCGGAGCCGGCCGGGGAGGCCCCCCATCGGCCCGAGCACTCGGACTCGCAGCCCAGGCCCACTGGGGCCACGAGCGCAGGCGGGGGGCTGCCCTCGGCGTGGGTGGGTGGCACCTCCCCAGCTGCTGCCGGTGCTGCAGAGAGAGGGGAGTTTGGGGGTGATAGCAGGGTGGTGCCAGCCCACCGGCCCCGAGGCGGCCCCCGGTGCTGGCAAGAGCAGCACAGGCCCAGAACAGGGGCAGAACACCTGGACTGAGGCGCCAGGTGGGCCGGGGACCCGGCGGGATCTGGCCCAGGGTCACATCTGGGGGACGCACACAGGCAGGGGCTGGCTAGCTGGGCAGGGGCTGCCCGTGGTGGTGCCTCCGCCATCTGGGACGCTGGGTGTGAGGGTGGGCGCTGGGCGGGGCGGCCCCAGCCGCACGGGGAGGGAGGGGTGCGGGAGAAGGGGCCTCTGTGGCTCGGCGCGGGGCTGGGCCGGGCATCACCTGGGGCGGTGGGCAGCTGGGCAGCGTGCCGCCTGGAGGGGCCGCAGGGGTCCTCCTGCCAACAGGTCTCCCTCCTGCAAGCACATTCACGGGGCAGTCCTGGTGCCCCTGGGAGGGGCCCATCCTCGCCGCCTCCTCCCCTGCGCCCGCAGGCTCTCTGGGGGGTGACTTCCCTGAGGCCTGTCGCCACCTGCCCCTGACAGGAGGTAACTGGGTAGGGGTACGGGATGGTTTTGGGGGAGCTGACCTGTGCCCCCGCTAGCCTGGTAGATGGGGAGGTCGCCCTCCCAGACACGGAGACACGGCCCCCCGAAGGGCCTCCCGCCGCCCCTGCCCCGGGTCTGGACACTGCCCCACGCCCCTACCTCTGCCCCCCCGGCCTGGGGCCATCCACTTCAGGGGGCTTCCCCCGGGGGCTGCAGGCCACGTCCAGCCCCAGTCCCGACACCTCTTGACTCTCGCTGCCTTCCCCCACCTGCAGGGAATGCTGGGACGGGACGGTCAGGCTGTGGACACAGCCCTGCGCCCCGACCTCCTCCCAGAGAGCCGTCCACGGGGCCGGACGCCCCCGCCAGAGCCTCGGCCGCATCAGCCCAAGCCCGCACCCCACTCACGCCGGCTTCCCGGGGGCCTTGAGGGCCTGCTCCGCCTGGGGGCGCGTAGGCCACCTTTCCCTTAGGGACACGGGTCTCCTCTGTGGCCGAGGGGCTGGTCCGGGGGTCACCTGTGAGGCAAGGGGGCTGTCAGGGCTGCCGGGGAGACCTTGAGATGCAGCGGGCGGCATCCAGGGCCCTGGGCCACGGACGGGCTCGGCACCCCCGGCAACCGCAGCTCTGCGTGGACAGGCCTCCCTCCCCGCAGCTGCGCCCGTGGGCCCGCAGAGGGGCCCGGGCTCCCGCCGGCTGCTAGCCTGGCCCGCAGCACAGCCCAGTGTGCGTGTCTGGTGTGAGGACAAAGAACAGGCCGTCACCCGCGGGCACTCGGGACGGACACAGGGCCGCCTGCCCCACCTGGGCCAGGGGCTGCTGCGGCCGCCTTGCCCTGTACCTTGACCCTGGGCCTCAGAAAACCGGGCGTTTTCTGCCCACTTGGGTTACGGCACTTGGCGTTGCTGACTAAGCGTGGCCGGGAGGCAGAGACCCCCCCCCCCCAGCAGGATGGCGGGGCAGGGGGAGCTGCTGGCCATGACCCCTGGGGGGTGAACACGCATCCCCCCGACCTCTGCGAGAGGGAGCAGAGGCCCCCTCCTGGGCAGCCCCGGGAGGCCTGGCTCCCTTTACCTTGACCCTGGGCCTCAGGCCAGCCTCGGTCCGCAGGTGTGTGCTCTCCCGACCTCAGAGGCCACAGCTGACCATCTGCAGGCGAGGTGGCCCTGGGGGGTGCTCTGTCCTGCCACTCGGTGAGAAAGCTACAGGTAGTGCAGAGGGCACTGATGACCGCGGGCCACACTACCCGGCGGCCAGCCCTGCCCACGGTGGTCACGCCAGGGACGGTTGTGGTCGGTCCATGGCCTAGCAGTCAACACCCGGGTGAAGGGAGACCCCCCCCCGGGCCCTCCTCACCCAGCCCCTTCCCAAGCAAAGCCAGTCCCCCAAGGGGCAGCGCCGGGTGAGAGGCGTGGGCGCGGTGCTGGTGTGGGGGGCGCAGAGCGGGCCTGTGCCCTGTCAGGACTGGGCCTGGAGATGGCCCCGGTTCTTGGGCCTCGTGGGCAGTGCTGGCCCCAGCTCTGGGAGGCAGAGGGCGGGAGACACCCCACACCCAGGTCCTTGGCCGGGCTTCGGCCACACCTGGGAGGTGAGAAACTGCCCCGGGCAGCCCCGGGAGGCCTGGCTCCCGTCTGGCTCAGGTCAGCGCCAACACTGGGCAGCTCCAGAACACTCCACAGCCTCTTGGGGGGAACCGCTCACCCCTCTTCCCCCAGGCACCTGCTGCCCTGGACACAGCCTGTCGCTGTCCGCGGGGTGGGCTGAGAGACCCCCAGCTCACCGGGGTGCGGGCGGGGCGGGGTTCCAGGGCCTCCGCTCCAGAGGACACGCTGATTCTGAAGGTCGGGTTCGCCTCCAGGGCAGGACCTGGACTAGTGGGTGCCTGTCCACCCCCCTGTCCGGATGCAGCCCCAGGACAGAGGCTCTTGGGCCTCTAGAGTGAAGCGAGGAGTCTGCCAGGGGGTGCACGGCACCCACAGATTTTAGGCGTTTTCTGCCCAGTTGGGTTACGGCACTTGGCGCTGCTGACTAAGCGTGGCCGGGAGGCAGAGACCCCCAGCAGGATGGCGGGGCAGGAGGAGCTGCTGGCCATGACCCCTGGGGGGTGAACACGCATCCCCCCGACCTCTGCAAGATAGTGATGGACACCGCGGGACAGTGATGGCCGCCCCCGGGCAGGTGTCCCCACAAAGGCCTCTCCCGGGAAGGTGCGGGCCCTTTCTCAAGGAGGGGCCCCTCCTGTGGCCTCCCCCCGGGCTGCTGCTCCTGGGTGGGGCACCAGCTCTGGGGCAGACGTGGAGAAGGCGCAGAGCACCCGGCGTGGGGGCAGGGGCTGGCGGGGTGGCGGCAGGCTCCCTCCCGCGGCAGGGTCCAGCTGGGGGTACCCCATCCTCCCAGCCCAGCCAGTGGCCGTCCTCAGGACCAGCCCCCAGCGGCTCGGGGGACAAGCCAGCACCGACGTGCGCTCCACCACGCCCACCCAGCAGCCTGAGCAGGGCCCACAGCAGCCCTCCCGGGCAGGCAGCAGCACCCAGCACAGGACTCAGACTTTTAATGGTGAGCCCAGGGAGGCCGCCCGCGACAGACTCACTGTGAGACTCGGGAGCTCAGGGGACTCGTCCAATGGGGGGCCCTGGGAGGGTGGCCTGGCCTGTGTGGCCTGGGGGGGCTCGAAGGGCCTGGCACAGGCCCTGCCGACCGCTGGCTCGTCTCCCCATTGGCCTTGACTCCGTGGCCGGGATTCTAGAGACACGGGGCAGGGTGAGCTGGGTGGGCACCCGCGCCCACCTTCAGGGAAGAGCTGCTGACGGGCGCCACGTGGCAGCAGCTGGGGAAACGTGCAGGGCGAGCTCCCACATGCCCGGCCACCCTCGCCCCGGCAAGCGCCCCAGGTGCAGGTGCAGGCCGGAGGATGGGGACGCCTGGCCCCGGGCTGTGGTCTCAGGCTGCCGCCCCAGCTGTGCGGTGGACTCAGGCCGCCCTGCCCCTCTGCTGCGGGCCGGCGGGGTTCAGAGAGGCCCCCTGCCGTCCTCACCCCACCCAGCAGGAGACTCGCGGAGACCCCAACTTAAAGGGGAGCCATCGGACGAGTACCCGGCACGTCCCCGTGTGTGTCCACGCCATCACGGGTCAGTGAGCTGGGCAGCAGCGGGAGGCCAGGATCCCCCAGGGACAGGCCTCCCCGAGCAGCCCAGGCCACGCTGGTCCTCCCCGCTGCCTGTGCCCCCACCACCCTGCCGGGTCCCTGCCTCCCCCAGCCCCCCACTCGCTGAGCAAAGGCCTGGCCGCACCCCCAGCCCCGCCCACCTCCTGTGCCCACCTGCACCCTACCCTGGCCACCGGTGTCCCCACACAGCTTTGGTGGACAGCCCTGGGGGGCGCCCACCTGAGGCCGCCCGCGCGGGCCGGGAGCTCCCTGCCCGCAGGCGTGTCCGTCCCTTGCCCGGGGGCGGCCTCCGCTGCGGGTGCTGGGGGGGGGGGCGTCTGGGCGGCGCCGCGGCGTCAGCAGGGTCCCCAAAGGCCGCCCGGGCGACGGGAGGGGGGGTGCTCGGGCTGCGCTCGGCCAGGAGGCCCCTGCACTGGGGCTCCCCTCCTTTCATGGACAGGGGGCTGCTCAGGGGTGCTCGCTGCCCAGCGCCCCGGTGGGGCGGGCACGGGCTGGCTGGGCCCTGCCCACCCCCAGCCCCTGCGGGCCGCCACGGCCCCACCTCTGCGCGCCCCTGGGCACCGCCACCCTGCGGGGGGCGGCCGTTCTAGGTCAAGGAGAGGACCCCGAGGCTCAGGAGGCTCAGCCGGCGGTCCCGAGCCGCCCCCCCCCCCCCCCCGCGGCCCGGCCGCCGCCCCGGCCCTCACCTGCCCCTGCTCGGGCGCCCCGGGGAAGGCCTCCAGCCCCGCCTGGCCGCGCGGGCACCTGGGGGACAGGGCGCTGCGGGCCCGGCGCCGCGGGGGCGCCCCGGGGATCTGCGCTAAGGGGCGCGGGCGGCCCCCGCGACAGGGGCCGGGCGGGGCTGCTCCGGGACCCCCGAGCGCGCGGGCCGGGCGGGGCGGCGCCTCAGGCTCTCCCGACCGGCGCGCGGGCCCTCGCGGCTGCTGAGCGGCCTGTGCGCAGCCGCCTCAGGCGGACAGACCGCAGGACGCGCGCGACGCGGACAACCGCGGGGGGCGGTGCGCGCGCGGGGCAGCCCCGGGCGCCGCCGGGTTCGCGCCCTCGGAGCCGGCGGGGCGGGGCGGGGCGGGGCGGGGCGGGGCCAGAGCCAGGGCGGGGCGGGGCCTGGAGGCGGGGCCAGAGCCAGGGCGGGGCTGGAGCCTAGAGGCGGGGCGGGGCCAGGGGCGGGGCCGCCCGCCCGCGCATGCGCTCACCGTCGCCGATGCTCCAGCCAGGCCAGCTCCGCGCGCATCTTCTCCTCCAGCGCCCTCTCGCGCAGGCGCAGCAGCGCAGCCTGGTGCTGCACGCGCAGCCTCTCCTCCCGCAGGCTCTGCTGGAGCATCTGAAGCGTCAGGCGGGTTCCAGTCAAGCTATGTCACCCCCACCAAACCCCCAGGCCTCTTCCGAGACGGCCTCGCTGGGTGGACTGTTGCCGCCTCCAGGAAGCCTTCCCGGACTGCCCACCTGCCTCCTCGTTCTCAACTAGTGCCCCGTCCCCAAGATGGGGTCCTGTCTGGACCGAGCACGCTTTTGTGCTCCAGTAGGGTCCTGAGCAGGCCTCCTGCTCTGATTGTGCATCCTCAGCGGGCACCTGCTGAAGCACCCACCGTGCTGCCACCTGCCACTGGGCAGGAGGACGGGGGTGCGTGAGAGGTGCCATTAGAGAGCCTCCCCCACCCAGAAGCTGCAGTGGAGACTCCCTGGCATAGACGAGAGGAAAAGGCCACTGCCCCAGACAGGCAGCTGGGGGCACTGAGCCAAGGCATGCCCCAGTGCAGGGGTGGGGAGTGCCCCCAGACCCCACTCCTCTGCCAGCCCCAGGGCCGCCCCCTGTACCTGGAGAGTAGGGTTGTCCCATGGGTAGGGCTGCCGCAGTGGGGACTCTTGGTCTGGCCGCCCTTCCTGCACAAGTTCTGAGGACAGAAAGCAGGTTGGGGTGTGCAGCAGCTCTGGGGGTGCAGGGCCTTCCCTCCAGAGGGCTGCCCAGCAGGACTGGGAGTCTAAGCGCCCCTGCCCCCATACACACAGCTGCACATTAGCCCCAGGACAATTCGCGGTCTCCTTTCTCAATATGAAGTTCTGTGTACCCCGGTCACTGGACTCGGGGGGCCTCAGTCCAGTTACTTGGCCTCCATAGAGGGGAGACTGAAGCCCAGAGAGAGCCTCTGGGCTGAGCCCCTGGAGCCATCCACAGGGAGCTGGCTGCTGGGATTTGCCGGGGGCTGTGGCGAAGTACCCAGTGGCCATGATGGAAACCCCCATGGCCAGCAGGCCCCGCCGCAGCAGCGACCACCATGGCGAGCGTGGGCTGACAGAAGGGAGCGGCTAGGTAGGTCAGGCCAGGGGAAAGAACAGGCTCTGATCCCCGCTGCGGCAGGAACACTGATCTGGGCCAGGCTCGAGCCTCAGGGCGGGCCCTGTCGCCGGCCGAGGCAGCCCTGGTGTTATCGCTCAGTGGATTTCAGGGCAGATCGGCGCGGGCCCCGCGGGCCACAGAGCGCGGCCACCTCAGCCACGGCGCCCGGCCGCACAGCAGGCAGCACCCCTCCCCGGTGAGGGGGCCTGGGCCGAGGGTTGAGCGCCACTGCCAGCAACAGGAGAGCGTGCTCCACCCCCCGGGACACTTTTCTCACAGGGGGCGGGGGGGGGGGCGCACCAGGACAGGGCGCTCGGGGGAGCCACCCCTCGGCCTGCGGCTGTGCAGGCGGCTGTGGCTGGATGGGGCAGCTGGAAGGTGGTAAGGGAAGCCGAGCCTCGCTGCTCAGCCTGGGGCTTTTGGGGGCTGCGCCTGCAGCAGGGGCCTCATTCCAGTGCAGGGCGCACGGCAAGGAGACTGGGCCGGACACCTGGTCTTCAGCTCCTGAGGGCCTCCAGGAGACCACACACAGGGACAAGGTGAGCGTCAGGGGCCTGGAGAGCATGGGGCTCCCGTCCCCAAGGAGTGAGACGGGCTGCAACCTGGCCTGCAGGGCTGGGCGAGGGCCACCCGGGGCCACCAGCAGCTGAGGCCCTCTCTGTCCCTGGTCAGCAGGAGGGCAGGATGACGCCCCGGCTCTGCTTACTCAGCCGCAGCCCCTGTTCCTGAGCTGGCCCAGAGCCCCTGCCGTGACCCAGGCCACTGTCCCCAGACGCAGTGGGGACTGTCTCAGGCTCCTGGCCCCTGGCCCCAGATGCCCAGCGGTCCTCAAGCAGGAGGCAGCGTGGCCCCTGGTCAGTCACACGGTCCTGGCATCAAACACTCCGCGTCAAACACCAGTCCACGCGGGCAGGCCCTGGGCAGGCCCCTTCTCTGCTGGGCCGGGCACGCAGCTGGCGCAGCCCGGGGTCCATGCAGCGCTGCCTCAGCAGGCCCCGGAGGGCGTGACGCCAGGGACACTCACCCCTAGAGGCCGATGTGCCTGCCTGACGCCCCTGTGCTCCCGCGGGGCCCCGCGGGGGGCTGGCAGCATGTCCGCCCAGGGGAGGCAGTGGCCTGCGGAGAGAGCAGCGGGCACTCCCAGCTCTGGTCGGCCAGCCGAGACCACCCCAGCGCGCCCCCGGGCCGGACCCCACCTGGGTCCCGCCGTCTCTGAGCTGGCGAAGGTCCTGGGCGCTGGGTCCCCGCCCTGCGGGAGCTGCTCCTGCCCTGAAGCTGGCTCCCGCCCGGCCTGCGCGGGCTGTGTCTGCATCAGCCGCTGGGGGCAGCAGGGCGTGGACTTGGAGGGTGCCGGGTTCAGGGTCCCAGCCCTGGGGGCGGGGGCTGCCCACGGGGAGGGGCATGGGGGGGTGTCCCGCAGACCAGGGCTGAGCACCCCGGGTGCTGGGGTCACTGGGCGTGACTGCGCCCAGGGCCCGGGGAGCCCGAGGGCCGCTCCTGACCTCCAGCTGGTGTTGGAAGAGCAGCTCCTCCAGGGCCTTCTCGGCGGCCCAGACCTCCCGTTCCGCCCGCAGCCGCAGCAGAGCCAGCGCCCGCTCCTGCACCTGCGGGTCCAGCTGCAGGGGGCAGCCTCAGGCCCTGCGCCCGGCCGCCCCAAGGGGCTCCTGAGGCCACCCCCTGCGAGGACCCTCAGCCTGCAACCTGCTCCTCCCGGGGCCTCCCTGCTGGGGCTCTCCTCCCGGACCCAGTTCCCCGCAGGGCGCTTCCCTCAGCCTCCCGGGGGCCTCTCCCAGACAGCGGAGCCCAGCATCGGCCCCAGGGGGGAGGGCGGGACCCACCTTCAGGGCCTCCAGAAAGCTCAGGGGCTTCTGCAGGACGTCGGCGAGGGCCCCGGGAGGCGGCTGGCCCTGCTCACGCTGGCCTGCGGAAACCGCAAGGGGCTCTGAGGCCCTGGCCCCTGCACCAGCCTCAGCTCCTGCGGAGGAAGCAGAGGGAGGGATCCCGGCTGCCCAGCCCAGGCGGGCTGTCCCCAGACCACACCCAGCCGGCTCAAGAGGTGCCCCCTCCCCGCACAGCCAGGGAGCCCTGGCAGGGGGCAGCAGGCTGTGCCTGGCCCGATGGCCCTGACCCCCTCCCCCGGCCTCCCCCAGAACCCCAGCCTCCTCCTCCCCCAGGAGCAGCGACCTGACGACGGGCAAGAACTCCATCTGCCACAGGCCAACCTGGCGTCCTGCGCGCGCCAGGGCACCTGAAGCAGGCAGCCCAGCCTCACAGCTGGCGGCGGTCCCCTCGCCGTCACTGCTGTGGCCATTGTGAGGTGGGAGTGCCGGGCAGGCCCAGGCCCAGGGCCCCTGGGGTCTCTGGAAGGCTCCAGAGAATGAGCAGGGCTCAGCCGCCCCTTGGACCACCGGGAGGCTCCTCCCCTCCGCCCGGCCCGGGACGGGGTGTGTTCTCTGCCAGCGTTGCCTCCCAGGCAGGAGGGCCAGGCCCTGAGAACTGGCAGGGCTCAGAGGACGATGGGTGGGCTCCGGCCAGGCCCTGCCCACAGCCGTTGCAGATGGGCGCCCAGAACCCCGCCCGCCCAGCACAGCCGCCAACAGGCCCCGCGGCGGGCCCAGGCCTTGGCCACCCAGCGCCAGGCTCCACGCAGGACCACAGCACGGGCGGGCAGCGCTATCTCCCACGCCCAGTTGGCGGGTGCCTGGGTAGCTCGGACACTCCGACAGGCCTCACAGTGTCTGCTCCGAGCTGACGTCCCCCAAAGGTGCGCCCCCCCCCAACATGTCGTTGAGAGGCTGAGGCTGCAGGAGCCGGACCCCAGGCGCCCCTGCAGGCCCAGGGATGGGGGGACGGCCCCACCACCAGGCGGGACAGTGCCAACAGGTCACCAGGGTTGGGCTGCCTGTCCCTGAGCTCGGGGTACCCCAAGTCCAGTGTGGGCCTGCTGGCTAAGCACCCCGGAGCCCCTGGAGTCACTGCTGAGCTGAGGGCCACAGGCGACCCCTGTCCCCCCACCCCCCTAAGCAGGAGCCAGCACCGCATGGCACCCCCTGCGCAGCAGTGCCCCGGCTCTTCACCCGAGGCTGACCCCTTCAGCCTCATCTCAGCGAGGGCGTCCCCACGGGCGGCGCTATACTGGGTACCCCAGGCTGAGGATGCGTCCTCGCCCCAGAAGGCCCCAGCACATGACATCCTGGGGTTGCAGTCTGGAAGTTCTACTGGACACGCTGGCCCAGCCGTGCCCTTGGGGGGCTTCCTGGAAAAGGCGTCTGCCGAGACCCGGGCAGCACCCTGAGCTGTGCTCGGGCTCAGCTCCTGGCACTGGGACTGCTCTCAGCCCTGCAGGAGGGAGCAGTCGGCTCCCCAGGGCTCTTGGGACTGTCCGTGGCCTCGGGCATGACCGCTGGGGTTAGGCGCACCCAGGCCATGTGAGGAGACCACGGCCGGCCGCTGTCAGGCAGGGCGGGCCTAGGAGCCTCCACTCCGCGGCCTTGCTGCCCGCCCCCACCCCGCCAGACGCCTGGGCAGCCAGGAGAGGAGCTGCGGCCCCAGAAGGCCTGGTGCTGCGCCTGCGCAGGTTCCTGTGAACACCGCCGGGCCCTCTGGCCAGCAGCTCGCCCGACCCAGAGCTCAGGTGGACACACCGGAGGGAACAGTGACACTGTCCAAGGGGACAGCTCTGCCGTCTCATCCCCTGAGGGCACAGCAGGTGGGGGGGGCCCGTGACCAGGCCCTTCCTCCTGTCCTCCCTGTGGCCCAGCCCTATCCTCCCGGGGAGGCCTGGAGCCACGCGCACCCCCACCCTGCCCTGCCCCCCTTGGGTGCGCCTGCCCCGCGCTGTAAGGAGACGCAGATCACCCCTGGGGCTTCCCAGAGGCCAGGGCAGGGTCAGAGCTCACTCTGGAAGCACCGCAGTGCTGGGGTCCTGCAGCCGGTGTCCACCCCCAACACCTTCAGGGGCAGCAGCTGCACTTGGGGACGGGGCAGCCTCCAGAGGCCGAGCTCAGTGCACGCCGCCAAGCCCAGCCCCGGCCACCCCAGCCCCCTGGGCCCCTCCCTCCCGCAGGCCCTCAGGCCCAGGTGTGCCCCAGGCGGGGCCCCCACTCTGGGCCCAGCTTGGTGACCCTGAGCACTCCTCCCCTGGGAGGACACAAAGACATGGGTGCAAAAGGAGTGGCGGCAGCCTGGGCTGGGGCGCCGGGGCCGTCGGGACAGGGCCACGGTGAGAGCGGGCACACAGCAGCAGCCAGAGCCTCCAAGACCCTTTAATGCGGCGTGCGGGTGCCACGTAGGACGGGCACTAGGCAGTGAGGGGGGGCCCCCGCGGCCCTCCCTGGCCACCCAACCAGCCAGCCCAGGGCCTGTCCATGGGCTCGCCCTTACCGAAGTGCTGGACGGTCCAGGGCATGACCGGGCTGGGCCCAGGGGCCGGCTGCATCTCCTCCAGCCTCAGGGAGCCACCGGTGGGGTCCCCCATGACGGGTGCCCAGTGCGAGCTAGGGACACGCAGGCACACGCGTGAGCCGCCGGGGCAACACGGTGAGAGGCTGTGGGGGCCAGGCCAGGCTCTCAGATCCACACTGTCCGGTGGGATCCAAGGCCAAAGTCCAGGGGGGAAGGTGGGCAGGGCAGCCAGCAGCCGGGAGCTTCGTCCCCCGCCCTGGAGGGGGACGGGGACACAGCTGCAGACGCATGCGCACAGCCGCAGCCCTGGACGTGGTGGGGCCTTGTTGGACGGAGCGAACCTGGCCAGGCCCTGGCCCTGAGTCCCGGTCTGAGTGCCCTGGTCCCTGGGGCACAGCCTGAATGTGCTGTCCACCTCTGCCTGCTTTAGACCTGGCGGGGGGCTGGGACCAGGGGACAGTGTCCTGGGCCCACACCTTCCCCAGGTGGGGACACCCCAGGGGCCGCGTGCCCACTGCCTCCCTGGCCCATCCTGCATCTGAGAGCAGGGCCGGGGCCTTGCCGGCTCTCCACCTTGGGGCCTGTGCACAGGGAATCCTCGCAGCCCCCTGCCCTTCCAGCCAGCCTGGCAGCGGGCAGGGAAGGCCTGTCCAGACCGCTGCTGCCCCCTACTGGCGGAAGTAGTCGGGTGCCAGGTGCCACCCTGGGGAGGGAGGCTGAGCCTGCTGGGATGGGGGAGGTGGTGGGATCAGACCCTGGAGGACAAATGCCAGACCCCCACCCACCCCAGAGGTTAAGGGGGGCCTTGGAGGCAGGGTGATGGGGATCCGCAGGGGCCATGGGGATCCACACCAGCCGGCCAGCCCCAGCCAGAGGCTCCCAACTGGCCCCAGCCTGGGCTTCTCCCGGGCACCCCGTCAGACCCTGGCGCTGGGCCCCAGGGCCCTGGGCAGACTCACCCCCCTGGGACGGCGCCGAGGGCCTGGGAGGAAGTGGTGCTTCTCTCCAGCCTCTCCTCCGGCTCTGAGCGTCCATCCTCCGTGAAGCCTGCGGGTGGGCGGGCACCGGGGTTTCGCCTCCCACGAGTCGCTGGGGAAGTAGGGGGACCCCACGCCAGCCCGCAAGAGGGCGCACGCCTCGGGGGCAGCCCCCGCCCCTCCTCCAGTGAGACCGAGGGCTCCACACGCCCGCCAGGCCTGTTCCCAAGTCGCCCGCGCCGGGCCCGCAGCGAGGCGTCAGCCGCTCTGAGAGGAACCGGGGCGGGGAGAGTGGGCCCCGGCCTCCCGCAGCTGGGGCCCCCGGCAGGCCCTACCTTGGGGCCTGCGGGTGCCGTGGTCCCGCGGGCTCATGCTCTGCCGCCGATCCCAGTCAGCACCCCACGGCCTCTCGCCGTCCAGGGAGGAGGAAGGAGCGTCCATCGGGCCCCCGCTGGGCACCAAGGCGGCCCCGCCAGCTGGGGCTGCGGGCACGGCACCAGGGAGCAGGGGCGCTGGGTCCGAATCAGAAGGCCCATCGAGGACCTCGGACCCCTGCAGCTTGGCGGTCAGGACGTCGATCCGCTGCTTGAGCATGTTGGCCATGGTCTCCAGAGCCTGCACGCGGGCCTGCTTGTACCGGAAGTGCAGGGGCCCCGCCATGCCCAGGCGCTCGGCTTCCTCGGGCGCCAGGTAGATGCACAGCCCTGGGTGCAGGGGGCGGGTGCTCAGGTCCCGGAGCCGCAGGGGGCCCCCGGAGGAGCCAGGAGACAGCACCCGGGCAGCCCCGGCCCAGTCATCCTGAGAGCCTCTGGGGTCCGGCGTCTGGGTGTGACTCGGGGCCCTGTTCAGACACAGGCAGAAGCTGCAGGGAGAGGCGAGGGGCTCAGCTGTGCGGCCGCGCCGGCTGTGCTGTGCGCTGGGGAGCACCGTGGCAGCCGCGGGGACAGACGCCTGTGCCGCTGACGGCGGGGACACCCACACACGTACTCGGGCCGCAGAGCAAGATCGGGGCCAGGGTGGCACTGCCCAGCACCCCCAGGCCAGAGGGCCGCCAGCAGGGCCCTGCGGAACATGCCCACCCCAGGGCCTGCTCTCCACGGTGTGGGCGGTGAGGGGCGTCCACTCTCGGGCCACACTCGGCTGTGGGGAGAGCCCAGTCTGGCTGCGGCTCCCTGGGTGCGACACGGAGGCACGGGCGAGAGGGGAGCAGGCCAGAGTCCGGGGTCAGATGCCTGTGTCCGAGGAGCGCCTGGCGGGAGGCGGCCACACGCAGCCAGACTGTAGAGGGAGCCGGACACCTCGGCACCCACGTGGCCCCATCAACAATCAGGCGAAGGACCTGAGGGCGCATCCCCAAGGAAGACAGACAGTGGCCACGGGCTCCGGGGCATGGGGAGCCGGGCTGGCCGGCCGCGCAGCTGGCCCTGGAGCTGGGGGAAGGGGCGCTGGGCAGCGCTGGGCTCAGAGCAGCACGCTGGACCTGCTCGGAGCTGCTCCCCACATGCAGAGAAGCCAGAGAAGTGAGGGGTGACCGCTGCAGCGCCCTCGCCACAGCCGGAGTGGACGCCCCCTGGGGCCTCCCGACAGGGCAGCAATCAAGCCTGGTGGCGCCCCTGCCATCAGCTGAGGGGCCGGGCTCTTGGGTCGGCATCCTGGAGGGTCCCTGCAGCTGGACCCTCCTGCCACAGGTAGATCTCCCACAGGGAGCCTGGCCAGAGGGGCTGGCACGCCTGAGGCCTGCGTGGTGTCCACGGGTCCTTCTGGGCAGGCCCAGTGCTATCGCCGCCCCAGCCCAGCCGAGCGGGGAAGGTTGCCCACCCCGTGGTTCGAGACGCTGCTCCGGGGCCTTCGGGACAGTGGCCCAGCGGCCAGCAAGGGAAGTAACCAGAAAACACACTGGGAGGCCCGGGGCCCTGGACCCTCCGGCTCTGGTGGGACAAGCACGGTGTGCCCGCGTGGCGACAGACGCAGGTCCTCGGCTGGACAGTGACCGCCACCCGACGAGCCCACGGGGGCCCAGCCCTGCACACCTGCCGCGCCTCACAGTGGCCGGCAGGGACAGTCAAACCACCGGCCACGCTGGCCCACGGCGGTCACGCCAGGAGCACCTCTGGCCAGCAAAAAGGAAGCAGGCGCGCCGCCACCTGGGCGGACCCACGAGACGCACAGCCCGGTGGGGGGGTGCGGGGAGGGGCGGGGAGGCTGGCGCCCGAGGCCACGTGCCCGACTCCAGGGACATGCAACGTCCAGAGCAGGCAAGTCGCAGAGGTGGACGCTGGACGGGGAGACCCGAGGGTGAGTGCTGGAGGGCTGGGCCCTCCTCCCAGCCCTGGAACGCTCTGGGCTGGACGGGCAGCGGCTGCCCGCGCCGCGCACGGCCTCACCTGCACAGGCTGTCAGGGGGGCGGCACAGGCACCCATACGCACCTGCCCGGGGCCTCCTGGTCCCCCAGCACCATGCCGGACGTCACCTTGCTCCACGCCAGCACAGGCCCCCCTGGGCTCCCCGGGGCTTCCTGGCCCTGAGGAGAGGACGCCACGGTCAGCCCCCCAGGCGGGAGACCCCGAGTCAGCTCCGAGCGGCCGATGTCCACGGCCGGGCTGGACCTTGGGCTGGGACAGGGTAACGAAGCCCCTCCGGGCCCCGAGGAGGCGGCATCTGGGGCTCCGGGCGCTCCCCTCCCCGCGCGTACCCCGGTCTGCAGGGAATGCGGGACGAAGGTCACGATGCTGGGGGTCATCTGGGAGACCACCGGGCCGGCTCCGCCGGGCAGCGGCAGGGGCTGGCGGAGGACGGCCGCCCTCTGCTCCTCGTAGACGTCGCGCAGCCGCTGGTTCTTCAGCTCCAGGGCGCGCACGGCCGCGGCCTTCTCCTGCAGGGCCTGGCGCCGCCGGGCCGCCGCCTTCTGCCGCATGAAGGCCCGCAGGCACTCGGGGCTGTAGGGGCGGCCCAGCCAGCCCCGGGGCTTGGGGCAGGGGCGCACCGGCGGCTCCTCATCCTCCTTCCCAGGCGCGGCCCAGGGGCCACGGGGGCTGGGCCCCCGCCAGCCGTCCTTGGCTCTCGAGGGAGGCGGCGGGGAGCCCCTGGCTCTGGCGCGGGGGCCGGGCCCCTGGGTGAACGAGGCGCTCCAGGGCCTTCGGGCGGGGCCCTCCCAGTCTTCAGCGGCGGCCGAGGCGCTCCAAGGCCGCTGGGGGAAGGGGCTCCGCCTCGCAGGGGGGCTCCCAGGCCTCGGGGAGGGGGGGCCCTGTCCCTCCAGGCGCGACTCCTGCCCAGCTGGCAGGCTCTGCCGCCGCCCGCTGGGGGGGCTTCCGGTCCCGGCCAGGAAGGGGTCCTGCGCGTGGGGGGCGCTCCAGCAGCCCTGCAGCCGCCTCCCCGCCTGCTCCTTTGGCCCCGGCTCCAGCCCGCCCCTCGGGTGGCCGCCCCGGCTCAGCTCCAGCCCCGCCTGGATCTGCTGCCGGAGGTCTCGCAGGATGTCCACGGCGGCTTGGACGGTCGCAGGCGGCTCCGCCAGGCTGGGCGTGTGGGCGGACACCTGCTGGTGGTCATGGCGGACAGGGGCTGGGCTGGGTATCTGGGGGCGAAGAGGGGGCTCGCCGCACTTCTGCTCCTCTTGTCGCCTCCTGCAAAGACAGCACAGGCGAAGGGCCTCAGGGCAGGGCCGGGTGGACCAGCCCCCCGCAGAGGCAGCCGTGGCCCCGGGCTCCCGTCTCGGCCTGGCACAGAGTGACGCGCGGGCGCCTTCACCCAGGCACCCCATCTGTGCACCCGGCGGGAGCTGCCGCCCTGGACGCAGGCAAGACAGCACAGGCGGGGAGGGCGTTGTCCGCCAGCAGCCCGGCCACCTGCCTGCGCCCTCAGGAAGCTCAGGTGGCCGCGCCTTTCCGGCCAAAAAGGTGCCTCTGGGGCAGAGATCCTTCTCGTGGGCCTCGGGCACAGCGACCCAAGCCCTCTCCAGGGCGGGTCGGAGCCTGGCACGGGCCACGGGAGAGACGGTGCCTCCTCACTAACGCCACCTGCTCCTGGGCGTCAGGACCGTCTCCTCACCCACCCCCAGGCGCCACCTGAGCAGGTGGAGCAGAGGCGGGGGCAGGTACCTGGTTCCTGGGCGGGGGCCAGGTCCCTCGACGGCGCCTCGCTCGGGAGCCTGGGCCGGGCAGGCGGGGGCCCCAGCAGCTCCCTGGCCCGAGCTCGTCCTGTCCTCCAGGCGTAAACACCGACCGACTCAGAGTCTTAAACAGAAAGCACTTGCTCAGCCGCGTTTGGGCCCTGATGGCGGACCAGGACGGAGGGGCGGCACCCAGCAGCCCGAGACCAGGTCACCAACTCTGCGGAGGCCGAGCCTCTGGGCAGAACCGGTCCCTCAGCCCCAGCCCCTTGGCCCTGGCCTGGCTTTGCCGACAGGGTCTTGCTCCAGCGAGGAAGGGCAGCGGCCTGCTCCCACGCCTCTGTCCACAATGCTCAGTGGACAGCCCAGCAGCGGTCATGGGCCGCTGGCACCGCAGGGCTCAGCACGGGCCCGGAGGGCAATGGCGCGGCGGTCAGCTGTGCTGAGCCAAGGACACCGATTTGTTTATAAGTGTGTGACTCAGCGGCAACAAGGGGTGGGGGTCAATGAAGACCCCGGGTGGGCAGGACGAGGAGTCCAGATGGGGTGGGTAAACGAGCACCCCAGCCCACCCACTCACGAGAGCCTCCTGCAACGGCCGTCGCTGGCACCGCCGCCTACCAAGGGCACCCCACGGGCCAGTCACACCGCCAGGCGCCAATTGCAGCCCTGCGCCACGACAGAGCCCGCAGAGGCAGGACCCCACGGCCCTCGGTGCTCACTCTCACACACGCAGACACACACACACACACACAAGGAGCTGCTCCAGGTGCTGCAAGGCCGGGACCACCCCGGACCCCTCCTGTCATGGTCCCCGAGGGCCGGCCAGCATAAGACTCACACCCCCACGGAGGGGCCATTTCTGCCAAGTGGGGGGTCCCTTACCTGCAGGGACCATCCAGGGAGCTGACCACTGGGAACAACCAGACAGGGCCAAGGGCTCTCTAGTACACGCTGCGCCCGGACATGACACCAGGACAGCCCTGACCCGCGCACGCCAGCCACAGACCTGAAGCAAGACCCGCGTGGCACCCTGCAGGGCTGCGCCCCCAGAGGCCTGAGGCCACGTCCCGGGCCCAAAACCAAGCTTCTCCAGGCATAGAGGCCACGCCCTCTGTGAATCCCTCCCCCCGACTAGAACAATCCCCCCAAAATCCTACCCACAAAGGACAGATCCCTGTGGACCCCGAACTTCAGAGCCATGTCAGGAGCCCAGACCCAGCTCAGATTCCTGCTCCGCTGCTCCCTGGCTGTGGGCTTTGAGCGAGACCCCCGGCTGCCCGTGCCTCCGTCTCCCCGTCTGCGGGCCCCCCGACAGGGCCCTGCACTCGGGGCCGGCTGGGGGGGTTCCCGCTGGCTCAGGGAGGGCCGGGCCGAGGGTGCCCAGCGGGCCAGGCTGGGGTCCGGCAAGGATCGGTCCAGCGCCCCCACCCCGTCGCCCTGGCCGGGCCGGGCTGGGCTGGACCCGCGGGGAGGGGCGGCCCTCAGCAGCCGAGGGTCCGGCTCGATAAATGGGTCCTGACGGGCACATTTTTTCTTCCACTGAGCAGTTTAATGGCAATTAATTTTTTTACGAGAGGATTTTTAATCTGTGGGAATGGATGAAGTCCCCAGCGCCCTGTCAAAGGTCCGGCCTAATCTATGATAAAAAATGCAAAGCGAGGGCTGCAGCCTGGAATTAAACCTCGGCAGCGCTTCCTCCGCCCGATGGATGAATATTTTATATCTATTGTGATTTAATTTTTTGTTAACTACAGCAAATTTCTAATTCATCCGATTCCCAGGGCCGCGGCGCCGACCTCTGAACCCACACTCATCTCTCCCGGCCCAGCTGGGCCTCCTCCCTGACAGAGGCGGGCGGTCAGCGCCGCTCGGCCGCAGCGGTGATGGATGTGGTCCGGGCGGCCCCCCGACCCCGTGTCAGCCCGGGCGCTCATTTTTCAAGAGAGCCGTTGAAATAAAACAAGCCCGGGGCTGGGGGAGGGGGAGGAGGATGCAGAAAAGCATCGTCGTTGGTGTTCAGGAGACTTCCGGAACCTTCTCTGACCTTCCAGTGTCCTCTCTAGGTCGAAGGGAGGCTTCCCATCTCTCCCGTGTCTGTCCCATGCCCGGCGGCCCTGTGGAGCCCCCTCCCTCGAAGGCCGGCCAGCGAGACTGGAGCAGGGACCCCGGTGGGGGCAGAGGGCTTGGGGTCTGGACGCCGGCAGAGGTGCACCCCACTCCCCACGGGACCGAGGCCCAGAGGTGCCCCAGGCGCCCACCCAGCTGGCCTCACCCCAGGGGCTCTCAGTGGGGCTCCCGATCTTGTGGTGCCCCAAGGATGGCCTCAACAGTGCCCAGGTGGCCCCAGATAGCACCGCTGGGCCGCGCGGCTCAGCCAGGCCTGGAGCTAGACAGGTCAGGGCTGAGCCTTGGCGCCCCTGTGTGGTCTCAGCCTCTGTGGCCTCTCCTAGCCAGGGGCACAGGTCTGCCTGTAACAGGGGGGTCCCCAGGAAAGGGGGAGGTTCCAGGTTCCCTGCCCCACCCAAGGAGGGTGGAGCCGAGCAGGAGGGAAGAAGCTGCAGAGGAGACTGAGGACAGAAGGAAGCAGGGTGGCGAGCAAGAAGGAGCCCTGGTGGAGGCGCATGGAGCCGAGAGACACGTGAAGAAACTGCACCGGCCTTTTGGTCGTGGACGGGGTGACACAGATGTGGGTGAGACCCGTGGGGAGGGGACAGTGGTGGTTTTTGTCTTGATTTTGATTTTGCTCTTTTCCTCCCAGACTTGTCTGGTTGTTTCTGACCCTTTTCTGTGGGTCCCCCCTGGAAGGTGCTTTAGACTGTGGCAGGTTTTGGGGCGTTGCTCTGGGCCAATCCGCTTGGGTGGACTTTTGCCCACGGCGGATGGCAGAACCCATTTAGAGCAGGCAGGTTTGCGGGGTCTGGGCTGCCCCCTCCCTGCCCTGTGACATGCCCACCTCAGAAGACTGCCGGACGTAAGGAGCGGACAGCTGATGACCCTGAGCATGTGGCGCACAGGATGCCCCACCCAGCACTCAGGGAAGGGCACCAGAGTTCAGTGACCCCCATGCAAGGCCCACATAAGGCAGCCACTGCACCCCAGCCCCAGGCTCCAACGGGCCAGAGAGAGAGGACCCGCAAGGCCTCCCTCACCACCTGCCAAGGTGGTGTAACAAAGAGAGCAACATCCGCCTGCCCCCCCCGCCCCGCCCTCCGCAAGGCCCCTCCCCCCGCGCTGGTCAGTCCAGGCCAGCCCCTCCTGCAGCAGCCTCACCTTTGTCCTTCGTGGCTCTGCGGGCCGGTGGCTTGGACGGCTTCTCTCTCTTGCAGGAGCTACTTTTCATCCTTCTGGGTTTTTCCCGCGGAACTTCAGTGGGAGGAGAGGAGAGAGAGGGGAGTGGCCCCCTCCTGGGCATTGCATCCGCCCTGGGCCTGTGGACCAGCGGGGCCCGCCTGCTTCTGGTCCTGCAGGCCAGAGGGCGCCCGAGCGCCCCACAGTGCCCCACAGCAGAGAGCCCCTGGGGACAGCACAGCCCCCCGCCTGCCTCCCTCCCGTGGGGCCTCCGGGCCCTCGCTGCCCCGTCCGTCACTGGGGATGGCCACGGGGGGCGAGGTGTGGGGACGTGGGGCTGGACCACGCTGCCCATTTCGTGTCTGGAGCACCCAGGACGGTGGGCCTCGAGCTGCTCACCTGAGGCCTGGCGCTGGGGGACCCTGGGGGGCTCGTGCCCCTGGGCAGGGGGTGCTTGGTCTTCAGGGCCACGCTCAGCGGCTCTCCTGCCTGGAGGAGGAGAGGGCGGCATGAGGACTGCTCGGTAGAGGTCCCCCCTTGGCAGCCTCTAGAGGCCTTTGAACACAGGGCCTGCGCGCCTGGGCGGAGGGCGCCGCGCCACGGCCACCCGGAGCGGGCAGGGCAGCCCGGCAGCCAGGACCACCACGCACGCGGCGCACGCGTGTCAGCTCCCAGGCTGCTTGGGGAGGGACGCTCGGGGAAGGGGCTGTTTTCCCTTTGCTCTTTGGGCTTTCCAAGCGCGCCCCACAGCCCGGGAGCCCTTAGGGAGGACAGGCCCTCGGCTTCACGGGCGGGCGGGGCCCCAGAGGGCAGACGGGCCTCCCTGGCCAAGTGCTGTGGCCCTGCGGTCCTGACAGTGCCACCGCCCACTCCTGCCGAGGCCCCTGCCCGCCCCCACAGCCCCTGCCCTGTGCCCCCAGCGCCCCCACCTTCCACAGCCTCCCCAGCCCGTGCCCACCACCACCACCAGGTCAGATCTTCCTGGAGTGGAAGCCCAGGATGCACCTCCTGCCCGGGAGGACGCCCCCAGCCTGGGTGGGTCCGCCCCGCACTGCCCAGCCCACTCCCACCATACCGACCCAGAGGGCCGCCACTGACCAGGGCAGGCCGGGGCTGGGGAGCGGCGGCCGGCCTGCGGGCCTTCCTGTGGGGGGCCGGCCTGGAGGTTCTGCCGAAGAGCGAGGCACCACAGGGCGTGGAGGTGGCCAGGGAGGCGCAGCTGGCCTGGCCCTGGGCCTGAGCCCGGATCTTGTCCAGCAGCCGCTCTAGCCGTGGGCTGCTCTCTCTGGGCTGCCGCTGGGGTCCCTGCACCTGGGGGGGCCTCTCCTTCCAGGGCGTGTGGGCAGGTGAGGACAGCTCATGCCCCCCTGAAGAGCCAGAGAGACGTCCCGATGACACCGAGCTGCCCCTGTCCCCAGACTCCTCGCCAGCGGACCACATGGGGCAGCTGCGGGCCTTCCCCAGGGGGGCAGGCTCCTCACTGCAGTCCGGCCAGGCCTCGTGGGGAGGCCCCCGGAGGGTGCCTGGCTGCAGGCAGGGCCCGGGCCGCCTCGGGTCAGCCATGGGTCATTCTTGGCGGCAGGCAGGCGCAGCCGGCCTTCCCTGGGAGGGAGGAGCAGACCCGCTGGTCAGTGCTGGTGCCCGGGTCACGGCTCCTCCAGGGACCTGACCACCCCCAGGGGAAGGCCCCCTCTGCCTCCCACCCATGGCAGCAACGTGCTTGGTCTGCACACACCAGGCCTGGGGCTGAGGGGGCACTGCCTCGAGCTAGCTTTCAGGGGGCTGGTGCACCCCCCAGGCTGGCCGGCAGCACCCCAGGACTGATCAGCTGCAGGGCGGGGAGCGAGGGTGGAGCCCCCAGCACAGCCCGGCTCCGCTGCAGGTGCCGCCTGTCCGGGCCACGCCCACAGTGGGAGCCCTCAGGAGCGATGGGGTGGGGTAGGCACACGGTGGGGGTGCTGCTGCTCCGCGGCGGGAGAGACCCTGGCACCGGACGGCAAAATTTCCCAGTCACTCAGCAAGGACGAGCCGCAGCCCCAGGGGCTGGGCCCACGATGGCCATGCCGGCCCTGGCTGGGAGCCTCTCGGCCTGGGCAGGGAAGGGGCGTGCCGGGGGCCAGGAGCAGGATTCATCTGGGGCGGAGCGGGTCAGTCTGGGAGCCCCGGGGCAGGAAGGAGAGACCTGCTGGAGTCCCATCGCCAGCAGTGGACAAGGCTGGGCGCCAACCCCGACGCCAGCACTGCAGCGGCCCTGCTCCCGCGGTCACCTCCTTCAGCCTCCTGGGATTGTCGGGCAGCGGGCCCCACTTCTCCGCCTCCCAGGCACCTGCTCTGCCCTCAGACACTAGCTACGGCCTCCGGGGCCACAGGCCCAGGCTCCCCTCAGCCTGGGGGCACCTCAGAACCACCTCAGGGGCTTGCAGTCACCTTCCAGCAGCCGGCAGGCCACACAGTGGGCAGGACACAGGCTCCAGGGGCGCCCGGCTCAGCATGGTTCCAGGGGAGGGAGCCCCCAGCCCCGCCCACGGCCAACGTCACCGGGGCAACCAGTGTCCCTGCCCGCGCCTCCAGGTATTGTGAACGCCCAGTGAGTTCACTGCTGGGCAGGGCCCGGCCGAGGTTCAGACCCCAGCTAGTTTCAGCCAGGCCCTAAAGGGCCACTTCCATCATGGCCCCAGGAGAGGGGCCTGCAGCAAAAGCCCCTAATGGCCCGGGCGTGGAGAACCAGCCCCCAGGTGGCTCTCAAGACTCAGGGACTGGAGGCCACGAGGGCGGGGTGCACAGCAGGGTCTCTGCTCAGGGCCCGGTCATGGCAGCACGGCCCATGGTCAGTAGGTCATTTGTGGGTCATCTGCGTGGGCGACAGGCGCCAACTGCCCTGGCTCTGCCTCCTGCCCCCACCCCTCTGTGGCTGGAGCTGTATCCTCAGAACACAGGGCCAGCAGGACCCCAAACCCAGCCTGCAGGCCCAAGCCAGCCCCACCCAGTGACCCAAACAGAGAGGCCTGGCGGCATAGCCCCAGAGGCTGCACCAGGCCCCCCACTTGTGCCCTGCTGACCGGGGCGGCCGCAGCCTGAACCCAGCAGGTCCCCCCTATGTGCCCAGGTGGCCAGCTGACCAGGCAGGTAGTGGGGCATCCGCCATCCAGTAAGAACTGGTGGTGAAGGTGGCCACCACATGCTGGGGCTGCACCTGCCCACGGGCCCTCGGCCACGCCCTGGGAGAGGTGGGGGCGACCGTGGCCCCTGCACCACCCTGGAGGCCTGGACACCCAGGGGACACCCAGCGCAGCTCGACCCCCATCTCCTCTCACAGTGCGTCCTCCTGGGAGAGGCCCTTGTAGCCAGGATGAGGGCACAAGCCCCGCCCCCTCCGGAGCCCGCCCCGCCCCGCCCAGCCTCCAGGGCCCACCTGCCGCCCGCCCGCCCACAGGTTCCCTGAGGTCAGGGTGCCCAGCGCAGCCCCTGGAGCGCAGAGGAAGGGCCTGGGGGCCTGCAGGCCGTTGACCCCAGGAGCAGAAGCCCCGGCAGGACGAGGTGTGGCCGCAGCCCGCTGCGCAGGGACGGGAACATGGGCCATGTGAGGGCAGCCCGGCCAGACCCCCGGCACTGCCGCGGCCCCCACTTCAGGAGAGGCACGCGAGGACCCCAGCTCCCGCCCAGGACCCTCGACGGATGTCCAGCCCACAGCTGACCCACCTGCCCTGGGCTGGCAGGTGGAGGCTCGAGAGGGCAGGGGCTCAGGCTGGGGGTGGGCCCGCCGCTCAGGCACCCCGGAGCAGCTCCTGCTCAGCCAGCCTGTGTCCCTGCGGGGCGGGGGGCCAGGGGGAGGCGCAGCGCGGGTCGGGTGGACGCCCTGTTTGCTGCTGGCGGCTCTCCCTCAAAGCAAACCTGAGCATGCCCGGGCAGGCCGGGGACAGCGCCCCGGGGGGAGCAGAGGGGCCACCACGCCTGTCCCCAGGGCCCGCCGGCCGACAGGGACAGCCGCTGGCACAGGCCCGCAGGTTGGCATGACACCCAAGGCTCCTCAGGCAGCCCTGGGCACGGCGCCCCTGAACCGGCCGGCGAGAGCCTCCTGCTGCAACAGGTGGAGGCCAGGGGCCACCTGACCAGGCACCCCAGACAGGGCTCTGGCCACAGAGGAAACAGTGCGGGCGTCCGGGAGACACACTGATGACACGACCACCAGGCACGCTGGCCCCGGCCCCCCGGCACAGACACACGGACACACACAGGCACACGCTCACGCCCACTCGCACACTAGGGTCTGCACAGCAGGACACACCCCTGTGGCTGCCAGTGTGACCCCAGGGAGGTCCTGATGCCTCAGGGCTGGGGGCCCCGGGGCGGGTCCCCAGACGTCCCCAGACGCGGCAGGTGCAAGGGCGGGAGCAGGAGACACAATAGCCGGGGCTGGCGGCGGGAGGGAGGAGGGCACCGTTGGGCGGCCAGATGGGAGCAGCCGGTGGCGGTGGGGGAGGCAGACGCAGGACAAAGGGCCGCCCCGCCCCCGCCCCCGCCCCGCCAGCCCCGCTCCACCAGGCACCCAACCGCTAGCCCGGGTCCAGGAGCACAGGGGAGCCCGGACACCCACACGGCCTGGGTCGGGCGAGGGCAGCTGGACCCCTCAGGCCCCGCCCCGCCCCCCCCAGGTTGGCTTCTCCAGGGCCCAAACCAGCGGCCAGCCCTGTGCCCGGCTACTGGGCTCCTTGCCGCAGCCTGGCCCACTGGCACACAGAGCAGACGGGAGCCCTGTACCCCGATGCCACCTCCCCAGCCCGGCAATCCTGGCCGCCACACGGAGGGGCCCATGCACACCATGCCAGCCCGCGGCCCGGCCCAGGGCTGCCTCTGGCCGAGCCTCCAGTGCACGCCCCATGGCGTGCCGGCCAGCAGGATGGACAGGCCCTTCTGGGGAGAGACGAGCAGAGGCCCACCCTGAGCTGCCTGCCTGGCCCGCGTGCCCTCCCCCACCAGTGCGTCGGGGCTCATCTGGTGGAGCCAAGTGCAGAACCACCAATCAGGCCTAGGGGTGGACCCCATTTGACTGATGGGGAAACTGAGACCCGGTTAATAGGTGACGCCCACGTCTCCCCCAGCAGGAGGAGCCCAGAGGCAGGGACGCCACGTGGGGAGGCCATAGCACCCCTGCTAGAGCAACCTGGCTTTGCCCCAGCTCTTGAAGGGACCCCCATGGGCAGACCCCTCCTGAGGAGCAGGACAGAAGCAGGGTAGCTGCCTGAATCCAGAAGGCAGGCCGAACCCTGGCCCTCCTGCTGCACCCACCCAGCCGCCAGCCCTCCCCACGCCCAGGTGCCCCGGGGCTCAGGTAGCCGCAGAACTCACCAGCCAGGGCTCCAGGCTCCCAAACCTGGGGCAGCTGTTCGCCCAGCGCCCGCTGCGGCACCCACACCTGCAGGGCCTTGGAGGCTGGGCGGGCTCCCGCCCCGATGTTGCCAGAGAAACCGTGGCGTCCACATTGGGCTCCTCCTCCGGGCGGGCTCCCGGGGCCTGAGGGACCAGTGCCACATGCCAGGGCCCCACCTGGGCGGGGCAGGGTGCACACTGGGACAGTCCTCTCCTACACGGGACCCCGGGCAGAGTGGGCAGGACAGGAGAGGGGCTCTGGGCGCCAAGTGCCCCCCAGCCAGGGAGCGGGCAGGTGGACGTTGGCAGAGGTCCAGCGCCCCACCCCAGATGTGCAGACTCTGGGCTGCCCCTGCCCACACCCAGCCACTGCCCCCACTTGCTCCCTCTCCCTAGGGGCCCAGCAGCCACTGGGTCTCTGGTGGCAGCCTGGCCGCTGGAACCTGGGGCTTGTCCATGGGGGCCACCACCCCCACCCTCCTGAAGACAGTGGACACACCTGGCACAGCCTGCGGCCTTGAGGGTGGCCCAGAGGCCCGGGGGGCGGCCGAGGGGCTAGAGGACCAGGCCCACAAAGTACACCACGCGAAGCCCCCCACTGTGGGGCCTGGGGGGGCCCAAGGGTCCTGGGCGAGCCGGGCAGCCATCCTGGGCCTGGGTCCCTGCTGCTCCTGGGCATCTGGGCCACTGGGCTCTGGGGCACCCCCCCCCAAACCCCCGCAGCCTCCCCACCAGCCTCTCAGCGCCAGGTCTCCGCAGGGCCAGACTCCGCCCCACCCGCTTCCAAGCCCAGGGCAGGGGAGCCCCGGGGCCAGCAGCCCCGGGCAGTGCCAGCAGGTGGCGCCCGCTCCCCACCGCTGCCTGCCTGGCCCGGGGGGTGCCGGAGGGGCCCGGGCCTTTGCCTTCCTGCCGGCCGGACCCCAGGAGCTGAGTCTCTCCCCCCAGCAAACACTCTGGGCAGCTCTCGTGCCAAGAGAGCCCGGTGCTCGGGAGATGTGGCGGGAGCACCTGGGCGCGGGGGCGGCGCGCAGCCCCTGGGAGCCGCTGGGCTCCGGGACACAAGGGGCGACGCTGCCCGGCGCCCAGGCGGGTGACCCCGCAGCGGGCGTGTGGTGAGAGCTGCCTGGCCGGCGGGGCTGCGGGCTGCCCGCCCGGGGCGCGGAAACGGGAGAAGCGCCGCTGCGGCAGGCAGGGCCGGGAGGGCCGGCAGCCCCTCGGGGCTGGCCACACCGGGTGGGCGAGGAGCAGACCCCCACGGAGGACCGCGGGCAGCGCCCGCACACGGTGGGCTGGCCTGACGCAGCCTCGGGGCCTGAGCCACAGAGCCGCGCGCCCACCACCGCCCCTGCAGGGCGGGTCGGCCCCGGCCACCCCTGGGCACGGTGTCCGGCACCCGGCACAGCACGCTCCCCGCAGAGACTCTGCCTGCGGCCGGTCGCCCAGGGCAGCGCTTGGGCCGGGCGGGCGAGGGTGCGGCCAGGGTACTGAGGCCAGGGCTTCCTGCCTCCGCAGACCCGCTCAGCTGTCGGGACGGGCACAGCCCCTCTGGAACGTCCCGCGCCCGCCCGGAGCGTGGTTGGCACAAGGCCTCCCCACGGAAGGGTCCGCTGCCCCTCCTCCCAGCTCGGCGCCTGGCGTGGAGGCCGGCGCTGCCCTGAGCAGCTGGATGGACCGTGGCCCCAGATGCAGCAGGGCCGTGGACACAGGGCACCCACCTAGGGGGGACCTGAAAACTGTACCCCTGGGGCCCTGGTGGCCCGGCCCCCTGCAGACCCGCAGTGCCGGGGAGGGCCGCCCAGGAGGCCCTGCGCCTGCCAGAGCATGCCGGGCGGGGGCACTGGACAGCAGAGGCGAGCAGTTCTCCCGCTGCTGTCCCCAGCAGCCTCTCCTGTGCCCTGGGCCCCGGGCTCCTCAGCCCCACTGACAAGAGGGAAGGCCGGAGGTTGGGTGCCCACCCACCTGGGTGCGGCAGAGCCAGTTCTAGGTTCGTCCCATGGCCCCACGGCCAGCCGCTGTCCCTCCACTCTGCACAGGGACACTGCAAGGCCTGGCCAGCAGTGGCCCCACCTCAGCCCTGGTGTCTCTGCAGAGCACCCTGGGTCCCGGTTGTGCTCGTGACTAGCGCCAAGGGGCAGGGTCCATGAGGCCGAGGCACCGCGGGACTCCAGCTACACCGCACCAGGGCCACGCGACCATCGAGCGGACCCACGGAAGAGCCTGGTGCAGACACCAGGGCCAGCCAGAGCCCCAGACCCTGGGAGAGGCAGGGGGACCCTCTGGGCTCCAGGGGAAGGGCCAGCCCCTCGGTGAGTGTCTCACCCCTGAGGGTGGGAGCCAAGGGGATGGTCACACTGGGCCCCACAGGGAGGGTGTGACCCCTGTTCTCCCCCAGAGGCCGGGGTGGGGAGCCTCCTGGTGGGCGGTGGGCGGGTGCCCCGAAGGGAAGGATCCGCTGCCCCTCCTGACTTGTCTGGGGGACACAGCCCCCTCCTAGTTATGTTTGGTTCAGGCCGCTGTTGGGAGACTCTGCCCTGCCACACCCAGGCCCCCCCCCCCCCCCCCCCGCAGGCCTGGGGCCACAAGCTCTACCCCAAGTCCTTCCCTCCCAGGCCCTGTGTCGGCCCCTCCCCGCAGGGTCTCTGGCGCTCTCCTTGCGGCCCTCCCTCTCCCCGCCTCCCCGTCTGCGTGTGTCCCTCTGCTTTTCCCAGCGTGGTGTCCCCCGGCCCTGGGCTCGGTCACAGGCCAGGGAGGAGCCCAGAGAGGCCGCCATGGCCCTGCGCGCCTGCCGCTGCCCGTGTGTCTGCCCTCCCCGTCCGGGGCACGTGCAGTGACCAGGCCTGCAGCTGCCAGCGAGAGCCCCGGGAATGCTGCGTGGCCGGCGCCTCCCGCAGCTATTTCCTGGGTGTGTGGCCGTGGGTGGACGGCGCTTCCTTCCGGGTTCCCTGTGCATGAGGCCCTAGACCCTCCGCCCTCCTGCGCCTCCACCCCGGGGCTGTGCGACCTGAGGCCTGGGCGGGCGCGAGCCCCAGGGGAGCAGACTCTGGGGAAGCAGCTGCTGGAAACGCACAGAACTGGGTGTCCTGTCACCTGGGTAGAGCTGAACGTCCACTCACCAGATCCGTAGGCGTGGGTGTGCCCGTGAGTGTGCACAGTGTGAGTATGCATGGTGTGCGTGCACGGTGTGAGTGTGTATATGGTGTGAGTGCCCGTGTGCATGTGAGTGTGCGCATGGCGTGAGTGCCGATATCCAGGCCGCCTCCCCCCCAGGGTGGAACCCTCCAGGTGGCTCCGAGCTCAGGTCCCATCATGCCCTGGGGCACCTCAGCAGTGGCCTGGAGGTGGCCCCAGCATTGCAGGGAGGAATGTGGGGGTGGCCACGGGGGAAGGTAGGGCAGGGAGGCCGTGAGCTGGGAGCTGCCACGCCGGCCGCAGGACACCCCATTTTCCCAGCCCCGGGTGGGCCTCAGAGGCCACGCATCCCGCCGCAGCCCACGTGCTGTGTCTTTGTGACCTAGATGGCTTCAGGCCCCGGCCTGGCCCTCCACTGACCCGCGGCGTCGCCATTTCCTGGGAGCCCGGCCCCAGGCCCCGCGGGACTCAGCCAGAACCCCGTGTCTCTTGCCAGACCCGCAGCCGCAGGGTCCAGGGCAGGGAAGCGCCGAGGCAGGGACTCAGCCCAGGGCTGGTGTCACAGCCTTGCCTGATCTGCATGGAGGTCGAGGGGTGCCGGGGGCTGGGTGGTACAGGCAGGGCCCATGGAGGGGTTCGTGGGGTGCTGACGCTAAATCCTGGGCGAGGGCCTCCCCGGAGGCGCAAGGGGTTAAGCACCGCACTACGAAGCAATCCACAACCTCTGCAGCACGAGCTCAACCCCGGCCAGCCAGGCGCGGCAGACCCCTCCCGTCTCCCCGCCGCCCCCCTCCGCTGTGGATTTCAGTCCGTCTGCCTGTTCTGCTCCCCGCTCTGTCTCTGGGGAGTCCTCTCACCCCCCGCATCTCTGGCCTGGATCCCAGCTCTTGTATGCAGAAATAAATAAATCTTTAGGGAGAAGAATGCTGGGCGATCCAAGTGTGGGGCCCGGGCTTGTGGGCTGGTGCTGCCCAGCTGCGCCCACCTGCCCGCCGTGGGCTGGAGGCTGCCCCAGGTGGGAAATCATTTCCTCCCCTCCAGAGCCCCTGGGGACGGAGGCCCATGGGGATGGGCGGCTGCTGCCTCCTGGGGAGCACTCTGTCCCGGCTGGGGCACGAGGCGTGGGAGGGGGTCATGGCACGGCATGTGCCAGGCGCCCAGGTGTGCCCGGCCAGCGACCGCTCCCGTCGGGGGGAGCAGAGGGCTGGGGCGATGGAGCGTGTGGCCAGGAGCGCCTGCCCAGACCTGCCATCCGCTCAGTCCTGCCGCCCGCCGGAACCCCTGCTCTTGGGATGGGGGCGCCTGGGTGGCTCGAGGGCCGAGGTGACACCCACCTTCCTTCGTGGGCTTGCCCCCGGGAGTCAGGTCTCCGGACAGTCGTGGTGCGGCACGGACGAGGCTCCCACCCCGCCAGGACGGCCTTCAGAGCACCGCAGCACCCAGAGCAATGCCCAGCAGTAGGGCCCCAGAGGCTGGTGTCCCCAGGGCCACAGTGACAACTGGACCCCAACCCTCGTGGCCCTTGTGAGCTGCTGAACCCACCCGGGGCGCGGCTCGGAGGGCACGGTTGGTGCGGGTCACGCAGCCCCGGCCTCCCTGCCGCTCACCCGACTCAGCTGAGCCCTTGGCCAGCTCGCTGCCCGGCACCCCCGGGGTTCCGGCCCCCTGGAAGTTCTGGGGGAAGGGGGGGTTGCTCCAGCCAGCGACCCTGCTTCTTCCCAAGGGGGCGGAGTCCCTCATGGCCACGCACGCCCCATCACTCTCCAGCTCCCTGGGCGCCTGCCCTGGGCTCGGGGGCTGGGGGCTTCGGGATGGCCTCCTGATGGCCAGCGCTGGGACCGAGAGACTGGGGCCTGGCTGGGGGGGGGCCCTGCGCAGTCCCTGACCTGACCCTGGTGCCAGTTCTGAGGGTGCCCACAGAGAGGCCGGGCAGGGCGGCAGGGCCAGCACCGCCCACCGTGGGGGCGCTGGCAGCCGTGGCCAAGGCCGGGAGCAAGGCCTGGCCGGCTCCTGTGGTCATGGGGGAGGGCGTGGGCCGAGCCTGGGGCTGTGCTCCGGGCACAGATGGTTCCCATTCCCGCCGCCCCTTCCGTAGGAAAACAAGCCAGCGGGGCCAGCGGGCCTGGAGCTCGTGTTTATTTTCGCCGCGTCCTGGAGTCCTGCGGTTGGCTCCGAGGGTCGGCCCCAGAGCCCAGACCTCAAGGCCGCCCTCCCCGAGGCCAAGGAGCTCCCGAGGGCCCCGCCCGCTTCCTGGCCCCTGTCACGGCGGCTTTCCCAGAGTTTGGAGGCTCCGGGCGGTGCCAGGAAGGCTGGGTTGAGAGCGGGCCAGGGGAGGCCAGCAGGGTGCCCGGAGCTGGTCCTGCCCGCGCAGGGCCGCTGGAAGGGGCTCCCCGCAGCGCCGGGGTGGTGGTGGCAGCCTCGGCGAGGTCCCCCGCCACGGCGCGCCCCGGAATTCAGCCGAGGTGGCGGCCCTGGACGTGGCAGGGCGGCGCGGGTGGCCACATCCCCGCCCCTGCCAAGTGTCCAGCCAGGAAGGGCAGCTGGGCGCGGGTCCCGGGGCACGAGGGGGGTGGGGGGCGCTGGCCCGGACCCCAGGGCGCCTGGGGAAGGGGTGCGCGCGGTCCTCCCCCAGGTCTGCGCGTAGCTGAGGGCATCCCGCGCCCCGCGGCGCCAGCGCGGGGAAGGGGCGGGCGCGGGGCGGGCGCGGGGCGGGCGGGGAGCCCGCGCGCCAGGCCAGGCCCCACCCCCGCGGGGGGCCGGCCCGCGCCCCTCCCCAGCGGCCGGGCCCCTCGGCGGGCGGCGCTGACATCACGCGGCGGGAGGGGCCCCGCGCATCACTTCCCGGCGCCTCCCGCGGGCCGGACAGACGCGGACGGCGCCCGGGCTGCGGCGGGGCGCGCGAGCGTGGGGTGCGGCCGCCGTCCCGGCCCCATGGCGGGCCCCGCCCCGCCCGCCGACGAGCTGCCCGGCCCGGCCGCGCGGCGCCTGCACTCCAGGTGGGCCGGGGCCGGGGCCGGAGCCGGGGCGCGGGCGCGGGCGGGCGCGGGGGCGCCGGGGCGGGGGGCCGGGGCCGGGGCCGGGCGCGGGGGGCCGGGGGCGGGCGCGGCGCCAGCGCCCCTGAACAAAGGCGGGCGCAACGTGGCGGGGACGCAGCCTGCCCGCGGGGCGCCGGGGCGGGCAGGGGGCGCGTGGCGGGGGCGCAGCGGCCTCCTGGCCCCTCTGGCCCCCCTGGCCCCCAGAGCAGGCCGGCGCGGGGGGCTGGACAGCCCGCGGGTGCTGCCTGCGCGGCGCCGGGGTTGGGCCGGGGTTGGGGTCGCCCCCCAGTCCTGGGCGCGGCCCGCGGCTGGCCTGCAGAGGGGCACCCAGGAGCCTTCCTGGCGCCCCTTCCCACCGCCGTGCCGGACCCAGGGGGCGGTGCAATGAAGGGACCCCACTGTGTGGGGGGTGGGCCTCTCCCCCAGGTCCCCCAGGCCCTCCTCAAGGATCTGCCTCCGCGGGGCTGCGGTGCCCGGCAGCCAGGTGGGTGTGTGGGGCCAGTGACCGGGCCGCCCGCGGCCAGGATGACGGGGTGCCCTGCCCAGGGTGCCTGCCAGGGCGCGAGCCTGCCTGGTGACTCCCAGCCCGAGGGCGTCCCCACGGCTGTGCAGGGCCCGGCGGGGCGGGCGGCGTGTGCTGGGCAGAGGCAGCTGCGGGCCAGAGGCCAGCCCGGCTCCCCACAGTGGGCCTGTCGGGCCCAGACTTGGGGGACATCGTGGTCCTGCCCCCCTCCCCCACGTCACCCCTGAAACCTGGCAGCCCGGCCCCCGGACACCCCGCCGCGCCAGGCGGCACACTCCCCGCCCCACATGCAGAGCAAGGCCTGCTGGCGGGTGGGAGGAGGCCTCGCTGCCCCCTGGCCTGGTCTGTGCTGCCGGCCAGAGACACAGCCCCCATTGTGTGGCCTCGGGGACTGAGCGCTGAGCCCCAAGTTGGGCCCCTGCAGGGGGAGGGGCTGCTGGTGGGTTTCTAGGGCTGATGCAGGAGGCGGGCCCTGCAGGTCCCCGGGAGGGGGCTTGGGAACCGAGAGCTGAGGAGAGCCCCGGAGTCTGGGGGGGCCTCCTGGCCCGCCAGGCCCCGTGCGTGGGGGGTGTGTGTATGGGGGACCGTGTGTGCGGCGTCCAGGGCCCCGGCCTGCACTGCCCGCCTGGACTCCACACTGCCTTGTCGCGGCGGCCGCCTCAGGCCCCGTGGCTCTGCTGGGAGGAGGCCTCCGCCTCTTGGAAGACGTGGTGTCCGGGAGGCTGGGCATGGGGAAGTGGCTGCCGTGGGGGACCCCAGGGGCCTGCAGGCTGGCAGGCTGGCCTGGCTCCGTGTGGTGCAAGCTTGCTCCTGTGGTTTGGGGGGCCTCCTCAGGGCCAGGCATGTCTTTTCTTCCTTGCCCGTGCCACACCCCCATTCCTGCTGGTGCCAGCTCCGTTCTTATAAAGCGGGCCCAGGGACGGTGCCAGGAGCCTGCATGTCCCAGTGGGCCCGGGAGGGCGCTGGGGCGGAGGCCAGAGCTGGGGCGGACTGCTCAGACCCCGGGCAGCTCGGCTCGCGGCAGGGGGCAGGCAGGTCCTCACAGCTGAGTCTTCACCTGGGCTGGAACGGGCACCCCCACCTGTTAGAGGGTGCCCCAGACAGCACAGGCAGGGACATCTCCAGGAGCAGGGGGACCCCCCCCGCCCCCCGCGCTGCTCTCACAGGGCCCCTTCCGGCTCCCTGGGAGCCTCACCCTCGTTGCTCTCCTGGTGGTGACACCTGGGTCCTTCCTCCCTGGGAGTCCCCGCCCCCCCATTGAAAGGACATCCTGGGCCTTCCCCGTGGGGTCTCAGGAGGGGGCAGGCGCGGGGAGCCTGCTCCAGAGAGGGTGGTGGCTGAGGCTGGCAGAGGGGCCTCGGGGCATAGCCCCGGGTGCGGGCGCGGGGAGCTGGCCCGGCTTGGAGACCAGCTGGGCCCGGGGACCGCGGGGTCTGGTGGGGACAGACAGGTGAGGGCAGGAGGCGCCGGGGCAAGAGGCTGGGGTGCCAAGCCAGGGGGCAGGCTGGCCACAGGAGCCCACTCAGCTTCCTCAAAGGTGCCCGGCGCAGGAGCTGGCAGACCTGCCCGCCTTCTGGCCCCTGCGGTCTGGCTGCTGGGGACGCCGGCCCTGCGGGGAGCTGCCAGGCAGCTGGGGTGGAGAGTGAGCCGTGGAGTGGATGCTGCCCACTTGCTGCCGGGCCGGCTGGGCTGTCCCCTGCGCCTGCAGGCGCTGAGCCCAAGCTCGTCCACCGGCTGGGCATCTGTGTAGCCCCTGGTAGAGGCCGGGGCAGAAGGCCGCCCCCAGGGCTGCCAGTGTGACCGACCGGCTTCGGGGGAGTCCTCAGACCACAACCTGGGGGCCGGGGCACCGCCCGTGGGTCTCTTGCTCCCTCAGGGCGGCTGGTGGCAGGCGCAGGGAGGCCGGCTAGCGGGCAGACTCCAGATGGGCCGTGTGGCTGCGGCCCCGCACGTCCCAAGGGCCGGGGCAGGTAGTCACAGACTGGCAGAGGTGGTGTGGGGGACAGAGGCTCCAGAACCCTCTTCACTGGCTAGGAAGGGGACCTTGCCAGGCCAGCCCAAGAGACGGGAGAGGGTGGCCGGCAGCCTAGACTCAGAGCTGGGCATGGAGGAGGGTACCGGTCCTGCCCCGCCCCTCAGCCGGGCTGTCCTGGGGTGGATGGGCAGCTCCCGGAGGGAGTCGGCTGTGCCCACAGGACGTTGGACAGAAGCTTGAGGGCAAGGAGGGCGGCGCCCCTGGCCTGGACACCCTTGGGAGCAGGGCCCGGTGCCAGCAGCCACCGAACTGTCTCTCCAGGACCGTGGCTGCTCTTCCCCGGTCACCCCCAAGTGGGCCTCGGGCTGGCCTCGGGCTGGCTCTGGCCTTGCCATCCTGCTCGGCAGGGGAGGGGGAGGCACTGGGTGGCCTGGACTCTGCATTCCGTGCTGCTGACTCTGCCACCACCAGCCCGGGAGCTGGTGCCAGGCCAGCTGCAGCGGCCCGGGGAGACATGGCCTGCGGGTGGGGACAGCAGGCCAGAAACAGGCTTCAGGAGGAGGCGAGCGGGCCGGGCCCCGCGCCTGGCTCTGCTCAGTGGAGTCTTGCGCTCTTGGCGGCCTGGGCTGGGCCAGGTGGGGCTGCTACGGCCAGGAAGCGCCGGGGTCCACGCTGCCTGCCCCGCCAGGCCTGCCCCCTCTGCCAGGGCTGGGGGGAGAGACGCGCCCCTTAGCTGCCCGGTGCCGCTTGATGCCCGGTATGCCTGGGGCCAGGGCGGCTGGGCCCAGCTGGCCAAGGGTCAGAGTGAGCCGTGGGTGGGCCCTGCCCACCGGCACCCTGCTTGGGCCGGCCCCCATGGGGAGCACCTGGTGCCGGGTCCCCTGGGCTCCTCCCACCGCAGCAGACATCGGGCAGCTGCTGGGGCAGCTGTTCCTCGGCCCGCCTGCTGCCCGCCCGCCAGCTCCTAGGGTGGGGCCGGCAGGGTAGGCCTAGGGGTGCTTGACCTTGGCCCTGAGGCAGCCGGGCCCTGGGGTGGGGGCGGGAGAGGTGAGGACAGGCCCCCGTCCAGAGCTTACAGGTGGGGTCCCCGCCGTGGGATGTGGCACTCGGACCACACCCAGCCTGCGTGACCTCGACCCGCTCTCGCCTCTCGGCGCGGCCCCTCCGCGGACTCAGACGGGCCCCAGGCTGCTGGGGCTGCTCTGAGGCTGGTGAGGTGCTGGCCCCGGGCGGGGTGTCCGGGACTTGGGGGACTTCCCCCGGCGCTCGGCCCCGGCGCTCTCGGAGGACAGGCGCTGGGGTTCAGGGTGCTGAGTCCCGGGCGTGCCAGCTGGAGGCGGGCGCAGCACTGGGCCCGTGGCACCTCCTTCCGGGCACTTACCCAAGGGGACTGGTGTCGGGCGCCCGAGCGTCCCCGGGCCCGTCCCCGGGTGCCCGCCTGACCCTCCTGCCCCCCAGGATGGAGGCCTCGTGCCTGGAGCTGGCGCTGGAGGGGGAGCGTCTCTGCAAGGCGGGGGACTTCAAGGCCGGCGTGGCCTTCTTTGAGGCGGCCGTGCAGGTGGGCACGGAGGACCTGAAGACCCTGAGCGCCATCTACAGCCAGCTGGGCAACGCCTACTTCTACCTGAAGGAGTACGCCCGGGCGCTGGAGTACCACAGGCACGACCTGCTGCTGGCCCGGTGAGCGGGGGCCGGGGGTGCCCCAGAGGGCGTCGGAGCTGAGCCACGCGGCCGTGGGCCCGCGTGGGTGACCGGCTCCAGGCTGCGGGCGGCCTGTCTCCAGCCCCGAGCGGGCCGCGGGGGGTGGTGTGAGGTGGGCGACTGGGGCGCAGGCCCCTCCATCTCCTTGGCCTGCACCCCCACCCCCCCTGAGCGGCCATCCCAGTGCGGGCGGAGCTGCTCCAGCCCCCCAGGCCCGCGCAGCCTCTAGTCCGCGGGCAAACGCGCAGTCAACCCACGCAGGGCTCCCTGCAAGGCTGGTTCTCCAGCCCCCCCAGTCCCCGCTGCAGCCCCCTCCCCGCCCCACCAGCTCACGTGGGGCCGCTGCTTCAGGATGGGCAGGCCCTCCCCAGACGCCAGCCACGTGCGCCTGGACGGGCACCCCCCTGCCGTACCCAGTGGCCGGGGGGTGCCCACCAGCCCCAGGCGGGTCTCTGGCCCCCTGCTGAGCTCAGGGCTGGCGGGTGCCTGGCTCTCACTCCCCCTGCACCCCAGGACCATTGGAGACCGCATGGGGGAGGCCAAGGCCAGCGGGAACCTGGGCAACACCCTCAAGGTGCTAGGGCGCTTCGATGAGGCCGTCATCTGCTGCCAGCGCCACCTGGACATCGCCCAGGAGCAGGGGGACAAGGTGGGCGGCTGCCCTGCCCCCTGCCAGGCCCACAGCGCCTTGCTGCCGCCCCCGGGAGGAGGATGGGAGGACCAGCCCCAACCCCACAGAAACCAGGGCGCTTCCAGCCGATACCACGGGGCCATGCTAGGCGCCCCCCAGCACCCCTCCTCCAGGACGCCCCCTCCCCCTGACCCCTGAGCTGGCCGCCCCCCTCCGGCCCCAGGGAGACGGCGGCTGCAGAGGCAGGCCCCAGTGTGGGTGAGACACTCGGCAGCAGCCCTTCCTGCCCCCCCGGGACACGCACGGGCTGGGAGCACCTTCCCCAGACTCTGAGGGGCGCCTTGGCTGGAAGGAGCTCGCCGTGCCCCCCTTCGGACCTGCCCTTGCCAGGGCCCACCACGGGGCCTCCGGCCCGCCATGGGTGGGTCGCCGCTACAGTGCCCGCCTGTGCCCGCAGGTGGGGGAGGCGCGGGCGCTGTACAACATGGGCAACGTGTGCCACGCCAAGGGCAAGCAGCTGTCCTGGAGCACCGCGCAGGACCCTGGGCACCTGCCCCCTGGTGTGCGGGACGCGCTGCGCCGCGCCTCCGAGTTCTATGAGTGAGTGCTCCCCGCGGGTGCCCGCCCGCCAGCACGCCCGGCACGGCTCCGCGCTGCAGGGGGCGGCTGGCCGGGCTGCGGAGCGGTGGGGGCGGCTCCCCGGGCTGCGGGGGCGGCCGGGGCGGCTGTGCTGGAAGCCGCTCAGACTCCTGCCTGCAGGCGCAACCTGTCCCTGGTGAAGGAGCTGGGCGACCGCGCGGCCCAGGGCAGGGCCTACGGCAACCTGGGCAATACCCACTACCTGCTGGGCAGCTTCGCGGAGGCCACGGCCTTCCACAAGGAGGTGAGGCCCCCCGTTCCTGCCGTTCCCCCCCGCCCGCCACACCTCCCCCGCGCATACAGGGATGGCGGCCGCCCGGGCCGCCCGTGACGCCCGCCCTGTCCCCAGCGCCTGGCCATCGCCAAGGAGTTTGGAGACAAGGCGGCCGAGAGGAGGGCCTACAGCAACCTGGGCAACGCCCACATCTTCCTGGGGCGCTTCGACGTGGCCGCCGAGTACTACAAGTAGGTGGGCCCCGCCCCCGGCTGCGGAGGGAGGGAGGGGTCCCCAGGAGGGCGCCTGTTGTGGGGCGTGCGGCTCCAGGGCCCCTGCCTCACGCCGGGCGGCTGTGGGCACACGGGGCGTCGGGACCGGAGGGGGCGCCGTCCCGGCCCCGCACAGGCTGGGGTGATGAGGTGATGGGCGGGCAGGCCCGGGCGCTGGGAGCGGAGCCCGTGGCCACCCCATGCCCGCCCCGCGCCCGCCCCGCAGAAAGACTCTGCAGCTGTCGCGGCAGCTCAAGGACCAGGCGGTGGAGGCGCAGGCCTGCTACAGCCTGGGCAACACCTACACGCTGCTGCAGGACTACGAGCGCGCCGCCGAGTACCACCTGCGCCACCTGCTCATCGCCCAGGAGCTGGCCGACAGGTGCGGGCAGCGGGAGCGGGTGGGCAGCGCGGCCACCCCTGCGCCGCCAGGGCCGCGGGCCAGAGCTTTGGCCGGCGGGGAGAGGCTCAGGGCCAAGCTCCATGGGGTGTCGCTTCCCCCAAGGGGCCGTGAGAACTAGATGGCGCGTGGGAAGGTGACCCCAGTCAAGGAGCGATGACCCCGGACTCCGGGTCACCGGCCCCCATTGGAGGGAGCCGCGGAGAAGGCCCGGCTGGCCGCCCAGGGCCAGGAGAGGCGCGCGGCCCCCACGCACCCCCTGATGCGCCCCACTGTCCACCGCCCGGGACTGCCGCCTCCGCCAGGGCGCTCTGAGTTCAAGGGGAAGAAAAGTAGAGGGAGACGCTAGAGCTTCTCCCCGATGTTGGCAGCTTGTGGGTGCCCCTGTTAGTGCCTCAATGGCCACGCGGCCTCCTGGGATCCCAGTGGGGCGCCTGTCTGGGGACTCAGTGGCAGAGCCATGCACCCTGTCTGGCAGCTGCCCGGATGTATACCCCGAGACCCCCAGAACTGGCCCTGTCCTTCCCACTTGGTTCTGCTGGCACCCCAGCGCTTGAGATGGCCCAGCTGGTGGATGCAGACGTGACTCAGTTTCCCTCCCTGGCAGAGTGGGCGAGGGCCGGGCATGCTGGAGTCTGGGGAATGCTTACGTGTCCATGGGGAGCCCAGCGCAGGCCCTGACCTTCGCCAAGAAGCACCTGGAGATCTCCCAGGAGGTGAGCCAGGCCCCCAGCCGCTGCCCGGCCCGCTGTGGACCCCGGGCCTCTGCCTCAGGTGCGCCTGGTGCCGCACGGGTCAGACACCTGTGCCTCGGAGACCTGGTGGCTTCCTGAGTGCTGCAGGGTGTGGGTGGGGGGAGGGGCCTGCTTGGCACCCCCAGGGTCTTCATGTCCCCCGTGGGCAGGTCCATAGCCGGTCCCTCTGGCCCTGATGGGACTGGGCCCGGCTGGGCCGTGGGGATGCCCGACACCCTAAGTGCACACGACCTGCCAGCGGCAGCGTGAAGGCGTGGTCCTGGATCTCCCCAAGACGCCACCCTGCAGCGCCCCAGGGCTGACAGCCAACTGGCTCCCTGGCTCCCATCCCCCACCTCACCCCCAGCCCCACCTGCCTGGGCAGCAGCCCTAGTTGGGGGGACACCACCTCCCTGTAGCTGTCGGCTGGGGTGGCCCCATGCAGGGGCAGCTGGTGCCCAGGAGGGGCAGGAGAGCCCGCACAAGTCTCTCCCCCGGCCACGCACATGCCCTGGAGCGTCCCCCAGTCTCAGCTCCCTGGCCCCTGGGGGGCTGCTGATGGTGCCTGAGGGGTGGGCATGAGGCCCTGGGGCCAAGGAAGGTGCAGCCGGCAGGCCAGCTGCCCTCGCAGCCCAAGAGGAGGACCCCAGCGTCCCAGAATGAGGGCTCTGCTGGGGCACAGCCACCCCTCCCAGGCTCCCTGGGCACAGCGAGGCACTGGCTCCCCCAGAGCCCCGCGGTCACTGACCACCCCAGGGGAGCCCCTGCCCCTGACCTGGCCTGCTCGGCTGCAGATTGGGGACCGCAGCGGGGAGCTCACGGCCCGCGTGAACGTGGCGCAGCTGCAGCTGGCGCTGGGCCGGCTGACCAGCCCGGCAGCCGCGGAGAAGCCGGACCTGGCCGGCTATGAGGCCCAAGGTGAGCCGGGGCGGGGCTCTCAGGCTGGGCCTGGGGTGCGGGGGGCGGCGGCAGGGGCGCGGTGGGAGGGGTGGGCTTTGTTCCTAAGCGGGAGGCTGCCACTGGCCCCCTCTCCAGGAGAGGGCCCCGCAGGGGCTGCCACCCGCAGGGGTGCAGCCGGGGTGACGGGGAGGGCGGCTGTGAGCCAGCCTGCGGCCAGGAGTGTCAGGAAGGCCGGGACGGGAGGGGGCATTCCCGGGCGAGGATGCCACGGGCCGGGGGCCCCAGCTGGGCTTTCTCTGGGCAGCTCGGTCCCTGGGCTGTGGCCCGGTGGCTCCAGGTAGGCTGAGGGGAAGAGGCTGCTCCCTGCCAGCCTGGTATCCACCCGTCCAGGGCCACAGACCCTGTCTTGGACCGAGGATGCCCTGCGCTGGGGCCCGCGGGGCAGGGCCAGGTCAGCAGAACCTGCCGTGACGCCTTGTTCACGGCCGCTGGGCACCCCTGGCGCTTGGCCGTGCTGTGCCGGCCTGGCTGTCCGTGCCAAGCAGACAGCGGAGCGCGGTGGGGGGCCGGCTATGCGCTGGCTTCCCCCGCCGCAGGGGGTGGGCTGGGAGCCAGCACCCCATCCTCACCACCCCACCCTGGTTCTTGAGTTTGGGGGAATCTGGCTCAAGCCGCTGCATGGCTGTGCTGCTGGGGCTGCCTCTCGGCCCGCCGGGAACCAGACCGGGGCTGGGGGTGGGTCTGCGGGCACCCGGCGCTGTCCTGTCTTAGGGGGCATGTATTGCCCCTCACTTTGAGGCCGAGGGGGGGAGGGAGGGAGGAAAAGCTCGTGGACCCACAGCCGCTCTTGTCTTGAGGGTGCCGTGGCTGGGTGGGGCGGTGGAGCGCAGCCCCTGGCCCCTGCCCCCGGGATGTGCAGGTATCTGCCCTTCAGACCCGGTTTCTGGGGGCGGCCTTACCCGCGCACCTGGCCCCTGCCCTCCGGGACCCCAGCAGTAGCATCTGGGACTCCTGGAGACGGACCCCTCTGGGAACGAGGGGGTGCACCTGCCGGGTCAACGGCGGGAACTAGGAGCTTCTGTCGCCCCCCCGCGGGCCTCCCTGCCCTGCCCGGCCCGGCCCTCCCCGCCAGGGCCTCCGAAAGCGCGCCTCCCCCCGCCCTCACCCCCGGCCGCTGGGGGCGCGGGACAAGGCCACCTGCCTGGGAGGTGCGGCGTGTGGCTGCCTGGCCCGGGCGCGTCCGGGGGCCCTGCGGTGTGGCTGCTGCACTGGGCTCCCGGGGGCCTGGCCGGGGCGGGCCTTCTCGGCTGAAGCGCCTTCTCTGACTCTCGCGGCCACTCCCGGCCGGCCCGCCTCTGGGCAGTGCCCCCGGGGTCTGGGGCAGGCCTGCCAGCCTGTGGGGGGAGGGCTCTGGGGAGGGCCAGGCCCTGGTCCAGGAAAGGGTCCAGGCCCTTTCCTGTCTTGGCGAGAACAAAGGCCCTTTATGCCGCCGGGACCTGGAGCCGCAGTGGCTCCAGCTGTGACCCTCACGGCCCCCCCACTTCGCAGGGGCCCCAAGAGGATCTGGTAGCGGGGGGGGGGGGGCGGGCAGGGCAGGGATCCAGCACATTTTTGCGCTGCTGCCTGGGTGCATGACCCGCTGGGTTTCCCGAGCCAGCCCCCATGCCTGGTGTACATAATGGGGTGCAGCCCTGAGCCTCAGGGGTGCCCCCTGCCCGCCCGCCCCACAGGGTGGTCCCTGGCGCCCAGCGGCTACTCCTGCTGCTCGTCCTCTCGTCCCACCACGTACCAGTCAGCTCTGCCTCAGTGTCCCCTCTGGGAAGCCCGGGCACCCTGGGGACCGTGCCTAGCTGAGGCGAGAGCTAGTCTCGCCTGCCTGTGCTCTGACGCCAGTGACACCCCCAACCCCCCACTCCCAACCCCCTCCCCTCTCGGCCGGACCGCCCGGGGCCCCGAGTGGCAGATTTCCCCGCCGCTGACCTCCCGTGCCCGGCCCTGGCCTTGCTCCTCCAGGCTCAGCGGCCTGGAGGAGCGGCGCGGCGCTCCCAGTGCCCCCAAACCTGGCAGGGGGCTGTGTGGGCACCCCAGAGACGCCACACCCCACATTCCCTAGAAGCAGCAGCCAGGGAGCTGGAGGGGCGCGGAAGCAGGGCAGGCAGAGTAAACCCACGGGCGTTGAGCACCCCGAGTGACAGGTGCTCGGCGGCGGGGGCAGAAGGTGGGGCAGCGTGTGGCCGGCGGTGCAGCGGCCGCGGGAACGGGGCAGCTTTGCCCACAGACGCTGGTTTCTCACCTTCAGGCCGACGTCCCGGCGCCCGCACGGCGGCCTGGGCGACCCTCCCCCTGGTGTGCGGGGGGCGCGCAGAGCGTGCGGCGGGCAGAGGCCGGGTCTGGACAGGGCCGGCCAGGGAAGGGCCTCGGCAGGTCAGGGAGCGCCCCGGGGCCCCAAGCCTGGCGGGCAGGTGGGGTCCCGAGGGGCAGAGCAGCCGGCAGGGCAGCCCCGCTCGCGCGTGCGGGAGGGACCAGGGGCCAGGCGGGCCCGGCGGGGGAGGAAGGCCGGGGAGGGGTGGAGAGGCCCGCGGGACAGGGGACGCAGCGGCGGCGGACTCCCGACGGGGAGGGGAGGTGCCCAGGCCGGGTGCCAGACCCCGCCGGGTGGGAGGGGCGCGCGGAGCGGAGCGGCCTGAATGCCCCGAGTCAGGGCGGCCATTGGAGCTGGCCGGCCCCGGCGCCCACACTCCCTGCAGACAGAGGCGCATTTAGCCGGGCCGGGCCGCCTTCACCTCCGCTCGGCGCTGCCGGCCCGCGGCGTCGTGCTGGAGGGCCAGGCTGGGCAGGGGCAGCAGGGGCGCCCGGCCCCCGAGGCGGGGACGCCGAGTCGGGCCCCCACGGCGTCAGAGGGCAGCCTGGACCCCCACGCCCTGGCCGGCCCCGGCGAGGGCTGCAGCGGGGCCCTGCCTCGCCGCGGTGAGTGAGGGGCCGCCTGCCTTTGCCGTGGGGGGGCTGCGGGAGCCTGGTGACCCCCGGCGACGGGGCGATGCCCGGGCACGGCTGGGTGTGGGGATGACTGGGCTGTCTTAGCCCAGGGTTGGGGGGGCAGCTGGGCCCCCAGCTCCCCGCCAGGCTCTTGTTGGGGGCACAGATGGGCCCTGGCCAGCCCCCTCCAGGGTCCCACCGCCCTGGGGGCCCCCAGTCTAGCCGTTTTTAGGACCCTCAGCGTGGACAAGCTCTGAGGGGGTGCTGGTGAGCAGAATAGGGCTCCCCTGTGCTCCCGAGCCAGCACCCCACGACCCAGCAGGCCCCCGTGTGATCCCTCTGGAGTCCCTGGGGGTCTGACTCCCGCTGGCCCCCCCACCAGCTAGGGCAGAGGCCCCGCTGGTCAGGGCAGAGGCGCCAGCGCTGGCTCACCCCCTCCCCATGCCATCCAGTGCAGGCGGCGTGGGAGGACCCCGGAGGCCTCTGCTGTGTGGCTCGAGCTTGCTGTGCCCGCAGCCCGTACCCCTGGGCCGCGTGGCTCTGGGTGGACGGGTGCTCGCTGCCCAGCCTGGGGCGCGGTGGGGCTGGTCTCATCCCAGGCCAGCGGCCCCGCACACTGGAGCAGAGCCAGGGGTCCCCTGAGACCGAGCTGTACCCTGGTATCAGGAATGGCTCAGCCAGGTGCTCCCTGTAGGCCCCCCGGCTCCGGCCACCCTCACAGGCCCCCCTTTCTACATCTCAGGGGCTCCCGATCCCGACCCCTCGAGCACCTGGTGGCTCGATTGACCAACCCATCTTCCCCACTTTCTGCTAAGGAGCCTCCATCCCTGAGGGGGGCCAGTGCAGGTCCCAGACTGAGCTGCACCCCTGCCTCCCCTGGCCCCGCCCCACCCCACTGGCTGGTGCATGGGGGACCCCCAGGGGCAGGGGCGGGCCCCAGAGCCACCTGCTCGTCCCCGGGGGTCGGGCCCGGGTGCTGAGCTAGCCGGGTCCTGTGCACGCGGGGAGGACGGGCGGCTCCACACTGGGGGACCGGGTGGGAGGTGGGGGTGGGCCAGGCCCCTGCGGAGCACCCCCAGAGTGGCGCATGTCGGCCTCCACGTGGGGCTGGCTTGACGCGCCCAGGACTGACCGGCCACTGCCTCCAGGGGCCAGGCCCAAGAGGACACAGAGGCTGAGCGCGGAGACCTGGCACCTGCTGAGGCTGCCCCCGGAGCGGGTGAGTGGGCAGGGCGGGGGGCAGCACGGGGTGGGGGGGTGATGGGCTCAGCAGTGTATGCTCAGCCGCCTGGAGGCCCCAGGGGCAGGCAGATGTGCTGCCTGCTCTGAGGTCGGGGGCGGGTCGTCTGCTTCAGAGGCCCCCGTGGGGCCAGCCCCAGCCCCTCCCCCCCACATCACGGGGTCCGGCCCACTGCATCCTGGGGTGGGGGGCCCCTTGGTTCCCACACAGGCCCTGTGCCGCCCCCAGCCACAGCTCCGGGTCTGGCCCAGCCCCTCTCCTGCCCACTCCTCAGCACCGAGGCGCTGCAAGCAGGGAGGCCACACTGGCTCGGGGGGCTCCGGAGTTGGGGCTGGGAACTGGCCCGGCCGCTCTGCACCTGCAGGGGTACATGCTGTGTGGCTTTGGGGGGGTAGCCCAAGGCCCCCGGCTCTTTGAATGCAGGTGGGGTTCAGTTTGTGGGGGTCTTGCGGGGGCCAAGGCCCAGGGCTGCCAGGGCCGCGTGTTGCTGGTGTGGGGCCTCAGCTCCCGCGGCGCCCCCCCGGCAGCCTGGGCCTGCTGCCCACCCTTCCCCTTCCCCGGGCCGAGCGCCTGCGTGTCCGTGAGACGGGGCAGCTCGTCCCCCCCAGCCTGGGTCGGTCCTTTCACCCATGCCCGGCCTCCTCCCGCGCAGGAGCAGAATGGAGACAGCCACCACGCGGGGGACTGGCGGGGGCCGGGCAGGGACGCGCTGCCCCTCTCTGGGAGGAGCAGGAAGTACCAGGAGGGGCTGGACGCCGCGGACAGGAGCCCCCGAGAGGGCAGCCGCTCCCCGCTGAGCAGCGCCGACGTCCGGCTGCAGGTGCCCCGCACGGTAGGCCGCAGCCCGGGCGCTGAGGGCGGAGTGGGTGGGCGTCCCCCTGCCCGGCGCCGCGCCGCACGGTGGGTCTGGGAGGCGGGGCCGGCCACACTGCGGGCAGAGGTCCTGGGCCTGCCGACCACCCGGGCACCCTGCAGCTGGCCCGGAGGCCTGTGGAGGGGGCGGCAGGTGGCCCGGCGGGGCGGGTCCTCGGGCCACGCAGGGACGCGGCATCCAGCGGCGGGTGACAGGTGGACGGTGTGTGCACAGCTGGACGGGGGGGCCGTGCTGGGGCTCAGCAGGCAGACGAGGTGGGGGGGGTGGGCACTGGGTTGCGCCTGCCCGGCGGAGCCCGCGTGCCCGCGTGCCCGGGCGCCCTCCCGTGAGGCGCAGACACTGGTCAGAGCTGGGGGCCAGGGCGAGCGCGCGGCTGGGCCCCACCCATGGGCGCAGGCCGGCCGGAGCCCCGCGGAGCACCTGGTCTGAGGCTCCAGGCTCGGTCTGGAAATAGCTCCCCGCGAGGCTTAATCAGCACCTTCCCGCTCGGGGGCGTGGGCGCCGCCGGTATTCTTAGCCCAGATGCTGCTGCGCGCCCGTCTCTGCCACCCGCCTGGCGAGGCCTCAGAGGCCCCGTTTGACCCCGGCTGCCCGCCTCGGCCAGGGTCTGTGCCCGGCGAGAGAGGTGGGGGGAGGCGCCCACAGCCAGGCTGCCCCAGGGGGAGGAGAGATCCCGGGGGGCCCGTGCTCAGGACCCCCGTGGGGCCGGCTGGTGCTGGCACCAGAAGCGTCAGGGCGCCTCTCCTGCCCCCGCCCCGGCCTTGACGGGGCTGGCTGTGGACTGTGGGCCCAGAGAACCCCCTGGGCGACGCGGGGCGCAAGGTGGGGGTCCTGGAGCGGGCCTGGCCGGGAAGGGCCCGGCGTGCCGGGCGGCGGGAGCCAGGGCGCGCCGGAGCAGGGAGGCCACAGGCTTCGTGACCCGCTGCCTGTGCCCCGGGCTGTGGCCCACGTGACGGCGCCGTGTGCACCCACCGCTGTTCCCTGGTGAGGTGGGGGCGGGGGTGAGCTGAGCCTGTGCCCCAGCTGCCAGGGCTCCCCGCAGCAGGGGGAGCAAAGACAGGCTTGTCGTGTGGATTCCCCCGCACCCCAAACCTCATCAGCCTCCCTGCACGAGGCTGTTTTTAAAGCCTTCCTGGAAAGGCAGCTGAGGGGGAGCCGCCCCCTTCGACGGGCCCACACCCGCCCGCCTTCCGGGGTCTCAGCCCCAGAGGTGGGCCCCGGGGCCCCGTGCAGGGGTCTTGCCGGACAGACAGCCGCCGACACTGAGGCTCGTCACTGGGCTGTTTCCACCCGTTCTCAGAGGGGAAACCGAGGCACAGGCTAGTGAAGATGCTGGCCGCAGGGTGTCCAGCTGGCTAACAGCAGAGCTGGGGTTCCAAGGCCAGGGTCAGCTCCTGGCACCCTGCCCGGCCCCCCGGAGGCGCCTGTGAGTGCCTGAGTGGGGCTGCCCCAGCTGGAGGGCAGGAGCCGGGGCGCTGAGCCCAAGCCCTCCAGGGGCGGCGGCCTGGGCAGGGTCTGTCCGCCCGCGGGCCACGATGGGGGAGGGCAGCTTCGAGCTCCCGAGAGACGGACCCGAGAGGGTGCAGTAGCCCCGTCCCCACCGCCGGCCCCGCTGACAAGGGCAGCCCTGGGAGCGAGGCCGGGCTCCCGGACCTGGTCCAAGGCTCAGCCGCCCCAGCCTTCCAGGGGCTGCGCCGAGGCCGGGCCGCGGGGTCTGCCCTGTGGGTGCCCCAGCGGGGCGAGGGCAGAGCGCCGGGAGCTGTGTTTACAGAGCTGCCTGCCTGTGATGTGTGCGCGGGCTGGAGCCGAGCGGGGCGGGGGGCGGGCCGGGGCGGGCCCAGCGCTCACCCGGGGCCTATTTAAACCTTGCGCTGACAGCGCGGTGGGTCCCAGCGGAAGGCAGCCTGGCACCTCCGTCCCGCCTGGGCTGCGCCTGGCTGAGCGCCCCGTGGTGCCTGCTGCTGCTGCTGTGGAGGCCGCACACCCCGCGTGAGTGTGGGGCCTCTGGGGGGCCCCGACACAGGCGGGCTCCTTGAAGTGGGGCCAGGCGACAGCTGTCCGGGAGGCCCTGGGCTGGGGGGTGGCCCTGGGTGGGGGAGATGTATAGGGCCAGAAGGACGTGCGGTCGGGGCGCCAGCGGTCACTTCCCTGAAAGCCTTGCCCGGCCAGCGCCTGCTGCCCGGCGGGTGTGGGCAGCTCTGAGTGGGGGCCGGGCTGGGAGGGGCAGCCCCGGCTGAGGGGAGGCTATTCCATGGTGGAGACGGGCAAGAGTCTGGCCGGAGGGAGGGAGGGTGAGCAGGGAGGCACTTGGGCGGGGGGAGGGGGGCGGAGGGGTGCGCTGGAGGTGAGCTCCCCGTCCTGCTGAGCCTGCAGGGGCCTAGGTCTGGGCCCCGCTGCTGCTGCTGCTGCCTGAGGAGGGGCGGTGCTGGCAGGAGCCTCCTGTGACCCTGTCTCAGGCCTCATTGGACTTGGGGGGCGGCCTGGCGCCCCACCGGAGTGTGATGGTGCCAGGAGAGACATAAGCAAACTTTCCTATTCCTTCAGGGGTGTCTGCTGAGCCCCGAGTTTCAGCCCTGGGGAGGTTGGGGGTGGGGAGCAGTGATGTCTGGCAGTGGAGGTGCTGAGCCCTAGGGACCACAGAAAGAGGGCTTGTGACGTCGGGTCACCCACGCAGCCCCTCCTGCATGCAGGCTGATGCCGGGAGAGCCACCCTTTGCCTGGCCTGCAGGTCCCTGAGGCCTGGCCACTGACTCACAAGATTTGGGGGACAGCCCGACACCTCACCTGAGTGACTGTGGGGGGCACTTGAACCCCCCAGCCATGGCTCTGGTCCTGCCCTCTGGCTCAGCTGTCCTCCCGGCACGTCACCACCCCAGCCCTCTTGGTCTTGGGAGATGGTGCCATCCTGGCCGAGACCTGTTCTAGGCCTTCGCCATGGCCCCTGGCTGCCTGGGAGCCTGGCCTGGGCTGGCCCTCACTGCTGTGACCTTAGGGGCTGTGCCAGCTCCAGGCCAGGCTGGTGATGGGGGTGGGCAGGTACGGGTGGCACGCGTCCCCCAGCCCAGCCCTCAGTCACCAGCACCTGTGCTGCAGCGGCCTCTCCGTGGGCCCTGCCCTGGGGAGGCCTCGACTGTGGAGACATGGGCGGGGGTGCCAGCTGTGGGGAGGCGGATGGGCCCGACTGACAACAGACGTGCCGGGGGAGCCACACTGCCCAGCCTGGGCCAGACTAGGTGGGGCCTGGCTCTGCCTGCCCTTGGGGCGGGGGTGCCCGCGTGGCCGTGCACACTGGCCCAAGACCTCCCTGTGGGGAGGCTCAGCCAGGCCCAGGGACCTGGTCTCAAGCTTCTCAGCCCGCCCACCCCTCCCTCTGGAACTGTCACCCTCCAAGCACCCCTCTCCCTTCCCACCCACAGTCCAGGTGACACACCATGGTGTCTCCCGGATTCCCTGCCATCTGGGGCAACTCGGAGCCCCCAGCCACCCAGTGCAGCCCATGGAGGAAGGACTGGGCCGTTAGCACCTTCTTCCTGAACACCCCACAGAGGGCCCAGCCCCACAGATCTGCCGCCTTCTGGGCTTGCCCACTGTTTCAGGACCTTATCAATATTTTGCCCAAACCCCACAAAGGAGGGACGAACCCTACAAGAGCGGAACCCAAGAGACTGCACCTCCCTCAGCTTGGGCTCCTTGCCTTCAGTGATATGACCCGAGAGTGCTGGCACCTTGGGTCCACCCATCCTCGCCAGCAGGGCTTTGGCGCAGACCACGGCCAGGCTGTAAAGAGCCGGCCGGCCCCTTGCCCAGCCCTGGCCCGCTCCTCCCCAGCCGGGCGAGCGCCGGGCACAGGGTGCAGCGCAGGTGGAGCCTGCGGAGGGAGGGCGGCCTCGGGCGTGGGCACCGGGAGGCTGCGGGGAGGGGCGGCGGTGATGGCTGAACTAGGGTCGCTGCGGAGGCGCCGGGTGGAGCGAGGGGGGCCGAGGTGACAGGGAGTGGGCCGGGGCCGTCACGCCTGGGGAGGTGACGGGGCGGCGGCGGCGGGGGGCGGTGCCCCAGGAGCCGGGAGCGGGCGGCCCGCGGCTGACCGCCCCCCTCCCCAGAGCACCCCGCGCGCCCCGTCGCTGGAGGAGGACGGCTTCCTCGACCTGCTGAGCAAGTTCCAGAGCAGCCGCATGGACGACCAGCGCTGCCCGCTGGAGGACGGCCCGCCCGGGGCCGCCGAGGCCACCGCGGGCCCCGCCCCGGAGGAGCGGCTCGGTGGGTGCCCCCGCCCGGCGGCCCCGCGCGCCCCGCGCCCAGCGCCTGCCCCCAGCTGCGGAGCCCCTCGCCGAGCGCCTGCCCGCGCCTCGCGCCTCGCGCCGGGGGTGCCGGCCCCCCGCCCCCGCAGCGCGCGTGGGTGCCGGCGGGGGGGGGGAGGGCGGGCCCGCGGGCAGCCGGCGGGGGGGGGGGAGGGGGCGGCCCGGGCCCCGCTCACCGCCGCCCCCGCAGCCCGGCCCGCGCCGCCCGCCTCGCCGCAGACGGAGCAGCTCTTCGACCTCATCGCCAGCTCGCAGAGCCGCCGGCTGGACGACCAGCGCGCCAGCGTGGGCAGCCTGCCCGGCCTGCGCATCACGCACAACAACCTGGGGCACCTGCGCGGGGACCGCGGCCCCAGGACCCCGGCGACGAGTTCTTCAACATGCTCGTCAAGTGCCAGGTGCGCCCCGCCCGCGCCCCGGGGTCTGCGGCCGCGGGGGAGCCTCGCGGGGACGGCGGGGGGCGGGGGCGGGCGGCCGAGGAGACCCCAGACCCGCCCTTCCCTCCGCAGAGCCCGGGCAGGTGCAGCCGCGCCGCGAAGCCGGCCCCCCGCCCGCGCCCCCGAGCCCCCCGCGCGCCCCCGACCGCCCCCCGCGCGCCCCCCAGCCCTCTGCGCGCGCGCTCCGGCGGCTGCCCCGGCCCCCCGCCCCCCGGCCCCGCGGAGGGGTCCAGGGCCGCCCGCGCGCGCCCACACACCTGAGCGCCCTGCAGGGTCCGGTCCGGTCCGGTCCGGTCCGGAAGCGGCGGCCCGCGCGGGGCTGCTGGGCTCGGTGGTCTTGGGCGCCCCCTTCTGGCGGGGACCCCACCCCCCCTGGCGGCCCCCGAGCGGCCGGGCCGGGCCGGGGCTGCGTCCCGGGTGGATCCCGACGGCTGGAGGCCGCTGACCGGCCCGGGCCCCGCCCCCGGCCGGCCTCACCTGCGCGTGTCCGCCCCGCCGGCCTCACCTGCGCGTGTCCGCCCCGGCCGGCCTCACCTGCGCGTGTCCGCCCCGGCCGGCCTCACCTGCGCGTGTCCGCCCCCGGCCGGCCTCACCTGCGCGTGTCCGCCCCCGGCCGGCCTCACCTGCGCGTGTCCGCCCCCGGCCGGCCTCACCTGCGCGTGTTCATCCCCGGCCGGCCTCACCTGCGCGTGTCCGCCCCGGCCGGCCTCACCTGCGCGTGTCCGCCCCCGGCCGGCCTCACCTGCGCGTGTCCGCCCCGGCCGGCCTCACCTGCGCGTGTCCGTGTCCGCCCAGTCCTCCAGGATCGACGACCAGCGCTGCCTGCCGCCCGACGTGCTGCCCCGCGGCCCCACCATGCCCGACGAGGACTTCTTCAGCCTCATCCAGAGGGTGCAGGCCAAGCGGATGGACGAGCAGCGGGTGGACCTTGCCGGCAGCCCGGAGCAGGAGGCGGGCGGCCCGCCTGAGCCGCGGCAGCAGTGCCCGCCCGGCGCCAGCTAAGGTCGGGAGCCCAAGCCAGGCCCCCCCCGCGCTCCTGGACGCAGGCCCCCAAGAAGCTGTGCCCTCCCGAGACCATGGCCACAGGCAGCTCAGAGCCCCCGGCCCTCCCCGCTGAGCTGGGTGCGGGGCGCAGCCCCCACGGCATCTCCCTTCCCAGGCAGCAGTCTCAGGCCAGGCTGCCGTTGGGGAGGGAGGCGCACCCCAGTGTCCTGGGCCGCCCTCACACGGTACCTGACTTCCGCAGGCCGGCCCAGCCCTGCCCCTGCCCCAGGCCGGCCGGGCCTCCAGCATGTGGGCCGGAACCCCGGTGCTGTGTAGACCCTCCATGCCTTTCCCTGCCCGGCCAAATGTGAACCCCCTGCCACATCCCCAGAGCCCCCGGGATCTCTTCAGCCTCTTCTGGGGGCAGCCGGGGACACGGGCATTTCTGTCCTCCACGGCGGTTCCCAGGGACGGCCCAGCATGGACGTGACCCCCACCCCTGCTTCCCCCCAGTCCCAGCCAGGCGGGGCAGGGCCTGGAAGCAGCGGCCCAGAGGCAGCAGCCTGCCGGGTACCCAGCTGGGTCGTTGGGCCAGGGGTGGCCATGCCTGGCTCCACAACCCCAACCTGGGGGGCACGGCCTGCCCAGGCCCTGGGAGCCCAGCCAGGCCCAGCTCTGCACCTGCGCCGTGGCAGAGGTGAGAGGGCACGAGGGCGGGCGTGCCCAGGGCCAGAGGGCGGCAGCAGCACAGCTGGGTGGGGCTCAGCCCCACTCACCCCGCCCCACGGGGGCGCTGACACCACTGCCTTCCCGCGGGCCGGCCGCGCCCAGGTCCTGGGGGCCCAGGCCACCTGCTCTCGGCCTGACCCTGCCAGGCCCACAGCCAGCCCGGGAGGCCCCCTGGTGGGGGTGGCTGGAGGCTGGGTGCAGGGTGATGGCCCCCGAAGGGGTGTGGGGTGGTCCTGCAGGGGCCGGGCACGCCCATACTTGAATGTACACGCGTATTTATTGCCCACACGTGTTTGCCATGTCTGCGGGGCCCGGAGGGCCGTTTCCTTTTCTGTTTTCCCAATGAAATAAAGTCTGCAAAGTGGAAGCTGCGGAGCAGAGGGGCCGGGCAGGATGGGGGGGATGGGGGGAATTGGGGGGGCTTCCCAGCGCCGGTCACTGACCTTCCCTGGGAAGGCGGCCCGCACCGCGGGTGCCCGGCGAGCGTGGGCTCAGCGCCCAGGCCTCGGGTCTGCGGGTGCCACCGGTGAGGGGCAGGCCTCAGGTTAAGCGCGGCCACCAGTGGCTGAGTCTCCCCAAGTCAGGCCGTCTCTGCAGACCCTGGAGGCTCCCGCACCCCAGCCTTGCGGGGGGCTCTCCAAGGGCCGGGCCTCAGCTGGAGGCGAAGGCCCAGCAGGAGCAGGTTTCGGCGGCACCACGGTGAGCAGCAGGAAGCCCTGCCAGCGCCCACGTCAGCCCAGCAGGGGCCCCTCAGGCCAAAGGCGGCGGTGAGGCCAGAGCCCTACCCCACACAGCCTGGGGTGTGTGCTGTGCCCGTGAAGGGGCAGCCCAGGAGCCCGTTCTGGACGTGCCCTCCAAGCAGGGCCCTGCCAGGAGCCGTGACCCCAGGCTGCGCCCCCAGGACCACATGCCAGGTGGGACGTATTGCTCACCCCCCACGGCCTTGGAGGGAGGGTCCTGGGCCAGGGTGGGTCAGGAAGACACCACGGGGGCCTTTGGGGTGGGCCCCAGAGATGGCTGAGGGGGGGCAGCCACATTGCTTCCACTCAGGGCGGACGAGGCTGGTGTTGGGGAGCCCACCATCGAGCTGGATGCAGGCAAAGGCACTGGCTTCCACCCAGGCATGAATGCCTCGGGGTTGGCAGGGCCGAGGCAAAGCTCTGGGGCAGCTGAGAGGATGCGGCGGAGACACAGGCCAGGGCCCTGCGAGGCCAGCTGGTGGTTAATGGCAGGGGTTGTGCAGCCCAAACACTTCTAGAAATAAACAGGCAGCTGTGTCCACTCGCTGTCACCAACACAGGTGGTCGGCCGGCCGGGCTGAGGCAAACTGCACGCCTAGCACCGCCTCGCCATGCCCAAGGCCGCGGGAGCAGCCTGCTGGCTGGCCTTGGCAGGCAGCAGCCAAGGATCAGGGCTGAGGCTGGAGTCTGAGGGGCAGCGGTAGCCTGGCAGGATGTATGGGGTTTCCTGCTGTCTGGCCAGATGGTCAGGACCCTGGGGGCCGCCCCCCTCCAAGGAGAACGGTGGCTAGCCATTCCAGGTACGCCTCCAAAGCCAACAAGTTGGGGGCCCTGAGCCCTTCCATGCCTGCCCCTCACCATCTCTGCTGGCCACAGGCCTGGCACCACAGGGGCCTGCCCAAGGCCATGCAGCCCCAGCCAGGAGGGGCGCAGGCGCCAGGTGACGGTGACCAGCAGGGCTGCCAGCCCCAGGAAGCGGATGCCACCATTCTGCCTCCAGACCCAGGAACAATGGAGTCCTAACCCTGAGCAGCAAGACGTCTGTTTATTGAGAGAAAAAAGAGACCCAGTCCAGGGTTCGTAGCGTCCACTCCCAGGCAGAAGGCCAGTCAGCTGCTCTCTGTCTTGCTAGGGTGGGTGGGATCCTGGTCCTCACCCCCTTTTGGAACATCAGTGGGTGTGGGGGCCCCCGCAGCCTCCAAAACCAGCTCCAGGGCCCTGTCGCTGGCCACTCTGCGCACCTCCTCCCCTCTGGCCGCCAGGATTTCTTCAATATTCCTGGAAGGAGGAGGCACGTGACGCTTTGGTGGGGGGGCACCTAGGTTGTGCCGGGCACTCAAGGCCAGGTCTGCTCAGAAGCATGGGTCCGCGGACTGGGGTGGCATCAGGGCCACCCAAGGCTCAGCTGAGGAACCTGCCCGGCCCCCAGAGGCAGCCGCTACCCCCACCCCAGGCCCAGGGGAAAACGCAGCTCAGAACTCCGCTGCCCGCGGGCTCTGACCATTGCCCTCCACCGCCTCACGCGCCTCCGCGCCTCGTGTCCTCAACCACCCGGCGTCCTCAGAAGTGGCCTCGGGGGTTCCCTGCCCCGGGAGGGTCGCAAGGAACCTTTGCAGCAGGAGGGAGGGCCGGGGGAGGACGGAGAAGGAAGCCTCGCGCAGCTCCGCCGGTCCCTGCAGGGGATCCCGCCGCGGGCCGGCCGGGCCTGCCCTCCGGGGTCCCCCAGCCCCACCGCCCGCGCCGGGGCCGGGCGGGGCGGGGCGGGAGCGCGGGGCTCACCTCTTCCCGTCCAGGTCCGAGAACCAGCCCAGGTTGTCGGCGATGACGTGGTGGCTGCGGCAGCCGGGGCAGGTCACGACCACCACGCCCTGGTGGTAGGCGCGCTTGGAGACGCGCCGCGCGGCCCGCGCGCCGCAGACCTGGGGACAGGGCGGGAGGTGGGGCCGGCGCCCGGCCCGCGCCCCCGGGGGGCCCCGCGCCCCGCGCCCCCGGAGGGCCCGCCGCCCCGCGCCCCCGGAGAGCCCCGCCGCCCCGCGCCCCCCGGAGGGCCCCGCGCCCCCCGGAGGGCCCCGCCGCCCCGCGCCCCCGGAGGGCCCCGCGCCCCCCGAGCCGCGCCCACCTTGCAGGTGTAGACGAGCTGGTAGTGAGCCGCCGCCGCCGCCGCCGCGCGCCCCGGCCCGGAGGCCCAGCGCCGCCAGCCCCGGCCCGCGGGCTCCGGGGCCGCCCACGGCCGCCTCCGGCCCGGCCCCCCGGGCCCCGCGCGGCCCAGCAGCGCCGGCAGGAGGCCCAGCGCGGCCCGCAGCATCCCGCGCGCCCGCCACCCCCGAGGTCGCCCGCCTGACGTAGCCCCGCCCCGAGGTCGCCCGCCCCGACGTAGCCCCGCCCCCGAGGTCACCCGCCCGACGTAGCCCCGCCCCCGAGGTCACCCGCCCCGACGTAGCCCCGCCCCCCAGGGCGCCCGCCCGACGTAGCCCCGCCCGAGGTCACCCGCCCCGACGTAGCCCCGCCCCCGAGGTCAGCCGCCCCGACGTAGCCCCGCCCCCCAGGGCGCCCGCCCGACGTAGCCCCGCCCCGAGGTCACACGCCCCGACGTAACCCCGCCCCCGAGGCCACACGCCCCGACGTAGCCCCGACCCCGAGGTCGCCCGCCAGACGTAGCCCCGCCCCGAGGTCGCCCGCCCCGCTCCGGGGTCGCCCCGCCCCCCGAGGTCGTCCGCCCCGAAGTAGCCCCGCCCCTGAAGCCGCCCGCCCCGACTAGCCCCGCTCCCGAGGCCGCCCGCCCCGCCCCGCGGAGGCCGTGCCGCCGCCATCTTGGGTGCGGGCACGCGGCGGCCCCACCTCCTCACGCTCGTGCCCCCGGGGGCGCCCTCTGCTGCCCCCTGGCGGGCTGGCGGCGCAGGCGAGTCAGCGGGAGGCGGCGTCCGGGGCCCTTTATTAAGTGCACTTGTGACGCCCGCCCGGGGGGGGCGGGGGGGCGCTCCCGGGGCCGAGCCCGCAGCTCGCTAGGAGCCCTCGGTGTCCGTGTTGTCGCTGCCGGTGGTGTTCTCCCTGTCCGCCTCGCCCTGCCGCGAGCCGTGCTGCAGCTTCCTGAGCGCCCGCTTCCTGCGGAGACGCCGCGTGCAGGTGTGTGCAGGTGTGTGCAGGTGTGTGCGCCCCGCCCCGCCCCGCCCCGCCCTCTCCGCGGGAGCCGCCCTCCAGGGCCCACCTGCGGTAGTTCTCGAAGCTCTCCTTGAGGCGCCGCCGCTCCTTCTCCGGGGGCTCCCCGCCTGCCACGCCTGCATCCTGGAGGGACCCCACCCCAGACGCCGGGACTGCAAACCCTGGCGGCGCCCCGATGGCAGCCCGCGTGGATTCCCGCCCGTGTTCCTTCCCCTGCAGTGCTGGCCGCGGGTCCTTAGCTCCAGGGGCTCTGGCACAGTGCCGGCCCCCTTGCGCCTGCCGCTTTGTCCAAGCAAGGGGGATCCAAGCACCCCAAGGCCCTGTGAGCTGAGGCCCTGTGCCCACCCCCAGGCTGCTGGCGGGGACTCCCTTAGCCTGGAAGCACAACTCTGCCACCCAGCCAGGAGCCCCTGCAGCCACCAGAGCCCCGGCAGCCTTACGTTGGAGGTCAGTGACAGCCGCTCCTTCTGCAGAGCCACAAAGGGCTGCTCCGGGCTCTCCCTGTCAGCTGGGGCACCTGCAAAGGGCAGTCAAGCTTGTGGGGACACCTCCCCCCTCGTCCCTGGTACATCGCCTGGGACCTCACTTGGTGCCCACGAGGAGCCCCTGTTGCAGAGATGTCACCTGCCTGCTGCTCTCCACGGAGGCGCCCCTGGGGCTCCCACCCTCTGCCCTGATCCTGTGAGCTCATCCCCAAAGGGCAGAGGCAGGCAGACTGGGCCCCCAGACCCCCGTGCCAGCTTGGAAGGGGCTGCCATTGCAGAACATTCCAGGCTGCTGGACAACCTCCCCCACACACAAATCTGCCAAGGCCCAGACAGTGCTCTGATGGGCTGCAGGCACTGGTAGTGCCAGGCCAGGCCCTCCTTGCCTCCCACCCTCACTGCTGCCTGGCTCCTGGGCCACCCCTGGGCCGCCCAAGTCCTGAGCCTGCCCACCTGGAGGGTGGTCTCCAGCCACCCGGCAGGCACCGTCCCTCACTTCTCCCTTCGCTCCCTGCCCCTGGTTCCCCTTCGGCCAGGCCTGGCACTGAGGAAGTCTGGCTTCCCACGCGGCCTCTGCGGTACACCCTCCCCCCTCCCAGCCAGCAAAGGGCTCTTCCGGACCCCCCGACTCCCATCTGACACCCACCTTCAGCGTGAGCCCCTTGTCCCCTCATTGCCCCCCTGAGTCCTCTCCCAGGCACTCCTGCCCAGCCTGACTCCAGCACGCCCATCCTCCCCCAGCACCCCCTGCCCGTCACCCTGAGCCAGTTCCCTTCCCAGGGTTGGCACTTCCTAGCATGGCACACCTGGGCACCCACTTGCCACCTCCGGCCACACTCCTGCTCTGCGGGCCTGGGTGAGGGCAGGGTGCAAGGCTGCACCCCCAGAGTGGGAGGACTGTTGGTGCCCAGCAGGGGCGCCGCACCCATGCACCGGGGCAGCTCTGAGCGGCGCTCTCCTCCGCTCACTGGGGTCCTTGGGGCTCCCCTATCCCTCTGAGCCTCAGTTGCCCTGTCTGTAAACTCTCACGTTTCCCTGTCTGTGGAGATGGGGGGCTGGCGTGCACCCCGGCCGCCAGGTGTCCATAGTGGCCACTCCTCACCCTTGTCCGAGAGCTGGGCGTCCTCCAGGTCCTGGGGGGGTGAGAGCTTCCGAGAGAGAAAGGCGTGCGGTCAGACCACCCTCCTGGACGGGACGACGCTGCCCACCCGTGTGCTGCGGCGCCCCCGGCACCCCCTGCATACGTCCCTCAGGGACCTGTGCGGCCCAGTGGCGCAGCAGACAGGCCCCGCCTCAAGCAGGCGCTGGGCACGGCCGGGCGCTCGGGCCTCGGCTGCATGGCTGCGCTCCCTCCACCTCCCAGCCCCGCCCCGGGAGCCAAGGGCCGCCAGGAGAGTCTGGGCCTCCCTGGGGCCGTGGTGGCTGGGCGCCCTCCGGGGCGGGGGGCGGGCCCACGCACCTCCTGGGAGTGCCTGCACGAGCTGTCCTCCAGGTCGGAGCTCTGTGGTCAGGAGAGGGGGCTGGTCAGCAGGCTGCAGGGGCCCGAGCAGCCCCAGATGTGGGGTGGGAAGGGACATGCCCCTGTCCTCTGCTGGTCCCGGCCCTGCCTGCACCCCTACCCCCCCACAGCTGGGCTGGGTTAGGAGGCGCGGCGGCTCCTCTGGGCTCTGGGGACATCCCCATGCCCACTGTGGTCTGAGCTCCCGTTCGCCTGCCGGTCAGACCCCTCAAGGCCCCACCCCGGGATGCCCACCAGGACGAGCATCTCCAGCTGCTGTTGCCTGAGCCTGCCCTCCGCGGCCAGCAGCTGGCCCTCGCGCTGGAACAGCTGCAGCTGCAGCTCGTCCGCTTTCTCGCCCAGCTCGCGGACCTGCTTGCGCAGCTCGTCCTTCTCCTGCAGGCCCCTGGCGTGCTGCGCGTGCAGCTCCTCCCGTGCTGCAATGGCCTGTGGGGACAGCGCGGGGCGGCCTCACTTCTCAGCAGAGCCCGCTGCACGGGCAGGGCCGCGGCCGGACCGGCAAGGGCGGCCCGGGCTGGTCTCCGTGGGCGTGAGCTGGTGCCCGGGACTTGCACTGGCCACGGTGGCCATCCTAGGGCGCGTGGGCAGTTGGAAATTATAAAGAGAGAACACACATCTGCACTCGGCCGTCCAGAGGGCCCTGCTGGCCATGCCGTGGCCGCACCCCGCACGGCTGTGAGGACATGGCCCATGTTCACACCCACGTGTTTCGGAAATTTCTAGTGCAGCTTGATGTGGAGAAGGCTGCCCTAATGGCACCCTACCTCGTCTCCTCAGGCACAGACGGGACACGAGCCACACCACTGTCTGGCTGGCACTGACCCGCCCCCCCCCCCGCCACACTGGGACCCAGGTGGCGGGCACGTAGCCCTCCAGGAGACGAGCCTCCGTCTCCAGCAGCAGGCCAGGAAGCTGAGGCCCAGCCCTGCAGCCAAAGGCCCCAAGCAGCCAGGACGCGGTTTCTGTCCATGTCCAACTTCAGACCAACCTTTTGCCTGGCCTGCCTGGCCTCACGCCTAGGCCCCGGGTTGCTGTAAGGGTCCCCCTCCAGCCTGCACCGCTCCAGGAGGGTGGCCGCCGGCTCTGCCTTGCAGCCCTCGTTCCCCCGCTCCCCCGAGCTGGCTCCACCCTGCTTCCCTGGCCACACTGTGGCGTGGAGACCGGCACCAACAACAGAGGTGACTCTGCCCTATTACCGCAAGAGAAGTTTCTAGAAGTGGAACCATTGGGTTCAAAGGAATCTGTGTTTTTATGGCTGCCGTGGATGCTGCTGCCGTTAGTGAAAGCAGCCCGGAGCTGAGGAGCACCCAGTTACTTAGGAAAGCTACTTAGGGGCCTCCCCGGTGGCGCAGCGGGTTGAGCGCCGCACTGTGACGCTGTTCGCAACCTCCGCGGCGCCGGTTCCATTCCTGAGTGGCCAGGGAGCTACCCACAGGGCGCGGCAGACCTCTCCTGTCTCGCCCGCTGCTCCCCTCGGCAGTGGATTTCAGTCCTTCTGCCTGTTCTGCTCCCTGTTCTGTCTCTGGTGGATTCTGTCACCCTCCCGCGCCTCTGGCCTGTACCCCAGAGCTTGTATAATTAAATAAAATCTTAAAAAAAAAAAAAAAAGCAAGCTACTTAGCAGCTCGCCTGCCCGCCCGGGCCCCGCAGCGTCTCTTTGGGCAAACCCGTCCTTTCCAGGGCGTTAGCCTCCTCACTGCTCAGGTTTTGCAGTGAGCCCCTACTGCTTTTAGCTTCTGTGTGCCCCTTTGACAGTGTCCGCGCCCACCCACCCCCCGGCAGGAGCCCCACCTGGTCGCGCTCCACAGCCACCTCTTCCATCTGCTGCAGGATGGCCTCGATGCGGTCCTTGTACATCTTGGAGTCCTTCCGCAGGGCCAGGCACTGCAGCTCGAACATCTCCTTCTCCTCCAGGCACTGCGGGAGAGGCAGCTGGCCCCTACCACCTCGCCCTGCTCTGGCCCCTGCCCGGGCCCGGCTGGGACAAAGGGAGGCCTCCTGTACCCCTGGGTCCCGGCCAGGGCCAAGGTTGGCCCTGGCTATCCTGGGGCGGGGGCAAAGAATGGCGCGAGAAGGCTGGTCCCAGGGGGGTGAAGTTAGGGCGTCCAGGCCGGAGCTGAGCATCCCCCCTCGGGGCACCCACCCAGCCCACCTGCCCCGCCCGGCCCCGCCCCCCGGCTCTCCTACCCGGGCGCGCAGGGCCTCTGCCTGGCGCAGGTCCTTGCGCAGCGAGAAGATGGTGCTGACCTGCGCCTGGTGGTCCCGCAGCGCCTGCCGCCAGTCCTCCTCCGGCACCTGGACGTAGGGGCGGCTCTTGTCCAGCCTCCGCTCCTGCGGGCGCGGCAGGGAGGGCAGCGGCCGGGCGGGCGAGGACTCCTCCCGCCCGCCCCGCCGGCCCGGCCCCGGCCGCCCTACCTGGGCGGAGACCTCCAGCTCCTGCACGCGGGCCTGCAGCAGCGCCTTCTCCTGCTGCAGCTCCCACAGCAGCTCCTGGCTGGGCCGCTGCTCCATGGCGCGCCTGAGCTTCAGCGTGTGCTTGCGCTCCACGGTGCAGTCGTCCTCCGCCCTCATGAGGCTGTGCTTGAGCCGGTCGATCTGCAGGACAGGACGCAGCTGTCAGCCGCGGGCCCCCTGCCGGGTGCCCCTCGAGGGCCATGCCCCTCCCGGCCAGAAGGGACGAGGCCCGGCGCTTCCCGCCCTCCGGCACCTCCAGCTGCAGGTCGCGGTTTCGCATGAGCGCTGCGCCCTTCTCCTCGCTCTGGCGGGCCAGGCGCACGGCCAGGTCGTAGTTCTCGTCCTTGCAGCGCCTGAGCTCGCGGCCGCAGGCCTCGGCCTCCTCCCTGAGCCTCTGCACGCGCTCCTGGTGCTGGCGCAGCAGGCTGTCCTTGACGCGCAGCTCCTTAATGAAGTCGTCCTTGGAGCTCAGCAGCGCCGTCAGGTCCTGCACCTTCTTCTGCAGCTTCATCACCTCGCTCATCAGCAGCTGCGTCAGGCCAGACTCCCCGGAGGCATCTGGACGCGGGCCAGTGTCAGGGGCTGGTCACCGCAGCCGCCTCGCTCCACAGCCTCCCGGCCCCGACTGGAGGACCGGCGGCCCTAGGCCCGTCTGGGCAACCCCGCCCGGACTCGACCGGCCAGCACCGGACTCGACCCCTTCGGTAAAGAGACAGGGCCGGGGAGGGCCGAGTCGCGCTTGCCGGGGCCAGCAGACCCTCCCCTAAGGGACAGCGGTGGTGGCCCAGGTGCAAGGCCTTCGGCGGGGCGGGAAGGCCTTCGGGGCAGGAGGGGCTCTGGCCCACGTGTCGACTTGCGCGCCCACCTGCTCCCCACCCCCACCCCCGGGCCCGGAGCAGGACCCCCGGCGTGTGGGGCAGTGGTGATCCCGGCAGGGCTCATGGACAGCAGGGCCCGGAAGGACAGCCCCGCTCCAGCCTCCGCTCCCCACACGAGTGCCAGGAGCAGAGAGCGGGATGCGAGCGGGGCCAGTCACGCCCTGGCACCTCTCGGCTGCGCGGCTCTTACTGTTTTCATCCAGATTTACCCAGCAGGAGCACAAACGGGGCGGGGCCTGCCAGCCCCGGCTCGCCCCAGGGCCCCGGCCCCGCCCCCAGGTGCAGGCCCGCGCCGGCCGCCGCCTCACCGATGATCATGGAGAAGACGCGGGCGGGCTCCTTGCCCGTGACCTTCTTGTAGAGCTGCGGGTAGTAGAGCTCCAGGCTCTCGAGGAAGGCCACGTAGCCCTTGTGGCCGGTGCGCTGCAGGATGTCCAGGAGCGCGCCTGCAACCAGAGGGGCCGGCCTGGACCCTGGGGCCGCGTGGCGCCCCTGGCACGGACCCGCCCCAGTGCTGAGGCCGGCCTGGGCTCTGGGGGCTCGGGGCGGCAGGGCCCGGTATGCGGGCAGGGGGTGCCGGGCGTTGGAGTGGGGGTCACTTCAGGGCGGGGCGAGGCCAGGGGACACTGACCCACTTTCCGCTTGCGGATGACCAGGTTGGGGTCGCTGAGCACCTGCTCCTCGTCGTCGGGGTTCAGAACCTTGCACTGCCGCAGGTAGGGGGTGATGCGCGAGGGGTCAATGATGGAGATGAGCTTCACGCGGAAGCCCTCCAGGGCGCTCCAGCACTCGTCCTCGTTCTCGTAGTCAGACATGGCGCCTCTGGCCCGGCCCTGGGAGGGGAGCAGGCGCCAGTGTTCCGGGTGTTGGTGCCGCGGGCCCGCTGGGCTCAAGGCAGGTGTCCCCTGCCCCACACGCCCGCCTCTGCTGCCCATGGAGGGGGATCACGGCACCCCGTCCCCCGCCGGGTCACCCTCCTGGGCCTGGGCCTGCCTCGGCCACCCCGGGCTCACTTCTTCAGGTCACCCGATGAGCGGGTGAGACGATGGCGAGGCTCCAGAGACGACCCCCAGATGCCCCCGTGCCGACTGGCAGGAACGGCTGCCTCCGTCCACGGAGGTGGGTGAGCAGCCTGTGACCCCGGGGCGCGCGCCGCCGTCACCCTCCCACCTGCACAGCAGCAGCCCGCGTGCGACTTCCTCATTCCCGCTGCGGCTCCCGCCGGCCGCGCCCCTCCTCCCGCGGTGATGCAACGGTTGGCGGCGCCCGGCCACCGCTCAGTCACCGCTGCCGGGAAGGGACGCTGCGCCCACCCCCTGGGCAGGGCCGGCCGGGCACCGCCGCCGCCCCGGAATGCTGCCTGGCACCCGCTGGAGGCTCTGGTCCTGGGCTCCCTCGCAGGCGCCCCCACCTCCAAGATGGGGCCCGCCCCGGCCCCACTTTCGGAGACCACGCAGATGGCGGGCAAGGGCCGCGCGCCACCCGGGGGGACCGACGTGGCCACCTTCGCGCTCCCACGGCGGGCCAGGCCGTGCTCGTGGACATGGTGGCCTGGGCTGCGCGGGGCTTCTCCAACTTCCCACCGCCCTGCGCACCCCACGCAGCGCGAGACCGATGCTGGAGAGCCCACCGCGCCTCAGGGCCCCGTCCTGGGGATGCCGGGGCCCGCCCCCACCTTTCTAGTCTCGAATCCCCGGGCCCCACCCGCACCCGGGCTCGCCTGCTGCAGCGAGGGGGCAGGCGCCAGGTGGTTGAGGGGACGGGATGGCAGAGCTGGGGCCACTTGGTGCCCTTCTGGGAGTTGGGCCCTTCTAGGAGCCTGACCCAGCCCGGGAGGCTGACCCCCAGCGCAGCGCCCCCTGCCACCTTCCAGCGAGGGCGCCCGCCCGCCTACCTCCCGTCCCGCCGCGCCGTCAGCCTGCTCGCAGGTCAGTGAGTGGTGGGAGGCGGCCCGGGAAGCCTGGGCACTTCCTGAGGCCCCGCTGACTCCGGCTGGCGCCACCTCCCATTCGCCAGCCAGGCCGGGGGCGGGGCCGCGGGAAGTGGAAGTCTGGGCACTGAGGAACCCCGCGCGTCCTCCCAGCAAGCGGGGGCCCAGCCCGTCCAGCCTCTCCGGGGCGAAGCTGGCACCCGGAGGCGTCTCCAGCGGGGCGCCCTGGGCTGACGCGCCACCTCCTTGCCGGGCAGCCTCGTCGGGCCAGCAGCGGGCCTTGGGGCCGGGCATCCCGGGCATCGGCCCCTCCGTGTGGCCAGCACGGGCCTCCCAGGGGTCGCGGCATGGGCCCGGGCCCAGCCGCGCTGGCTCCGCATGCCAGCCAGCCGCGCTGCAGCCGCACACCCTCACCCCGTCCTGAGAGCCCCCGCCCCCAGCACCCCCGGGACAGTGGCAACAGGTCCAGGCACCAGCCAGTTCACGCGGCTGCCCACAGCAGACGCCCGGCCCACGGCGAGGCAGCTTGCTCCGCCCTGGCCGCGGCCGCCCACCCAGTGGGGAAGCCCCAGCCGCCTCCGGCGCGGCAGTATCGGCTGAGCTGCCCAGCTGAGGCAACAGCTCCGGGAAGGGCGGCCAGCCCCGCTCCCGCTCCCGGTCCCACCCGTCCCACCCGGCCCAACCGGCTCATCTCCACCGGCCTCACCCCTCGGCTTCCCTCCAGGCAGCTCAGCCGCGCACTTCTGGGGGTGCTGTGCCAGGGCGGCTGGGCACCCTAGGGGGGACAGCGGCCTGACACTGTCCTAGCAGCCCGCAGCCGGGGCTTCCGCCTGCCCCTTCGGGGAAACTGAATACGGGGCCCGGGAGGTGCACCCTGCCCTCGGCAGAGCCGCTCAGCCTCGTGTCCCCATGAGGCCCCTTCCCGAGATGCGATTCCCCGGCCGGGAGCGGCCAGCGGGGCACCGGCTGGCGCGCCAGGGCCGCGCACCTGCTCTCCGTCCGGAGGCGGGAACCTTCCACGAGGCCGCGGCAGCCGCGGGGAGGCTGCGCCCCGGAGCCTGCAGTGGGGACGGTGCACGCTCGGGCGCTGGGCTTGGTCAACGCCGGGGGCGGGGAGGGGGCCGGCCCAGGCCTCCGTGACTGTGGGCGGCCGGGTGGCCGCCGGCTCCAGGGAACCGGCCCGGGCTGGCCGACGTGGTCTGGCGGGCAGAGGAAGTGGCTCCCCCTCGGCCCCCGGGGAGCCCGGCCGCAGGCCCGCTGGTCCAGGCGGCCAGGCCTTCTGCCGCGAACCTCAGCGCGAGACACAAGTCTGTGGCTTACTTTTTAATTAAAAATAGAACATTTTCTTTATTCCTTCACAGCCCGGGCGGTGCTCGGGGACCAGCCGAGCCCACGACAACGCGGTCACCGCCAGCTGGGCCTCCCCGCCTGCTCCCTGAGCCGCGGGGGTCCTGGCGTCCAGCCTGTCGGCAGCAGCAGTGGGCGTCCCGGCGTGGGTGGCCCTAGAACGGGACACCCAGGGCAGGGGTTGGGCCACAGGGGGCAGGTGGCGAGCCAGGCCGTGAAGAGCGATGCCCCCCCCCACCCCAGGACCAGGAGCCCAAGCTGGGGTTCACAGGGACCTGCTGGCCAGGTTCGGGCTGGCGGCTGATCCGTGCCGAGCCACTTCCGGCCGGGCCTGCGCGCAAAGGCCAGGCACATCTGACTCAAGACACGGGGCTGCGGCAATCCGGGGGGATGCCGGGGAGGGCGGGGCGCGCTAAGGCAGGCAGGTGGACCCTGGGCCCACGGGGCGCTCAAGACAGAGATAGGGGTGTCTCGAGGGCAGACCGGAAAGGAGGGCGGGCAAGCTTTGCAGGCGCAGGAGACAAGGACCAGGCGCGGGGCAGCACAAGGGCCCCGGGGCCCACCGGAGAAGCGTCTGAGGCTAAGGGGTGGGACCTGCGGGGCAGGCGCGGAGAGCCAGGGGGCATTTGGTCTGGACAGTTCTCCCCCAGGAGGGCCCGAGGACCTATGCCTGGGCCGTTACCCCTGACAGGAGCGCCCAGGGTGGCCATGCCGATCAGCAGCCCTGGGGGTGCCACCTGGGCGAGCCGAGGGCTGGCCAGGCCTGGAGGTGGCCGGCAGCTGGCCCCAGACAAGTGGCCTGGCTGTGCGTGCCCTGCAGAGCAGGGGGACAGCCCCTCCTCTGGGGCACGGGTTGCGTGGCCCCCAACACACCCTGCAGTCACACCAGCCTCCTCCGCTTCCGGGCGCGCCGCGTCCGAAGGACATCCAGGTGGTCAGCACCGTCCGGGGAGGAGGGGGCGGCGCCCCCACCAGCATCAGGGACCCCCTGAAATCGTGCACACGGGAGGTGAGCGGCCCCGGGGTTGCTGTGTGCTCACGCCGGCCGACAGGCAGCGCTCCCACAGGAGGCTGCGGGGAGCCCGTGGGCACGCGTGGGGTGAAGACACGCAGGGGCGGGAGGTGCAGCTTTCCCGGATGGCCCGAGGCCCCAGCTCACTCGGGACTTGCCCCAGAGTGGCTGTGGGCGGCTCCCGGGGCCCACTAGACAGTGACCAGGCACGGGCTGGAGGCTGCAGAATGGCGCAGGGGGGGGTGCCCTTGGCGTGGGGGCAGGGGCACCTGCCCGCAACAGCAGTGTAGGGCCTGCTCAGCCCAGGCCCCTGTGAACCCCTGGAAGGGGTTCCAGGCACCCTCTGGGGCCCCCACTGGGCAGGGCTCCCACCACACCCTGGTTTGGCACGAACCGGCTGAGGCCGCTCTCCAGGCAGCCCCAGGCCGCAGCAGGAGGGCCGCATGGGGTGAGGACCCGCTGGGAGGCTGGCCACAGAGGACTAGGCAGGGGACCTGGGGACAGCCCTGCCGCGAGCCCCTGCCCACGCAGGACCCCTCCCCGGGCCATGGGGCTGGGCCCTCCCGGGAGGGGCCCCGCAAGGGAGCAGAGGCTCCTCCCTCCCGCCTCCCACAGCACCGACACGGCCACGCCCCGGCCGGGGGACCCAGCTTCCTCCTCTGCAGCCTCGTCCACCCACCCACCCCTGGGCGGGCACCTACCTGCACAGGGGCGGGGCCGGCAGAGCCCTCCAGGCCATGGTCCTCACTCTCGCTGTCGCTGTCGGAGGCGGCCCTGGGGGCAGCCAACAGGGTGGTGGGCACGCCGGGCGGGGGCAGGGTGGCCAGGAGCGCGGGCAGGGTGAAGGCGGCCAGGAAGCGGGCCCTCAGCTGCAGGTAGGCCGGGCTGTCCTGGAACTGCCCCCGCACCTGCCCCAGCGCCGCTGGCAGCGCCCCAGCAGGCCCAAGGGAGACGGCCCGGCCCTCCAGGGCCTTCTTCTGCAGCAGGAGGCCGGCCAGGGCCCGCAGGCTGCACAGGGCAGGGGGCAGGTAGGGCAGTCTGCTGCCCAGTGGGGGCACACACACCCCTTGCTGTGCCCTCAGCCAGTCCTGCACGGACGCCTCGCTTTCCCGGGAGAGGAGGCTCAGGTCCAGGGTGCCCTTCTCAGGTCCGGGCTGTGGTGCGGGCGGCCTCTCCAGGCCCAGAGGTCCTCTGGGCACCTCTGCTGCTGCTGGGGCCCCTGGTGTCTCTCTGGGGCCACTCCCCGGACAGGAGGTGCTGCTTGGAGGCCGCTGGCCGGGGCAGGGAGGCTGCGTTTGAGGGCGCTCAGGCAGGAAGACGGCCTGGGAGGATGTCCCGGCTGCCGCTGACTCCCCAGCCTCCCCTGGGGCACAGGCCATGTCACTGTCCCCTCCTGCAGAATTCTGGGATGACGAAGGGGCTGGCAGGGCGGAGGCACATGACGCTGTGTCCTTAGTCACCGGGAGCTGTCCAGGGTGGCTCTGCCCAAGGAGCTGGGGGCCCTGGCCTGCGTGCGTCCTGGTCACGCCTGGGGGCAGGGCCACCACCAGCGCTTTGGGGTCAGAGGGCGCTGCTGGCCCGGGAAGGCCCAGCATGGCTGGCACGGGGAGCAGCCCCTGTGCCGTCAGCACCCACGTGATGGACAACGAGGTGCTGGTCACCGCATGAGGCACGCCCTTGGGTGTGCTCAGAGCCGGAGGCAGGCTGGGCGGCTGGGCAGGCAGCTCGGGCGGGCCTTGCTTCTGGCAGGTGGCGGGGGCCTGAGACTGCCCGAGACCGCCGGGTGGGCTGCTCTCTGGGGCGCGCCCGGGGTCCAGAGCTGGTGCCCTGGAGACAGCAGGGTGGGGGAGCTCAGATGTGGGAACTGGGGCCCTCACTGAGGCCGTGGCCAGGTTGAAGGCAGGCAGGACAGAGGGTCCCGCTCCCCTGGCTGCGGCCGCAGGAGCCCCGGGGCCGGAGGGCCGGAGCAGCACAGGCGGGACCAGCAGAGGTGGCGGGAGCACGGCGGGGCCCAGGGCGGCCTTCCTCGCACGGGCCTCCCGCAGGCGCTTCTCGCGAAGCAGCTCAGACACCGTCTTGGGCTTGGGCCGGGGGCCCCCTGGGGCCGGCGGGGGCGTCTGTGTGGCGGAGGCTGCCCTGCAGGCCTGCGGGGTCCCGCCTCCGTGGCTGGTGCTCTTCTTGCCGGCCTCCCGGGCTGGCGCGTCGGGGACGAGGCCACCTGCGTGGGGACAGGACACACTGCCGGCGGGCCCACGTGCCCCCCCGACCCACTTCAGCCTTGAGTAGCCTCTGAGCCAGGCTCCCTGGAGGCCAGCGCCTGCCCCACCCAAGCACCCAGGCCCGCGCTGGGTCCGCAGGCAGGCAGGGCTGCGTCCCAGTGCCGTGCGGCGGATCTGACACCCGAGCGCCCGCCTGCTCGCGTCAGCCTGTCCTGTGCTGGGGCCGGGCCCCTGGCCCTGGGGCCGCCAGGCTGCGGAAGGCCCACCGGCAACGCCAGCGCCGAAACAGCTCTGCCCCGCGCTGGACGCCAACAGCCGAGAGCTGGGCAGTAGGTACCTGGGGTCTTCTGGGCACTCGATGGCGCCTGCAAAGAAAGGCCCGTCGGCACCTCTGAGAGTCCCGGGACCCGAATCTCCCTCTCTGCTCCCCACCCCAGCAGCACAGAGCCTGCCCCCACAGCTCTGCGCCCTCAGAGGCCGCTGTCAGCCTGGACACCCCGGGGTGCCTGGGCTCCCTTGAGAGATGGCTCCACCTGAAGGCGCCCTTGGCTGAGCCCGCTGCGGGGCAGTGGGGCGGGGGGGGGGGGGGCAGGCAGCCGCGTTCAGGCTGAGACGGGAGTCCCCAGTTGCATCTCCCCCCGACGGGCTCAAGGATGCGCCTCTCACGGCAGCCGGGGCTGGGAGCGGGGCCCACACTGGGCAGGCGGCGGCAGGGGTGGGCAGTGCAGGGCTGGAGGCAGTTGCCCAGGTGGCTGCCCCTGCCCCTCCCTGGCTGACAGATGCACCTCCCGGGCCTCCTCACCCGCTGAGGCGGCAACGGCTCCCTCCTCTCGCGCACGACCTCCATGCAGCCCGCCGTGTCGATCTGGAGGAGCTGAGGTGCAGAGCAGCATGCGTGAGAGGTCTGCGGGCTCCGGGCCAGCCCCCACCGAGTCTTCTGGCGTCTGGCATGGCCCTGGGGCGCGCGGCCTAGCCCAACATCCGGCCCTTGGGTCAACATGGGCAGCGCGCGCTGTGTCCAGGCTCCCTCCCCGCAGCCTCCGGACACACTGGGCCCGGCTTGGCGGACTGAGCAGGGACGCTGCTCCCGGCCGTCCCCTCCGCGTCACAAAGGCCACCGAAGACCCTGGTGCAGGACCCAGAGCTTCTGAGCACCAGCTGACGTGGACGGACGGCGCCACCCAAGGCCACGGGGTGACACTCACCTGGATGAAGAGGGCGAACACCGGGGTGCTGGCCAGGCGGGCGTCCTGCAGCTGCTCCCGGACACGGTCGGCTGAGGGGACAAGGACATGCCAGGTGTGCCAAGGGCCCCCTCCCACGGACCCCAGACCCACGGTGTGGGGGCGAGGACCAGAGAGCAGGTGCAGCTGGCCCTGGAGAAGGGGGCAGCCCGGAGCCCAGGAGTGGCCCCCATGCACCCCCAGTGTGGGCTGAGCGCCGCATGCCAGGTCCTGCCCCAATGACCGCCCGCTGTGTCTGGGCGGGATGCTGGGAAGAGGAGACGACATGGTCTCTACCCAGCAGGCAGGCGCAGCCTCCTCAGGCCTGTGGTCCCCCTCAGCCCTCTCCTCTGGCCCCCCTCTAGGGCCCCAGGCAGTACCTCGAGTGTGCACCCTGAGGAGCCTCTGGGGAGGGCAGGGCAGGATGATGTCGCCCACCCAGGGGCTCACGGCCATCAGTAGCTGGCGGTCCAGGAGCCTGTTCTGCAGGGCGCGTCCCCGGCGTGGCTGCTGCCTACATGGCCTGGCAGTGCTGCTGCCACCACCGGGGTTGGTTCCTGGGGGGAGGCCAGGCAGGCGGGGCCGCCTCAGCCGCTGCTTCTGCAGGGGTAGAGGGCATGTGGGCCTCCTGGCCACACCCAGCTCCAGGTTGCCCCGTGGCCTGCGTCCCCCGTCGGGTAGGGCTGGGTAAGATGCGCAGATGGGTGGGGCACAGCGGGCCTTACCAGCGGCCGGCACCAGGCGGTCGTGTTGGCCCTGAGCACCTGCAGCACGGTCGCCAGGGGCACTCTCAGTGGCCGCCTCCCACTCTGACAAGAGACAGCGTGAGGCCGGGTGGGCACAGGTCCCCGCCGGGGTCACTCACGTTGCCTGGTGCAGACCCCGACAGCCACGTGCCCCCAGGGTGCGGGAACATGCTCTGGATCTGGAGATGGTGGCCCTGGCAGGGCCTCCCCCAAAGGAAGGGGTGTCGAGGGCCTGACCCACGCCCCCGCCCCACTGGGCTGCAGCCAGCCCCGAGCGGTGGCTCCAACGCCCACAATAGGCTGAACAGCAGCTGCATCTGGGTGGCATGGAGGGGGCCGCAGCCCAGGACCAGTGGGTGTGCACATGCCCGGGGTCCCCTGGCGTCAGCGTGAACCTCCAGCCCGTGCCAGGACAGACCAGCCGGGCCAGCACCAGTGTGGGCAGAGCTGATAAGCCCCGAGCGGCACCTCGGACGAAGCAGATGGCCCCCCAGGCCACACGCTGTTGCCAGCCCTGCTTGGCCCTGCAGCTTTCACAGCCAACAGGCCAGGGACTCGGAGCCGCCAGCTTGAGCTTGGGCACCCGAGGCACGGCCCCGTGAGGCTGGAGGAGCAGCTGCTGGGGTGAGCGCGAGGGGCCCACCCCAGCCTGGAGACATGATGGGCACAAGATTGCCCGTCCCTGCGTCTCCGAGCGCCAGCCCAGATCCCCAAGCGGCCCTGCCCAACACGCCCGAGCTGGGGTGCACCAGGGGCCTACCTCATCCACGGTCTCCTCTGAGCCCTGAGGCTGAGTGTCTGCCAAGCGTGGAGACGCGCCTGCTCTCGGGCTGGCACTGGGGGTCCCCGAGAGAGTGTGTGCCCGGCATGCCTCCTCCCCGGGAGCCAGGCCTGTGATGCCAGTTTCCCCGAGGCCACCCTGGGTCGCCCTGGAGCCAGGGGCAGGGATAGGGTGGGCAGCAGGCCGTCCTGGCCAGGCCCCTGCCCCTCCTCGCCACAGATGGTGGGCGCTCGGCCTGGTGGGGACCCAGAGGTCCATGTCTGGCACAGAGCGCTGGGCTGGAGGCAGGGCCTGGCCGTCCTCCTGGGCCTCTGGTGCTTCCTCTGCTTCTGAGTTCTCGCTGTCCCCGCTGCTGCTGCTGCTGCTGCTGCTGCTGCTGCTGGAGGCCCCGCTGCTGGAGCCCCCGCTGCTGGAGCTCCAGCGCACGCTGCGCAGGGGCCGCCGCCGCCGCCGCCGCCGCCGCCTGCTTCTGCGGGGAGAGGGCACTCTGGGGCTGCGGCTCCCCGGCCAGCCCGTCTGCAGAAGCTCGCCCTCCCAGCTGGCCTCCCGGAAGACGCCGGGCTAGGAACCGGGCCGCCCCACCCCCGCACCGCCGACAGGCCTCCGTGCTCACCCTGACCATGATCTTCCACTTGCTGAGGCACTGGGAGCCCGTCCGATGGGGCAGTTCCGCAGCTATTTTTGCCCAGTGACCTACACAAGCGGACGAGGGCTGCTCGCACGGCGCTGACCCGCGAGCTGGCCGCGTGGCCGACAGCTCCCCTCCCCACACCCGAGTACCGCAGACGGGCCCTAGCCTGCAGCGGGACAGGGCTGGGCGGCCACACACTGCACCCACGTCCCCGAGGCTGGACGAGCGGCTGGGTCTCCCTCAGCCCCATGAGTGTTCTGACGGGGTGCGCCAAGGGGGGCACGTGCCCCTGCAGCGGCTTCCCATGTGACAGGCCGGGGGCGGCTGTCATGGGGCACTGGACCATGCCTGGCCCTGGCCTCCGGGTTGTACATGCCCCTGGACCTGGCAACCTGCACCCCGGCTCTCGCCCGTGGACATGTGGTCCAGGTGAGTGGGGCTGCGCTGTCAGCCCCGGCTCGCTCCGGCCACTCAGGGTCCCTCCGTGGACTCGGGGGGGGGCAGCCCTGCCCAGGGGTCACAGTGGCAGCGGGAGCCATGCCGGCGCCCCGGGTGCTGGGCAGCAGGACGTGTCACGGAGAGAAAACCGCTGGCGTGAAATTTACTGGACGCCCGACATGAATGCGCCGCCTCTCCCCAGAACAGCTGGCGGAGGCGCGCGTCCTTCTGTCTGTCCTTCCCCCCAGGCCGTCTGGGGTGGGGATGGCTCGTCAGCTGCAAGAACGGTCACTGCCAGCAGAGCCGCGACCGCCAGCCCGGGGCGCGCCCTGGGGGAGCAGGGGCTCACCCACACCGTGTTTCTCGATCAACTCAAGCAGCTTCTCCTCCTCTTTGGGAGTCCAGCGCCCCTTCTTCAGGCTGAAGTGCAGCCTCCTGAGATACCTGCAGGCACACGTGGGGAAAGGGGCGCCTCAGAGGCTGAGACGTGCCCGCCGGCCTGGTCTTCACCGCGCTTTCCACAAAGCAGTGCCCAAAGCGCGGGCACAAGCAGGGCGCGGGCCCTTCCTGCACCGGGCCCCAGGCCGCGAGGGCTGCCAGGTCCCCGCTCTAAGCAGCAGCCCGGGGAAGGCCAGCTGCAGCGGGGGCCGGGGCGCGTGCAGACGCTCGCAGAGGAGACAGGCGGCCGCGCCGGCCTGGGAACCCGACCTCAGCCTGGAGGAGACCCTCCCTCGCGCCCTGGGGTGGGACACGTGGAACAGCGAACGCTGACCAGGGCGCGGGAAGTGGGGGCCTCACACCCTGCTGGTGGGACAGACGTGGGAGGCGGCCGCCCCCGCAGTGCCGTGCCATGTGGGGGCGTGAGCAGCGGGCACGCCACGCAGACGCGCAGGCCCACCCTGTCCTCGTCCCTTGGGCCGGCTAACGCCGTACACCCACGCAGCTGGGCGTGGACACCACGGCTCTCCCACCGCTTGGCCAGGCGGGGTAGGGCGGCCGGTCGGCAGTAGGGCTAAGGGTCTGCCACAGGTGCCCTTCCTGGGGCGCAGCGCCCCCTTGCGGCCCCCGACACTGGTCTGTTATGAGGCGCCGGGCCAGTGTGCCCAAGGTGGCCTCGCACAGGGAAGGGCCTGCGGACGCCCTGGCCGGCACCCCGGCGCCCACTTCCTAGAGTAACAGCCACTCAGCCCTGCCTGTTTCCCGGTGTGGAGAGCGGGTTCTCTGTCAGGGGCTCAGAGCGTTCTCAAACTGACGGTGACGGCGGCGCGAAGCCCCAACACCCTAAAACTGAGATCGGGGTGCTCAGGGCTGACCCGGCGGTCTGCACGCTCAGCTGCTGGGAGTGGCCTGGGGGCGAGGCCGAGACCACAGGGCTTGGGGAACCCACCACCAGCATCGGCGATGCCAAGTCTGGCTTGGAAACAAGCAGCCACCTGCCGTGGGCCAGCCCAGCCCTGGCCACACCATCTGCTGTGCCCGCACATCGCCCTCGCCCCTGCCCACGGGAGCATGTCCTTGAGCAGGCATGCAGGCCAAGCCCAGTGGCCACCCGCCCCCATCAGCGAGCCTGCAGGCCCCGCCCAGTGCCCCCCCCATCAGCAAGCCCGCAGGCCCCGCCCAGTGCTGTCCAACTCACCGATCTCGGCACTGGGCATCGCTCCTACCTGGCACCTTCTCCCGGATCTTAAACCAATCCTGCTCCCCGTATTTGGCAACTGCTTGAAGCAATTTCTGCGGGAAGGCAGCAGGCAATGCACCTCCTCAGGCAGCCAGGCCCCGGCCTGAACTTAAAGGGGAGCTCAGGGCCCAACGGCCACCCTCGGTGTTGGTGACCCCAGAGCACGGGCTCCCGGGTCCTGCTAACTCACCGCATCTTCCTCGGGTGCCCAGGACCCCTTCTTTAGGCTGGGGTCCAGGCTCTTGGTCCAGCGGTAGATGAGCTGCATGGAGTCCCGGCCCTCCATGTAGTAGACAACTGGGGACAGAGGGCCCGTCCTGGGTCACCAGGCGCAGGCCGCAGGCGGGAGTCCCCCTGATCACGAGGACCGGGCTGTGGGATGCCTGGGAACGCCGACCCCTACGCCCTCCCCTGCCCTCAACTACCCTCGGGACCCGCCTAAGCGACCTGCGCTGGGCAGGCGCCCACTCACTGCGGCGGTAGGGGATGTGGCTGCCCACACGCATCTCCTGCACCAGCTGGCTGAGCATGCGGTCCTCGGCCTCCGTCCACTCCTTGCGCTTCAGCGCCGGGTTGTGCTGCTGGTACTTCTGCAGGCACTGAAAGGCGCTGCGACGGGTCTGCCAGGTAGGACATGCCAGCACTGTCAGGGCAGGGCCAGCCCCGTGCAGCAGCCATCGACGCCTACTGGGGCCTTGTGGGGAGAGCAGAGAGCACCCGGCTGGACCTCCCACGGAGCGGGGCTGCCTGGCACAGGTCTCTTCAAACTTAGCCCCTGTGCTCTGGCTGGAGATCTGGAGACTGACATAGGGCAGTAAGCGGCACTGGGGAGCAGCGGGGCAGCCAGGGGGCGGCTCCCACACCACAGGAACAGCACCAAGGCGACCGTCCCCCGTCCGCGGACGTGTTCTGGTTCTTCCGACAGTGACGGATCTGCCCGAATCTGTCCCCACTCATGTCCGAGGAGCTTCCAAGAGCTGGTGAGCGTGACTTGAACCTCCCTATCCCTCAGGTGGCCAGCAGCTCCCGAGGGACACACCCTTGCCACGTTGGGGGAAAAGACCAGCAGGCACAGGCCAGGCTCTGCACCCTAACGAGGGTTCTCAAAACAAAGCATCTACCCAAACCAAGTGCTTGCCAGTGAGACACCTGACGTCAGCTGTGGTCTTCGGGCAACGCCACCGTGCCCAGCAGGTCCACCTTGGTGGCACGTGATGACAAGGCCAGGGTACATAAGTGCGGGCGAGTGCGCGCGAGCCCTCGCTCCCCTTCTCTCAAAGCTGCCCTGACCCTAGAGCTGCTCCGTCGAAACAGGGCCTCGACGTGGCGCCAGAACCAAGCACTTGAGAGCCCCAGCCGGAGGCACAATGGGCAGGCTCAGGCCAACAGGCGTCCCTGGGGCTCTGGGGCTTTCCTCGGCTGTGATGGAACTCATATGGCTCTGGGTGCTGCACACACATGCTCGGCCGTCACGGCCACACACTAACACACGGACGCCACGCAGCCCCTCAGGACCCCGGCCAGATGGCGCTGACTCCCAGCAGCCCAGCTGAGGGCCGCCCTGTGTAACCTCGGCAAAGAGGCGTCTAAAACCTATGCAGGAGGGCCTCCCCTGGTGGTGCAGCTGTTGAGCACTGGGCTGCGAAGCTGCCCGCAGCCTCTGCAGCGCCAGTTCAATCCCCGGCCGCCGGGAGAGGGTCCCACATGGCGCGCAGACCTCTCCTGCAGCGCTCGCTGCTCCCCTCAGCAGTGTACTTCATCAGTCTGCCTGTTCTGGTCCCCGCACTGGCTCTGGTGAATCCTCTCACCCTCCTGTGCTTCTGACTCTACCCAGTGTTTGTATAAATGCGTAAGTCTTTATAAAAAAAAAAAAAAAATCTATATAAGAGAGGGTCCCCGCCCGAGCTGTCCGCAGAACAGGACCCAAACGCCACGAAGCAAACACTGCTGAGTGCGATGGGGATAGCAGCACGGGGCAGGGGGGGGACTCAGAGGTGATGGGAGGACCCCCGGGCGCAAGGTTTCTGAGGACGTGTGCGTGGGTGCCCGGCGAGCCCTCAGAGGCGGGCGGGGAAACAGGCTAGGGCAGCAGGCAGGTCACCCCCCCAGAGCACTGACCCGCAACAGCAGTGGGACAAATGCCACGGCGCCGAGGGTCCCTAGACCCCAAAGAGGGCCTGGCTCAGTTCGAGGGTGACACGGCCCTCGAGGTCAGTCCCCTCCCCGTTCCGTCCTTACTCCCAGCTCCTCGGCGATCTTCTGCCAGTCCAAGTGCCCGTGCCTGGCTGCGAGGGCCTTCAGCTGCTCCACTTCCTGCCCGCCCCACTCCTGCTTGTTGATGCTGGGGTGCTCGCAGTTCTGCCAGAACTTCCGGATCTCCTCTGCACCCCGGCCCCCTTCAAACTGCACCGACAGAGAAACCAGGCTGCTGGCCGCTGCTCTGACGCCCGAGCGTGGCACATGGGGCAATGGGCAGGTGCCAAGGGACGGCCTGGCCCAGAAGCGAGGCTCGCAGAGGCAGACACAGGTGTGGCTCCGAGCGAAGCCCGAGGCTCTTGGGACCGCCCACCCTGGGAAAGGTGCCGCACGCCAGCAGGGAGGATCCAGAGACCGACCCGCACCACTGGACGCATGTGTTGCCAAAGGAGGGAACTGCTGAGGCCACAGTCCAGGTGCGGCAGCCTCCCCCACCCCAGGTGCCCCCCCGACCTGGGACAGAAGAACCGCCGCTGTTCGGGGCCGCCGCGCTCACATTCACGTTGGCGATCTTCTCCCAGTCGTGGCTGTCCAGCCTGTCCCCCAGCAAGGCCTCCTCAGGGAGCTGGCTAGAAAAGGGCGAGGGCTTGCACCTGGCAGCCTCCCTGGCAGCCCCTGGCCCACCTCCCCTGCGAGCCCTCTCACTTGATCTCTTGGACCTCACGCTCGGCCTCCTTGGCCTGCTTTTCCAGGACCTGTCTCTCCGCCTCGCTGCTGACGCGGCTCTGTTTCTGGTGCAGGTACTCGAGCCTATAGGCACCGCAGAGGCGTCGGGGCTGAGTGACCCCACCCCGCTCACGCGCACACTGGGACAGAGCCGGGCGTGAAGCAGAGGCGGACCACTGTGGGGGGGGCAGTTAATGCTCTCCTCGCTGCAGGAGCACCCTCGCCGCAGCAGCACCCCTCCCTGGGGTCCATCCCCAGGGCCCCACAATGTTTGCTGACACGGGTGGAAACAGGTGGCCACCCCCACCTTGGAGCGCGGGTCCCACACCCAGCACTGCACCCTGCATGCATGGAGGAATGGCAGACGCTTCCCTTCACACCCGGCAGTGAGGCCAGAGGCGGGCTCATGGCCCACAACCTCCTGCAACGTAAACATCTGCTCCACTGGCAGGGATGAGGCGGCTTTCCCCAGTCTGGGCAACACCGAGTGTTGCAGTAGCAACCCAGACCCCACAGCCAGCCACAGGCAGCCGAGTCCCCTCTCCCCCTCCCCTCCCTGCCCAGCCAGATGCCGTGACGTGGTCACCCGTCCAAGCTGGTGGGGACGCACAGAGCAAGTCTCGGGTCAGCCAGCCCCCAACCCCCAGGTGGAAACTAAGGCCTGGACCAGAGCACAAACCTGAGCCGCACAAGTCAATGTGGCCGCTGGGCTAACCTGGCCCTCCCACACGTGACCCTGACGCCGGGCTGCCTCCTTCAGGGGAGGCTGGGGGTCAGCCCCTCCCCCCACATGAGCTGGGACCCAGCAGGGAAGGGCCAGTCGCGAGCCAGAGCCTGACTCGACTACTGAGCGGGGACATGGGCCCCCGCGCTCTGGACTTACTTCAGTAGCTTGGGCTGAAGCAGGCGCTGCAGGCGGCCACTCACCACAGACTTCCTCAGCAAAGCCTTCTCCCAGCTCTTCCCTGAGGGATAGGAGGTCAAGGGCATGCATGGAGCCCTGGAGCAGAGGCACCCCTTCTCTTCGAGGGCTCTCTGTAGAGCCCCCACCGAAGACGTGGAGCCCCGGCCACGCCGAAGGATGCCCCACACCCAGCCACACCCTCATGAAGAGCCTGCTTGACACAAGGGGGGCCTGCACGGTCGGTCCTGGGGCCGAGGCCTCACAGGAGAGGCCTGAGGACCTTGCGCACCCTGGGGGCCGGGGTGGCGATGGCCCCGGGAGCCTGAGTTCGGTGGATGCTGAGGACAGCACTTACATTTGGTCACCAAGAGCTCCTCGAAGGCCTTGATGCCCTGGGCCGCCTTCTCCCGAGTGTCGTCATTGGCAGGAGGTCCCTGTCAGGGATGGAGGTCACGACCTGGACCAGGCCCAGAAGCGTTCACCTGAAGGGCCCAGCATTTCCCTCCAGAGCCCTCCCCAGGTCCCAGGACCCCCCGTCTCCTCGGACACCCAGCCCTGCTGCCTCATGAGCAGCCCTGGGCTCCCAACAGATGCAGGGCAGTAGGCCAGGCCACTGCACTGGGGTGGCTGGGAGGGCAGGGCTGTGGTCGGCACCCGGGGGGTCCTGGTGACCCCTCCCCAGGGAACACCTGGGAGCGTATCCGTGGAGCAGCCCTCCTTGGCCAGGGTACTCGGTCATCGCCAACGGACCGGGGAGAGGGAACTCCGACACCGTGGTCCTGAAGGACCCAGGCAGTTCAGCCAGCCGCAAAGAGCCCCCCGAGGCGAATAGCTGAGTCTTGGCCACTCACCACGCCGGTGACCCTGTCCTTGAAGTAAGGCTTCATGAAGTGCCCGATGTACATGTTTGGGGGCAGGCTCCTGCCGTCCTTCACCCTGGGGCCCTTGGATCCAGCCAGGTCCCAGGCCAGCTCCTCCTGTGACAAGAGACCCTGCGTGGGCCAGGGGACCCGGGCAGCTGGGGAGCGGGCCTGCCCAGAGGCCTGGCAGGGCGCGGGGCTCCGGGCCAGACCCCCATCCCACCTGCTGCTCCCGGTTCTGGGCCAGCAGCAGACTGAGCTCGGCCAGCTTCTCCTGGATGACCTCCTGGTAGACCATGTTCAGCTGTAAGCACGTCTCTGGGTCTTCGGGGAGCGCCTTCTCTTTGAGGTCGTCCTCGTCGTTGCTGGCTTCACCCCACCGCTCTTCTTCCTGGTTACACGCAGGGAAGGGTGGGGAGGAAGTGAGGTGTGCACCCGCTCTCCCCGCCTTGAGCGCCTGTCTGAGGTCACCCTAGCCTAGGAAGGAAGCACAGAGCCTCCGGGTGGCAGGACTGTGGAGAGCCTGAGATACTCCCGAGTCCAACACACAAGATTCTGCCCCAAGGACAGTGGGGGTGGGGGTGGGGGGAGTCGCTTTCCCGTTTTGTGGTGAGCAACTCCCCAGACTCGGGAGCATAAGGCACTCCCTTTGTTTTCATCACTGACGGGTGACAGGTAGCAAGAGCCTTGAGGGGGCCCTGCCGTGCCAGCCATGCTAGAAATGCAAAGTGACCCAAATGCCTATGGAAGCTGGGACACCAAAGTGCCACGGAGCCATGGCGGCAGCCCAAGCCCATGGACTTAGGAGGAAAAAAACACGTTGCAGAAACCTTCCAAGGTAACACGCAACTCCAAGACCAGCGCCACGGTGGTGAGCAAAGCTGCACGTTGCTTGCCAGACGGTTCTGGCAAGAACACGTGGTGTCCCCACGTGACAACCACCACATGCAGTGACCATCCCCCTGCCCAGAGCAGTGAGCGGCAGGGGGCAGGATGCAGGCGGGCTGCTTGCCACCTCCACATGTGACGCCACCCGTGACCGCACGGGTCAGTGCAGGGCTGGGAAGTCAGGAGATGCAGAAGCCAAACTACTAGAGATGCTTTTTATGAGGCCAACGAAACCCTGGTGAGAAATACTTTGTGACGCTCCATCTCACCAACAACACGCGTCGCTTTGTGAAGGAGGAAAGCCCCCCGGGCCTGTTGAGGGGCACGGCCGGCTCAGGCCGGTAGTTACCGAGATTGAGAGGCCGACAGCATCTGAGTCCTCATTGCACGACGAGTCTGCGGGGGGGCAAGCACACCGTGTTAGAATGGGCATGGGCAAGGGCAGCTGGCAGGGCCACACGAGCCCCATCGGCCGAAGCCGCAGCTGAGGAAGGGGCAGGAGCCCAGAGCCAGGAAGTCCTTGGGGAAGGCTGGAGTCACCAGGTCTTCTTCCCCAGCCGTGCCCTCAGCCGAGCACCCTGCCCTGACTGAAGGCAATCTAATATAAAGCATCCCGCAGGCCTGCAGGGCACGGGGACTGTCAGGACTCTGCAGGCCAGCCTCTGGTCAGGGCTGCACGAGGAGTAATGAGGCCCAGGGAGCCTGTGGGGCAAGTGTGAGCCTTGGCAGCAGGCGCCCCAGATAAAGCCTGACTGCTGACTGAGCCCTGGGATGGAGTGTGGCGGCTGTCCGAGCGAGAGCAGGCGTGCACAGAGCTCTGGAGCCTTTGATTCCTGAGAGCAGCCGGCCCTCCTCCAGGGCAGCCCGATGCATCCGGCAGGGCACACTCAGCCAGCGGCTCAGGGCCGGTCAGCACAGATGGTGACAAGCTGCCCAGGCAGCAAAGGTGGCCCAGCAGCATCGTGGTGCGACATGGCTGACGGCTGCAAGGGTGGACCCAGTCCCGGCCCAGGAGGCCCAGCACATGGGGCTCACCTGCGTCAGAGTCTGAACCGAGACTTGACTCCGAGACCTCCACGTCGATCCTCGAGGAGCCGGGGTCCAAAATCCTCTCCAGCTCCTTGATCTCCTTCGCTATCTTTTCTCTTTCGGCATCTACATCCATGGCGTCTGCTGCCTCCAAGAGACACCACCCAGCGTTAAAAGGCGCGGCTTTGCGGCCCTTCTCTCTGACGCGAGCGCCTGTGGGCGGTGGGAGCCTCACCCGCTCCTGCCCCAAGGACTCAGCCCCGCTCAGCCCAGCGCTGAAGCCCGCGAGGGCCTGCTCTGAGGCTGCGTGGCAGGGAGGGGGGCAGAGCCGCAGGCCCCGCGGTCTCCCTTCCCACCGCCAAGCCGCTGGGCGGCCGTCAGGACGGCGGGAACGGGGAGGCCCGCACGGGACAGAGCCCCGAGCTCGGCCCTCGGTGCCCGGAGCGCAGGAGCGGCCCGCTGGGTGGGGCGCCGCCACCAGGCCCCCCCGACCCCCACCCCCGGCCCGCGCGAGCACCCCCGGCGGAGGACGCCGTCCGCGGGACACTGCCCTGGGGAGGAGAGCTCGGGGAGGAAGACGCCGGCGCAGCGCGTTCCGAGCGGACACCGGCGCCGCGCCGGGGCAGACACCGCCAGGGGCGACGCCCTCCCGGCCCGGCCCAGCGGAGCGCCCCGGGCCCGGGTCCTCGCCGGCGCCTTCCCCGCGGCCCTCGGCGCCGACCCTGGCGGCCGCAGCGCCCGCCCGCGCCGCACGCTCACCCGCCGGCGCCCCTCAGCGCCCCTCAGCGCCCCTCAGCGCCCCTCAGCGCCCCTCAGCGCCCCGCGCCGCCCGCTCCGCGAGCCTCGGGGTCCGCGGCCGGAAGTCCCGCCCCACGGACAGGAAGCCCCGCCTCGAGGGAGGAAGTCCCGCCCCCGCGCGCGGCACGCCGGGACGGCGGCGGGGCGGCCGCGCATGCGCGCGCGCTGGGGTCCCCGCCGCCGGGTCGGCCCGCGAGCCTCTCCAACGGGCTCCCACCCCGGGGCCGCGTAGTGGGCTTTGCTGCAGCCGCCAGGGGGGACGCGCGTGCAGGCTTTGTGGCGCCTGCGCTGCGCGGGGCAGGCCGGGCCGGAGGCCGGGGCGCGGGCGGCCAGCCTGAGGGCGGTCAGCGGGACGGAGCCCACCCCGACCTCGCGCGCGCGCACCCTTGGGGGCTTGAGGGCGTCTGTGCCCCGCGCGCGCTTGTGCGGCAGAGGGCAGAGGCGAGCCCGGCCCGGTGACGGCGGGGGTCGCGCGGGCCGTCCTGAGGGGATCCCTGAAGGATGGGGGGGACGGGCGGCCTGTGCTGACCCCCGTAGGGCTGGCCCCAGCGGCCAGCACGGCTTGGAGCTGGAGTGAGGGGCCCCTGGGAGGTAATGTCAGCACCCCTGGGCCAGACCCGGCCGGTGGGGGCAGAGCTAGACTCTGGCCGTGCTTCAGGGGTGTCCCGTGACTCGTGTTTGAGTCTCTTTTGTGGAGAATGTCAAACCTACAGGGATGAACAGTAGTAACGTGTCCAGCCTGGCCTGCAGCCCTGGGGATGCCAGGCTGGTGATCTGCCCGGCCCACCCCCCACAGGCCAGCCTGCAGCCAGCCCTGCTTTCACAGCTGTCCCAAGAGAGCCTCAACATTCTAGCACATTCCTGCCAGACAACTCACACTCTGCCCGACAGACCCTACTCTTCCTGCCCGGCTGGCACAGCTGTCTGTGGGGTGGGCTGCCTGAGTCCAGAGGTGCCTTCTGGGAAGCACGGCCAGGAGGCTGAGGTCAGGGGCTGGTGGTTTAAGCATCATCTTAAATGTCGAAGCAAGTGGTCGAGGGACTAGAGCCCAGTCTCCAACTCTCAAACGCCAGCTCTGATGTGCGTCTGGAACAGCATGTCATATGTTGAGTGCAGTGGCCCCCACCAAGGCGCCCGCCGCCGCATGTCAGCCCTCACGCCAGGACAAGCTGCAGCCCCGGTGCTGGAGGCCTCAGTCCTCGAGGACTGGCTAAATCACCAAAAGGGACACCATGTGTGAGCTTTAGAATTTATTAAATTAGTTGTGGATTTGAACAAGAGGTAAGAGAAAATATATTTAAAAAAATAACATCTTCTGAAAACAGCCCCAAAGGCACACAGTGTACGCGTTGCCATCCCGACGGGGAAGAGTGGGCAGAAAGGCACTGGGGGCCCGGCTGAGCCTAACCTAACGTGTGCGCTGCTCATGCCATGGTACGAGCGAGGCATGAGCCCAAACCCTTCAGCCAGAAGTAGCTTTTCCAACCTGTGGACCCGCATAGGATGCTCACAAAGCCTTGTGGTGCGGGTGCCCGCGAGGGGGAGGGCAGACCCACCAGACACCAGAGTTGCCCCAGGAAGGCTGCGCGGGCACTGAGTGGGCACAAGGGCCCGCGTCCCTGCGTGTCCCGAGGCCCGCCTGTGTCTGCTTTGGAGCCTGACGGTGACCGACTAAAGCTACGTCCCAGAGTGACGGCGGAAGGTGCTGCTTTCAGAACTGCTACGCGCATGTTTAGTAACTGAAAGAATCACCCGCCTTTATAGAAACATCTTCCGGGAGAGGGTACACACGGCGGGAGAGGCCCGGGAAGGGTGGCCGAGAAGCCCTCGTGCTGCCTCCGGCACGCTCCTGCTCCCTGGCGGGGAACGCCGCCGCGCCAGGCCGTGAGCTTGGCACTGCGTGATGAACGCTTTACTAGCGAGGACGCAGGCGCGCCGAGAGGGACTCAGTGGCAACTCCGGGATGTAAGCAGCTCTGGGCCGGAAGCATCTCGCGGTTCAGGACGCCGCCTCCTCCTCTTTTACTTCAGAAATCCTGTCTATAGATTTGAGGATCTCAGCGACGAGATTCAACGTTTCAGCTCCGGAAACCAGCTGCCTACGATAGAAACAGACACAGGTGTCAGCATGGCCGCAGCGGTGCCGGGCGCGGGGCCTCCGGGCTACAGGTGCACTGGGTGGCCCTCGCCAGACGCCTGCTCCCCTGCGCCGGGAGGGCACATGCCGAGGCCAGCAGGGTCGTGATGGGGGATGCCCACCCAGGGGTCTCGCCCCAACGCGCCCAGCTGGGCTCTCTGAGCTAATGTATGTTTTACAAAGAAAGGGAGGGCGGCGCCCCCTTCAGGGCCCTGTGGGTGGGAAGGCGGGGCCCACAGCTGGGGTGGTTATGGGCCCGGGGAAGCCCCGCGGCGCTCACTTGATGGAGGCGTGTGCGCTGCTCATGACCAGGCGGAGGTTCTGCAGGGCCACATCTGTGTTCTGCCTCACCACCGCCAGGCTGGCGCCCTGGCCGCACCGCAGGGCTTCGTTCTCCCGCTGGAAGTTGGAGACCTGGGCCTGGGGGAGGGCGGCCGCCACAGGCGCCCATGGGAGACTGCTTAACACCATCCCCTGGACTTCAGCCCCCACCACCGGCCCTGAGCTACAGGAGAGGCCTAAACACAGGTTATAGGACGGACACCTGGGCCTCTCGCTGACACGACCCCCCCCCCAACGGACCGGCCCAGTCTTTGCTGGTTACCTGGAGCAGACTCACTTCCTGTTTCAGTTTCACGACGTGATTTTCTGCCTTTACGGCCCGTTTCTGTTACCCGCCCCCCCAGAAACAGCCGTCACTGACATGGGAACACGGACTTTGGACGAGCCCCCGCCGGCGCCCCCACACCCCCGCCCCGTACGGTCATCAGCTCCAGGTTCTGCTCCGCCCGCTGCACCACAGACTCCAGGTCGTGGTAGTCGCTTTCCTCCTTGAGCATCTTCGCCTCCAGCTTCCGCTCAAGCGTCCTCACCCTCGTTAAAGAAAAGCCTGAGTGAGCAGGGGCCCCGCGGCCGACGCTGAGGCACCTCTACCGGGCAGTCAGACCAACGGGCTCATGGCCCCGCCGGGCGGATCTGGGGGCAGAGGGTCGCGAGCAGGGGTGGGAGGCTCCGTGGCGCAGGGCGCGTGGGCTTGGCTCTGGCCTAACGTTAGAGTAAACGCCTCACAGGACACAGGAGCCGCGGCCGGCCCCGCGGGTGTGCGTTTGCTAACAGGACTCGGCCCTGCCGTGCCCAAGGGGGCTGTGCTGCCCGGCTGACTGCTCACGTACATCTCGGTCTGGGTTTCAGAGAAGCTCTGGACTTCGCTCAGCTTTCTCCTCAGCTTGGCGTTCTCGTCTTTCAGCTGCAGGCAGGAGGAAACCCTCGTCAGAGACTGCGAGCGCCTCTCGGGGCCGTCTGCAGCCCGCGCGCTGGGCCCGGCGGGGAGCCAGGACGGAAGGGGCGGCTTTTTAAAGACATGTGACCACAACCTCCGGGCCTGGGCACGCCTGATGGCGTCGCCAGCCGCCGTCCTCGCCAAGTTCCGTGTGACCAGGAGCACCTGCGAGGGGCCGAAACGCCAGCTGGGGCCCGGCCCAGGGTCCGGCTGCGCGGGCTCCTGCTGGGAGCCTCCCCACTCCCGCCCATCCGTGTGACCAGCCCCCGGGCGAGCACGCCACAGCAGGCCCCTGCAGCCCAAACCCGGGCGCTCGAGGGCTGTGCCCTTCTCGGCGAGCGCTCGGGCCAGAGCGTCTCCCAGACCCACACTTACTGCTTCGTAACTCATCTGCAGCGTCCGGAGGTGACGGTCCCCGAAGGACTCTCCGTGGGCTGCGAAGTCAGTGCCGGGGCTCCCCACTGGAGTGACGTGGGAGTCAGAGTCGCTCAGCGTCCAGGAGGGCAGCGACTCGGGCCCTGCCAGCTCCGAAGGGTTGGAGAAGAAGGAGACGTAGGTGCTGGTGCAGGGGGACGTGCTGGCCGCCGCCCTGGACGAGTGCGTCTGCTCCACCACCGAGGGCAGGTAGGCCCCATCCCACCCGTCCTCGTCCTCCTCCTCGTCCAGGAGGTCGCCTGCCCCCGTGGGGTCTTCAAAGAACGGCTGCTGGTACTCCAGGCCATAGCCCACCGTTGGGGACGTGGGGGAGCTGTGGTCTAGTCCCAGGGAGTGCCTCGGGGCTTCCTGAAGAACAAGCAGGACACAGGCTCAGGCCCCTCTCCCGCCAGGTGCAATGTGGGCACACAGAGGCCTGTGGCAGGGACGCAGACGCAGCCCAGCCTGCTCCTCAGGCAGTTGCCCCAAGAGCAGCGCACCCAATCAGCGGAGACGTCCTCGGAGCTTTCCCCAATCACCCCAACACCCAGCTTTACCTTTGGATAGATTCTGCTGTTGGTCGTGTCTTCTTTCGACAAGCTGAGGTTCTTCGTTTTCAGAAACTCTTTAAAGGAGAACGGATTTGCCTCAAGATCTTCAAGTTTATCCTCTGAAACAAAAGTGGACGTCACAAACAGTAAAACCCACCAAGGAGGGAACTTCCTGGTCCGTTCCCCTGCCAAGGCCGTGACAGCGTGTACGGCGGGAAGGCACCCTGCCCACTACCGCACTGGGGCGCCAGGAGAGCACCGGGTAGACCTCCAGCACCAGCTTCTTCATGATGTTGGTGAGGAGAAAGAAATCAGGACCCCGGGGGCTTCCCTAGTGGCGCAGAAGTGAAGCGCAGCGTTGTGAAGCTGTGCTTCTGCAGCACGAGTTCGATCCCTGGCCAGGAAGCTACCTACAGGGCACAGCAGACCTCTCCTGTCTCCCCACTGCTCCCCTCAGTGGTGTATTTCAGCGGATCTGCCTGTTCTGTTTCCCGCTCTGTCTCTGGTGAATCCTCTCACACCCCACACCTCTGGCTTATACCCCAGCACTCATAACGCATAAGCCTTTTCTACCTTTTCTAAAATTTTTTAAAGATTTGTTTATTTATACACAAACCAGGGTACAGACCAGAGGTGTGGGAAGGTGAGAGGATTCACCAAAGACAGAGTGGGGAGCAGAACAGGCAGACTGACTGAAACACACTGCTGAGGGGAGCAGCGGGCGAGACAGGAGAGGTCTGCCGCACCATGTGGGACCCTGGCCGTCCGGCCGTCCGGGATCAAGCCAGCACTGTAGAAGCTGCGGACAGCTTCACAGCGCGGTACTTAACCGCCTGTGCCACCAGGGGAGGCCCATGAACCTTTTCTTTTAACGATTTACTTATTTATACAAGAACCGGGGTACAGACCAGAAGCGCGGGAGGGTGAAAAGGATTCATCAGAAACAGAGCAGGGAGCAGAACAGGCAGACTGACCGAAATACACTGCTGAGGGGAGCAGAGGGCGAGACAGGAGAGGTCTGCAACGCCATGTGGGTATCTCCCTGGCTGGCCAGGAATCAAACCCGCGCCGCAGAGGCTGTGGACAGCTTCACAGTGCTGTTCTCAACCCGCTGCACCACCGGGGAGGCCCATAAAATAAATCTTTAAAAAGGAAATCAGGACCCACATGGAGCAAAACCACCTTATTTAAAAGCCCACCTTTATACAACGTTCTTTCACCTAGGGTCACAATTTCTAAGAACTTACCAGTGATGTCAAGGGGAGACTCACTGTACTTCCAAGTTCTAAATTCTTCTCCCTCCTGTCCACCCCCAAAGCTGTCTACAAAGACGCCCTCCACTGTCCCCTGGCCTGGGTGCTGTGTCACCCAAGTCCCAAAGGGGCAGTAGGGAGTAGCTACTGGGGGTTCACCCCCCCAGTGCCCAGCCTGCCTCCCTGCAGCCCCCCCAGTACCCAGCGTGCCATTCGCAGGGCCCTCCCCCCCACACCCGCCTGCCACCCTGCAGCCCTTTCCTCTGTGCCTGAAGCTGTCAATTATCTGTGTGCAGGGACAGCCTGGTATAAACTGGCTCCTGGGATCCCAGCCCCCGTGGCCCCTCATGCCACAGGGTCTGCTGCCTTCTGCTAAGTGCAGGGGCCCCAGCCGGCCTGGGGCTCCAGGTACAGGCTGTCAGGTGGACAGTCCCGTGGCCCGGCACCTGCAGGAGGAAGAGGGGAAGGAACTACTCTACCTCCAAAATGTGTCTCCTGGGCTCCCGGTGGGCCTGGCTTAGTACACTTCCCCCTTCCATAGCCAAAATCTGCAAAAGAGGGGCCCAGGGTCCCCTCCCGTCACCGCGGGAAGCCCCTGAACAGCCTCCTTCCGCGGGGCCTCTGCTCGGTTCTGCCTGGCAGACCCCGGCCTGAGGAAGCCTGACCGGCCGGCCGGCACCGGCTGTTGGAACGGGCTCCCCGCAGGCTGGGGTGTCCCGCGGCCCAGGGCGCCCCTCTCTGCCTGAGACCGGGGCGTCCCGCGGGGGCCTGGCCCCCCAGGCCCGGGAAGGCCGGGCCGGCGGCGTCCCGCCCCGCGGGCGCCCCTGAGGGCGGCTGCCCCGCGACCCCCAAGGGCGCGGGGCGCCTGCCGCGCTCCCCGGCCTGGACCGAGCCGCGCGCCGGGCCGTGAGCCCGGGCTCACCTGTGTCTCCCAGGGAGGCCAGCGCGGGGCTGGGCACATAGCACATAAAGGTCGGCCGAAAGCCGAGGAGGTGGGGGTCCCGGTCCCCGGCGCGGGGGCGCTCACAGTCTAGCTGGGGGAGACAAGACCGGCGCTCATAGCACGCGGGAGCTGCAAGGACAACAGAGGCTGTTCCGGCGCCCGCCCGCGGCCCGCCCGCCGCCCGCCGCCCGCCGCCCGCCGCCCGCTCACCGTCGGGGACCAGCAGGCTCCGGGCCCGCGTCAGCGGCGAGGCGCCCGGGCGGCGCGCGTAGCCCGACATGGCGGCGGGCCCGCGGCGCCGGCCCGCCCTAGCCCGGCAGCGGCGGCGCCATGGCCCCGGCTCCGCCCGGCCCCTCGCCCGCCGCTCGGCCCCGCCGCTCCGAGCCGCTCGCCGCCGCTTCCGCTCCGGGCGCCGGAAGCGCGCGCGGGGGGCGCGGCGCCGCGGGCGGAAGTGACGCCAGAAGCGGGGGCGGGCCCAAGATGGCGGCGCTGGTGCTGGCGGCGGCGCGGCTGCTGCGGGGCGCGGGCCCCGGGGGCCGCTCGCGGCTGAGGTGAGCCGAGGCGGGGCCGGCCGGGCGGCCCCACGCCCGGGGCCCCCGGCCGCGGGGCTCGCCCCCGGGGCGGGGGGGCCGGGGCCGCGCGCCCCCCGGAGGCCGATCTGGGGCCGCGGGCGGCCGCCCCCGCCTGGGCCGCCTCCCGGCCGCCGGGGCCCGCCCGCGCCCTCAGGAAGGCGCCTGAGGCTGCCGCCGTCGTCCAGAGCCGCCGCGCGGGCCGGGCCCGGAGCAGCCTGGGCGGCGCCCCCGGCGCCTCTGTGGCCTCGGGCCGCCGGGGCCCTGCGGGCGGCCCAGCAACCGGCGTCGCTCTGTTCCAGGCCCGGCGCGCCCGCGCGCAGGGGGTTCAGCAGCGGCGGCACCTACCCCGGCACCCCCCTGTCCGTGCCCCTGCCCGGCGTCCCCAAGCCCGTGTTTGCGACGGTCGACGGACAGGAGAAGTTCGAGACCAAAGTCACCACCCTGGAAAACGGGCTTCGCGTGGCGTCCCAGAATAAGTTCGGACAGTTCTGCACCGTGGGGAGTGAGTGCCCGGGGCGCCGGGGCGGGCGCGGGTCTGCGGGCGGCCGCTCGAGCGCCCCGCGAGTCGCAGTTGCAGTCACCCGAGCGGCCAGTGGCCGCTTAGCTCGTGGGGGCCTCCTCTTCTCCCGGGGTCATTTTGAGAATTTACCGCCGCGAGAAGCTTGCCCGGCTCCGGATGCTTGTACCAGCGAACGGCTGTGAACGCACCCCCCCCCCTTTTTTCCCTTGGGTGCCAGTTCTTATCAACTCAGGATCAAGATATGAAGCAAAGTATCTTAGTGGAATTGCACACTTTTTGGAAAAATTGGCCTTTTCGGTGAGTGTGGAGGCTCAGGGGAGACGCGCCACTCTTTGCTGGCTCCCAAGGGCTTTCTAGTCAGTGGCTGGGGCAGTGTGCTCGTGGGGGGTCTTCAGGTCACAGGGTGATCGGTTCCATGTTTTAAAGCCAAATGCCAATTTCCTCTTTAAAAAGTGCACTTCTTGTTGTCCTCAGTCCACCGAGCGCTTTGCCAGCAAAGACGAGATCCTGCTGGCCCTGGAAAGGCACGGGGGCATCTGCGACTGCCAGGTGTCAAGGTAACCCTGCCGCAGCCCATCCTGCCACCCCTCCCCAGTCCCACTGACCCCCCCCCTCCCAAGAGGCCATGGGGGTCAGCGTCAAGGTCATCCCTGCTGCAGCCCATCCTGAACCCCCCCCCCCCCCCCCGGCCCTGGGGTCAGTGTCAAGGTCATGGTCATTCCTGCTGCAACCCATCCTGTGCTCCCACCCCCAGTCCCAGGGCCTTCCCCCGGAGGCTGTTAGGTCAGCATCAAGGTAGCCCTGCCGCGGCCCCCTCTCCTCCAGTCCTGCTGAGCCCCTCCCTCGGGAGGTCTGGGGGTCAGCGGTGAGAAGCCCGCCTGGGCTCAGGGAGACGGCAGACTCTGCCGCCCACCGGTCATATGCAGGGCCAGTGGGGCATCCAGCATCAGAGAAGGGACACTTGACATAGGGCTGTTCAGAGAGGACCTCGCCAAGACAGTGGAGGGCTTGGCCGAGGCAGTGGCCGTGAGGAGGCGGCCGGGGCGGAAGGCCTGTTGCTCTAAGTGATGGGTCCATCGGGGAGGCAGACGTTCACCTTCTCGAGACGGTGATCAGAAGCCTCCGTGTCACCTGTCCGTGGTGAAGCTTAGGCTGGTGCCCGGTAGGGGCCCTGGTGTTCTTGCTTCCAGTTTCTTGCTCGACTCCCCAGTGAGCTCAGCGCCGTTGGGTTTTGCAGAGACACCACCATGTACGCCGTGTCTGCGGCATCCAGTGGCCTGGACACGGTGGTCGGCTTGCTGGCGGACGTGGTCCTGCACCCCAGGCTGACAGGTGTGCGTTGGGCCCTCTTGGGGCCGGTGGTGCGGGCTCCTGGGGGCACCCCCGTGGACTGCGTGTCCCAGACTGTACTCCTGAGATGGCCTCTGAAGTCAGTCCTGACTGTCCCTTCCCGTTGGCGGGTGCTGGCTTCCCTGCAAGAAAGGGTCGTGCTGATGGCTCCGTGGCTTCCCTGCCCTCGGCTGGGATGTGGTTTCCGGTTAAGCTCTTTCTGGCTCAATTAGCTGATGAAATGCTGTCCCCGACTTCAGTCTTGCCTCTTTGCCAGCACCTTCGTTCAGGAGTCTCGGCCTTTCTTAGCAGCGCAGGTCAGACAGGGTGGAGCCTGGTGCCTTTCAGGAGCAAGCGCAGGTGGCTGCTAGTGGCCGCGCCGGACGAGAGGCCTGGCCCCTGGGACCTTGCACCCCAGCTCCACAGACTGCTGGTCGGCAGGGCCGGTCCTGCCGCCATCCCGCAAGCAGCAACCTCTGGCCCCAGGGACTCGGGTGCACGCAGCCTCTGTCTCTGCTGAGCCGGTTGTGCCTGTTATGGGTCCTTTGTAGATGAGGAAGTGGAGATGACACGCATGGCTGTCCAATTCGAGCTGGAGGACCTCAACATGCGGCCTGACCCTGAGCCGCTGCTCACCGAGATGATTCACGAAGTAAAGCCGCGCAAGTCCTGCCTAGCACCGGCCCTGGGTTGGGGGAAGGGGTCCTCCGCCTGCTTGGGTCAGCTTAGGGCAGTGACACAGTGTTCTCAGCCTCTGCTGCCCATGCCAGCCAGCCTGACGCGGTGGCCAACTGTGGGCCGCCCGTGTCCGGGAGGGCATTTTAGTTTCTTTTTTTTTTTTTTTAAAGATTTATTTATTTACACACGTACTGGGTACAGTCAGGAGCGCGGGAGGGTGAGAGAATTCGCCAGAGCCAGAGCGGGGAGCAGAGCAGGCAGAAGGACCGAAGGACACTGCTGAGGGGAGCAGCGGGCGGCAGGAGAGGTCTGCGCGCCATGTGGGACCCTCCTCCGGTGGCCGGGGAGCAGCCGGGGATCGAACCGGCGCTGCAGAGGCTGTGGCCAGCGCTCAACCACTGCCCCCCCAGGGGAGGCCCTTTGTTCATGTTTTTAACGAATTTCTACTCTTGGGAGTGGTTTTTGCCATTTTCTGAAAACAGCACAGCTGCGCCTGCCAAACGGGAGGCTGAAGAACCAGCAGCGGCTCTCCCCGGCCTTGCTCAGTCGTGGCTCTCGTTTCTCAGGCCGCGTACCGGGAGAACACCGTGGGCCTGCACCGCTTCTGCCCCCCCGAGAACATCGCCAAGATCGACCGCGCGGCCCTCCTCTCCTACCTGGCCAGCTACTACACGCCCGACCGCATGGTGCTGGCCGGGGTGGGCATGGAGCACGCGCGCCTGCTGGAGTGCGCCCGCAAGCACCTCCTGGGGGCCCGGCCGGCCTGGGGCAGCGGGCAGGCTGTGGATGTGGACAGATCCGTGGCGCAGTACACCGGGGGACTTGTGAAGGTAAGGCGGGGGCCGCCGCGGGGGCTTCTGAGGTGCGTCTTTCCCCATGTGGCCTCTGCGGTGCCCTCCTTACCCTGCCGCATCAGGCAGCGCCGGCTCTGTTGGGGGCGGGAGCGGGCTGGGAACGGCAGTCCGCGAGGGCGCCCGTCTTTCGTCTGTTACAGCTCGAGAGAGACATGTCCAACGTCAGCCCGGGCCCCACCCCGTTCCCCGAGCTCACGCACATCATGGTGGGGCTGGAGAGCTGCTCCTTCCTGGTAAGCCCGAGGGTGCGGCTTGACCACGAGGCCCCGCCGCCTTGGCCTCGGCCTCTGCCCTCCGCCCTCTCCCGCAGGAGGAAGACTTCATCCCCTTCGCAGTGCTCAACATGATGATGGGTGGGGGCGGCTCCTTCTCGGCCGGCGGGCCTGGCAAGGGCATGTTCACCAGACTCTACCTGAACGTGCTCAACAGGTGGGCGAGCCCTGCCCTGCTGCACCCCCACCCTGGGCTGCCGGGCTGGGCGAGACCGCACGCCAGGTGTCCCCCCTTGTGCCCACAGACACCACTGGATGTACAACGCCACCTCCTACCACCACAGCTACGAGGACACGGGCCTCCTGTGCATCCATGCCAGCGCCGACCCGCGGCAGGTGCGGTGGGGTGGGTGGCGGCCTCCTGCTCCCGCCAGAGCGGCGTGGCCGGTGGCGCTCACTTCCACCGCCTCGTAGGTTCGTGAGATGGTGGAGATCGTCGCGAAGGAGTTCGTCCTGATGGCCGGGGCTGTGGATGTGGTGAGTCCGGCAGCTCCCCAGCCAGGACGGGGGCCCTGGGGCCTGCGAGTGGCCGAGCTGCTCTGTGTCGGGGCCCCTTCTGGCGGCCCCTCCCTGTCCGCTGTGCTGAAGAGGGAGCCCGAGATGTCTCCCCACAAAGTGGGCTACGAGGGGGCTTTCGGGGATGTGAAGCCTCCGCTTGGCTCCGTTTTATACCTCAGTCTCCGTCTCTAGGTCAGGGCTCGCTCCCGGCCCTGCTCAGAAGCCTCGTTGCTCCCCGGGCCGCGGCTGGCCGCGTCAGCAGACCTCCCCCCCCACCCGCCCCCCCGCGCTGTCAGCCGGCCCCTGCTTCTCTCCGGTTTTTTCCGTTCTGCTGCACTTTCTAAGTCGTGAAATGCTGGTTTTTTCTAGTCAGGAAAGGCATTACTAAGACAACGAAGATGCCTTAAAAAATGAACGTTTTGTGGTTTCCTTAGCGTCCCGTGGGGATCCTCCGCTTGTGGTTTCCTTAGCGTCCCGTGGGGATCCTCCGCCTGCAGCCCCGTCAGGCTCCGCCCCGAAGTGGATGCTCCCCAGGGAGTGCGCGCCCAGCCTCCCTCTGGTGCCCTGGGTCCGGGCAGAGCGCGGGTGTGGTCCCCGGGGCCGTAAAGCCTTGTGTTTCCTACCTGCTCGGAGGCTCAGGATTGGAGCTGGCTCAGCTACCTCGGGGCTCCCAGGGCCTGGGCACAGTTGCCCGGCCAGGGCGAGGGCAGGGCCGACGTCCCCCTAGCCGGCGTGGCCAGGCCCCGTGAAGTGCGGTCCTGCCGCCCAGGGGGAGGCGATGGCGGGCGCGAGGTGCTGGGCACCCCGGCATTGGCAGGGCAGCCCGTCTCTTCCTCCTGTGGCCTCGGGGAGCGGGAGGCCTTCTTCCTCGGGGCCGCCCGGCGGCTAAGGGAAGGGGTGCGTGAGCCGAGCGGACGCTTCTGTGGCGCGGGCCCCGCAGGTGGAGCTGGAACGAGCCAAGACGCAGCTGATGTCCATGCTCATGATGAACCTGGAGTCCCGGCCTGTGATCTTCGAGGATGTGGGGAGGCAGGTGCTGGCGACGCGCTCCCGAAAGCTGCCCCATGAGCTGTGCGCCCTCATCCGTGAGTCCTCAGCTGCTGGGGGTGCCCCCGGAGGAATCCCTCCCCCCCAGCTCCTGCCTCAAGTCCTCCTCGTGCGGGCTCTTTCTGGTCCACCGCCTTAGCCGCGCCCTGCGCCCCTCGGGAGCAGGCCTCGCACTCCCACTGGGTGCTGGGCGTCGGCGGGGGTGGGTGGGGCCGGGCCCCGAGCCCTGGGGTGGAGCCAGCAGCTTGCGCCGGGCCTCTCGTTTCCTCTGGGTCCCGCGGTGCCCTTCGGCGGCCCTGAGGCTTGCTCCGGTTTCCCAGGGGCGGGAGTCGGGGGAGGGCGGGTTTGTTTGTAGGTCATCGGGTTCTCGAGGCTCCAGGACCCACAAGTGGGCCGGGTGTCCCAGCGTGGCGCGGGCCGCCTCCCGGGCTCAGGGCCGCTGGGACAGTGCTGACCCGGCCAGCCGGGTCTCGGCCCCTGTTCTCCCTTGGGAAGCCCCTTTGGCCCTCCACACCATGGCACCCAGTTTCCCTGGGGTCTCAACTGTAGCAGTGACCCCACTGGTCAGTAGTCAGCTGCCTGGTCCCACCCCACATGTGGTTCAGGCCTCCACCTTCTGGGGCGTGGTCTGCCCCCCTGCACGGGGCGCTCCCTCATGTCTCCTTAGCCCCCCATCAGTCTGCCCGCGTGCTGCAGCCTGGAAGCAGGGCCAGCGCCGAGCCGGGCACCTGACGCCTCATTCCCGTGCCAGGCAACGTGCAGCCCGAGGACATCAGGAGGGTGGCTTCTGCCATGCTGCGCGGGAAGCCGGCAGTGGCTGCGCTGGGTGACCTGACGGACCTGCCGAGCTACGAGCACATCCAGGAGGCCCTGTCGAGCAAGGATGGCCGGCTGCCCCGGGCCTACCGGCTGTTCCGCTAGAGCCCACCTGCCGCCGCCGCCGCCGGGACTCGCGTCCAGTCAGCAGCCTGCGCTCCGCTCGGCCGGGTGGCGCGGACGTGTCCGGAGCCCCTGTGGCCTCTGCTGCCGCCATGGGGTGAAGACGGCCCGGCGGCAGCCACTCCTCCGCGGGGCCCGCCACGCCCAGGGCGCCGCCTGCCCCTTGAGAAGATGGTCTCGGCGCCGTGTTTTTCGCCCTGATGAGGAGCCATTTGCCTTAACGAGAGCCAGCTGGGGGCGCGGGCCGGCTCCAGGGGGACTGGCCAGCCTTGCGGCGCGGGGGGTGCGGCTGCCACAGCCGGCTCAGCCGCCACTGCACAGCCCGTGTCGCGAGGGTGGGCCAGGCAGTAGCGTGGGCCCGCGGTGGGGCTGCTTCCAGAAGCAGAAGGGGTGAAGGGCGCAGCTTGTGATTCTCAGCCAGAAACACCCATGGAACCCCGAGGTCCCGTGTGGAGGTCTGGGGCCCTGGAGCCACTGCTGCTGCCGTGAAGAGGGCAGCCCCGGGCAGTTGGGGTCTCCCAGGACCGGACTGCAGTTTGGGGAGAACGGACACCGTGTGGGAGACTGCAACGAGCAGCCTGGCCTCGGGGGGCGGGGCGGGGCGCGGCTAGTAAACGTGTGAGCGTCACGCACCTGTACCTGAGCGCTCATTGCGTGCGGCCGGCAGGTGGGGCCTGCAGCCGGGGGCCGAGGGTCAGGTCTGAAGGCAGCCAGACCCGCAGCGTGGGCTTCCTGCCGCCAGGCACTTCTGTGGTCACCCCCCGGCGGGGAGGGTGGAAGTAGAGCTGCTTTGCGACCTGCCGGTTTGTGGGGCCAGAGCCAGCCCAGCTTACAACCGCCCGGGAACTTGCCAAACCCTAGATCATTCTAGAAAGTGCTGGTATCCAGACCGTGTCTCCATTTTGGAGACTGGTGCAAGCACAGGTTTCGTCCCGTTTCACTCCCCCGTCCTGGGCTGGGGGGCCTGTCGGAACCCCTGAAGAGCGTCTTCCCAAGGTGACATCCCGTTGCCCTGAAACCCGAGGGCTGGTCTGACTGGACGCCAGTCCCCTCTCCCCCCAGCCGCCCCAGCACCACCTGACGCCTCCGTGGCTGGTGGGGGTGAGGAGCTGTGGGGGACCCTGTGGCGCCGGCGTGAGCCCAGCAGTTTGGGGAGCAGGCCGCTGCTCCTGCCGGCGTGGCGCGCCCGCCGGTGCCGGAGGCTGAGTGTGCCTGAGTACGCTTGGGGGGGCGAGCGCCTCCGAGTCTGCCCCGCTCAGCAGGACCCGCTTTCCAGGACTCAGTCTGGCCAGGAAGGGTTTAAGATTCAACGTATGCATTTATTTAAAAATATAAATATGGAAAAATAATTTAAAAGACTAGATTGAATGCCCTAGGCTTTGACACGTTCAAGACCTGTTCCTGTCAGATGATTTGAGACGAGACGGTGACAGCAGCTCCAAGACGGGGGCCAAAGAAAATGGGGGCCGCTGGCTGCCGGCTTCTCTGGCCAGGGCTTCCCTGCCCAACGCCGAGAACCAGCCTCCCCCCAGGCCCAGCGGCGGGGTGCCCCCTCGGCCTGAGGATGGACGGGAGGCTCTGGGGGCGGGGTGGGGGGGCAGAGGCAGCCCCCTGTGCTCAGAGATGGGGCAGGCGCCAAGGGGCTGCCAGGGCCTCGGACTGGAGGCTGTGCCTGGCTGCAAATGGACAGGAGGGCGGGGGGGCCTGTGAGCGGCCCAGCGCCAGCCCCACTCAAGCAGTGGCCCCCCGAGTGACTGGAGGTGGCGTGGCCAGCGCGAACGCCGGGCTGGGCTGGTGAGGGGGACACTCAAAGGGCTGTCTGTGGGGACAGCTATGGGTCAGCCTATCTGGACCCGTCCCAAGGAGGAGGCCGGGCACCTGCCGCGGGACAGCCGCTCACAGCGGCCCCACTGTGCCCCAAGAGTGAGAGCCCCTAAAGGTGCGGCCCCGCCCCGCCGTTGAGCTCAGGAAACGGCGCACACGGCGCTGGAGTTCTGGCTGCTCGGCGCCGGCTGCCGCTGCATCTCTTTGGAAATCCGCCGTTTAATCCCCAGCAAGTACAGCTCCCGGTCGAACTTGCCGGCAGCCAGGGGGATGCTGCGGAGGAGGGGCCGTCAGGAGGGGCCCCCGCCCGCCGGCAGCCTGCCCGGGTGTGCAGCCGCGGAGGACGGCCCACGCGTCCAAAGGGGCGGCGCCCACGCCGCGGGACCAGAGCGGGAAGTGGGGGTACTGACTTGTCTCTCCCGGGCCTCACTTTCACCCGGAACAGGCCGTACACGGGCCGGTGGTCCGACGTCCTGACGCTGGGGCAGGAGGAGTACCTGACCGCGCAGATGTCGTCCTTGTGGCGGCTCCTGTACAGGACCCGGTCCTGCAGGCCGAGGGGGCCGTGAGGCGCCATCCCCGCCCAGCTGGGCCGCCCGCTGGCCTGGCTGCTCCTGAGCTCCCGGCCCGCCCTCCCCTCGCCCGGCTCGGACAGGCGGGGCCGGGGGGTCTTCCCCACTGCTCTGGGGCTGCAGGAGCAGATGCGGCCAGGGCCCCGGCCCCGGGCCTCGGGGCTCCAGGTGCCCGCAGACGCAGGGCTGGGCGCCACCCACCCCCACAGCACAAGGTCCTCGGCGGGGAGCGCTGGCCTCCTAAGACGCCTCGTGGGGCGCGCCCCGGCCCTGGGGCGAAGCCGACGCCCCACCCCTCCCGGCTCGCGCCTCAGCCCCATGCGGACCTGCTGTCCCTGCTGACAACCGTCCTGTTGGGCCCCACCCCTGGGCCAGCGCGGGGCCTCACCGTGTAGGACGGCGTCCTCTGCTTGGACGTGCTGTCGTAGGAGTCCTTCCCGACGTCGAACTTGTAGGACGGCAGGAAGTGGATGTCCGGCTCCTGGAAGCCCCTGAAGATGGACCCTGGGGCCCGCACAGCCCTCAGGCCACCGGGCAGGCCCGGCCGCCGCCCCACGGTCCTCCCGGGCCCGCCCCGAGGGCCCCCCTCCCCCGGGACCCCCGCCCCGCCCGGCACACCCTTCCTCATCTCGCGCGTGAGCTGGTCGTGCTGCAGCAGCGCCCGCACGTCGCCCCCCGGGCCGCGCTTCAGGATGGCGTCCACTGCCCCGCGGCCGCCACTCAGGCGGAAGTTGAAGTCTCCGAACCAGAACACGCCGTCGAAGCGCGTGGTGACGTCGGCTGGGGGCGGCAGGTGAGCGTGGGGCGCGGGGGTCCCCCGCCCCGACACCCCCCCGCCCCCCCCCCCCGGGCGCAGCCCCGCAGGCCGGGCTCGGGGCCGCGGGCTTCACCCCAGACAGCGGCGCCCCGGGCCCCCGGCCCCCCCCCCCCCCCCGCAGACCCTCGGGCCCGCCGGGGCGCGTCCTCACTGGCGTCGGAGCGGTAGGGGCTCGTGTCCGGCACGTTCTTGGGCAGCGCCAGGCCCTGCACGGTCTTGCTGTAGTCCAGCAGCCGCTCGCTGACCTTCGCGTCCCCGGCTGCAAGACCCAGCCCGCTGGGCTGCGGCTCCGGGGCGCCCCGCTCGGAGGGCCCGGCGGGGCGGGGCCGAAGACGCGGTCCCCCCCGCTTCCCCATGTGGCTGGGGGACCCCCCACCACCCCCCCGCCGCCCCCGCCCCCAGAGGCCTGGGCGGCGGCGCCCACGACTCACAGGTGAAGTGGGAGGTGATGAAGAGGAAGGAGGTGCCGAAGAAGGTGAAGCCCACGCCCAGGGCGCCCTTGGTCTTGATTTGCGACACGATGCGGGTGGTCACCGTGGCGCTCTCCACCTCTGCGGGCGCAGGAGCGGGTGTCGGGGCGCCACCGCAGGGCCCCGCCCGCACCCGCCGGCCCGCTCCCGCCTGCGCCCACCTGAGCAGAACCAGATGAGGTCCCGGCGCAGCAGCAGCGCCAGGTGCAGCGCGCCGTGCGCCGCCGAGTGCAGCATGACGTAGCGCGGGCCCAGCGTCTCCTGCAGGCGCGTCTCCCACTCCCGCCTGCGGGGACCCTCGGTCGGCAGGGCGCACCCCGCCCGGCCCCCCGGAGCTCCCGAGGATCCCCCCTGCCCGCCCGCCCCCCTCCATCTTGTGCAGGGCGAAGGGCCAGGAGACCAGGCGCCTCCCTGTGCCCTGTCCTCTCCCGCATCAGAGGGGCACCGGGCAGGCCCGGGAAAGCCGGGCAGGGCGGGGCCGGCTGCACCCCCCAGGCACCCACACAGACACCGCAGGAGGGCGCCGGCCCGCCGGGGAGCTGCCCCTGCTACGGTGAGTGCCACCAGCCAGTGGACGGCGGGCGGGGGACCAGGACACCCACCCGCCCGCGCTGCCTGCGCTCTCGGGGGCACCCGCGCAAGAAGGCCACTTTGCTGGGCCTCGGTCCTCCGAGAGGGCCCCCTGCTGGGGCGCCAGCCCACCTGGCACGCGGTCACGGGGGCCTACCTGTCGGAGCAGCCCTCCTGGACCCCCACCACGTACAGGTCCTGGGCATAGTCGGCCTCGGCAGGCAGCAGGAGCTCGTCCAGGTTTGCGGGCAGCTCCTGGGGGAGGGAGGGCCTCGCCAGGGGCAGGCAGAGGCCAGGCGGACGCTCGCCCGGACCCAGCCGGGCTGAGGGAGGGGTCCTGGGCTGCAGGCGGCCCCCATGGCCCTCCATCACCGCCCACCCACGCCACCGCCCCTGTGGGCCCCCGGCTTGCCCAGATGCGCCCGCCCCATCCCCAGCACCCCTCCCCCGGCAGCCCCAGCAGCGCGAGGCGTGGCCGGCCAGATGGGTCCCAGGGGCGCCCCTGAGCCCCGCTCCCCGCGTGCTGCGCTGCCCGGGCTGGTCCTTCAGCCACGGGTGGACACGTGCTCCGAGGCCACCAGCCTGGCACCCGCCTCCTCCCTCATCTCAGAAAACCACCTCCCGCTCCTGCCGCCCGGGGGTTCCAGGGACACTGGCTGACCAGCCCTAGTGACGGCACCTCCGGCCACACCCTGCGCCTGTCGCCCAGTGTCACTGGGACCCCGCGGCATGGAGGGAGGCGCCTCTCTCGATCTCCTGGTCACCCTGGGTGCTCAGGAGCAGCCTCTGCCCACGAGCACGACGCCCTGGACCTGAGTGTCGGGACAGCTGGGGCGTGGACCAGGCCCAGACAGCCCCCGGGGCCGAGGGCCAGGTGCCCTGCAGGGCAGGGGACCCCAGGGGCTGGCACCCACCTTCTGGCCCTGCATGTTCCAGGTGGCCACGTAGAGGGCCAGGCTCCGGTCGGGGAAGTACCGGGCCAGCTCCTCCGCCCCCATCAGCGCCCCGCTGGCCAGGAGACTCCCCTCCAGGTAGCTCCTGCGGAGACAGGGAAGACCCTGCTCAAGGGAGGGGTCGGCACCCGGCTGGGCCCGCTGGCCTCCCGGTGCCCCAGGCCCGCAGCGCAGTTCAGCCAAGAGGAGGGGGCAGGAGGCCGGGCGAGAGGTGTAGCGCCCCCACCCCCCGCCCCATGCCAGCTGCGCCTGCCGGGCCGCCCACCCCCCTCCATGGGAGGTTTCACAGAAGGACACAGCAGATGGTTAGGACGTCAAAGAGTGCCGCCAGCCCCGCCCGGGCTGGCCACTGCCCGCGGGGACACATCTAGGACGGGCGAGGCCAAGGGCTGTGGTGGCACTTTCCTTTCCTGCTTCTTCAACCACTTAGGGGCATGAAAATGCAGGGAGGCGCCTCCCTGGACGGGCCCCTGGCCTGCCCCTCTGCACTGCCCTCCCGCGGCCCACAATGGAGACCGCCGGGCCCTGCTGACGGTCACTCTCGTCACCGGCCTCTGTCTGAGGAGGCCTCTGCTCGGAGCTGCCCACGGGGCTGGGGGCACCGCTGCTTCCCACACGCGGAGCCTGTTCTAGGAGGAAGGTGAGGGGCGGGGGGGGTGCACAGACTGGGGAGCAGAAGCCGCCGCCCTCCGCGTGCTGCGAGGGCACCTGGCATGAGCCCTGCTTCTCGCCCCCCCAGAGCCCGCGGGCCGGGCCGGCCACAGCGGCGGGTCCTGCATGAGGGCAGTAGCAGCCCAGGGGCGGCCAGGGGCACGTGGCCCTCTGTGCTAGGGGCATGTGGGGCAGACGCACCCCCAAAGGGGCGCCTCCACAGCGGCTGGCTCGTAGCACCCCCACACCGGGCTCCGGAGGCCCGGCACCGCCCTGGGTAAAGGGGCGCACAGAGCGGGATGCAGGGCTGGAGAGCAGATGGGCAGCTCGCCCTGTGCCCTCCCAGATGAGGTCCTGCTCGACGCGGCGGCGGGGGCGTCCAGCGCGCGCACGGGCTAGTGCGCCGGCGGGACACTGGGCTCCCCAGAGCGGGCGCCCAGGAAAAGCACGCGGGAAAGGAGCAGAGAACCACCTGGCCCGCCCGAGGGGTGTGCCGCCAGAGCCACCCCTCGCTCCCCGCAGCCTCTCCCCGCCCCCGCCCCCCCACGGCCCGCGGAGGGGGCTGCGCAGCCGCAGGGCTTGGGAGGAGGCGCTGAAGCACTGCGAGACGGGCTGACCGGCGCCGGCCCGCACACCGACGTCCGCGCCAGCAGAAGGCGCTGCTCGAAGCCGGGTTGAGTGGCTTCGCTGAAAGCCAAATCCGGGAGCGAATACAGCGGCGAGTCGCTGGGCCCGGAGGAGGAGAGGGGACAGCCGGCCCATCAGAAGCGGCCGGAGGCCTCGACAGGCCACGCAGTGGCCCATCACACACTAACCTCGGCAGGCCCTTCGCTCAAAAATGAATAGAGACCACGTCAGCGAAAGGGAAATGGCGGATGGTTTCACGTCTATGCAGCATCGAGAGAAAAGGAACCACGGGTCAGAAGCGCAGATGCCAGGGCAGCAAGAGAAAACCCGAAGCCTTCACCCCGAGTTCATCAGACCCTCAAGAACGTGCGCCCATCTTGCACGGGTTGTTTTTACAAATACAAGAAGAGGAAACACTCGCTTCTGTATTTGATGATGCCAACATTACTTCAGCGTGGGAACTAGATGAAGACAGCACAAGAAAAGCGACAGACCGATATCCCTGTGAACACTGACGTGAAAGTCTTCAACAAGACGCTGGCCCGCAGCCCTCAGCAGCCCACTCCAAGGACGTTATGGTCACGGTCGAGTGGGGCCTGTCGAGGTCACACGCCGTATCAACAACAGTGAAGACAGAACTCAAGGGGTGCAGCGAAGGCCTCGCTAAGACCCAGCACCCACCACGATGGAGCTCTCAGCAAGGTGGGGCTGGGATAGAGAATGATAAAATAAAGACCACACACCCTACGCCAGCAGTGAATGTAATACTTCGGGTGAAAACACAAATCTTTGCCCTGAGACCAGGAAGAAGCCAAGGACGCCACTGTCACCACTTCTGTTTGACTTAGTGCTGGAGAGTTTGACCTGAGCCATTACACAAAAAACAGGAAGAGAATAATGAAATTTATGCGGAAGCCCAAAGGCCTTGAATAGCACAAACAATCCCGAGAAAGCAATACTGGACTTCAAACTGTACTGTAAAGCAACAATACTTAAAACGGTATGGGGTGTTGGTGCAAAATAGATACAGGGGCAGCAGAACAGAGTCAAAAGCCCGGAAATAAACCCGCGTCAGTGTGTTCTCTATGGTCACGCAGCCACAAGCACGCAGGAGGGTCACACAAATCAGTAAAAGAATGAAGCTGAGTCACTCTCCAGCTCCATGGAAAACATAAGTTTCAAGTGGACTAGAGACTCAGCTAGAAGACACGGCCACAGTGCCAGCCACGGAACCGGTTCTGGAAACTTGGCCCCTATGGCAAGGGGAACAGAAGCAAAAACAAGCAATTGGGATGATCTTGACCGAAAAAGCTTTTGTATAGTGAAAAGCACAAGACGATTAAAAAGACGCCCTCCCGAGAGGGGCAGTGTTCAGACGAGCAGGGACTATCAAGGCGTATACGTACAACCCCACACGGTTAACGCCACAGACACCGACGCCGGCCAGTCCACGGGCAGCAGTCTGAACTGACAGGTCGCCCAGGGGGAGAGCCCCGGGCCAGAGATGCAGAGAGTCCGGCGCCACTTCTGAGAGACGCGGGGAAAGCCACAAGGAGAGCCCCACCCCCGTGGGGGGCACACACTAAAAGGCCCCCAACAACCAGTGCCGGAGGGGCGCGGGCACGGGAGCTGGTGCAGCGTTCCGGGGGATGACCTGGCTTGGCCGTAGGACGGTAGCCGTGGAAACAGGACCGGCCCGGCCGCCCGCGCCAGGCAGCCCCCCGGGAGCCAAGAGAAGCCGGCCTCGGCGGAGGGCGGCCAGGGCCGGGACGGGGCCGGCCCCAGCATGGAAGCGGGTTCGCGCGTGGGGGGGGCAGGGGCGAGGAAGGTGCCCCTCTGGGCGGGACGGGGGCAGAGGGTGCGAGAGGGCTGCACAGCAAGGCAAGGCCGCGGCCGAGGACATGCTGCCTGAGCAGCTGGTGCGGCCTGGAGCCCCAGCTCCTGGCCGGCCGGCTCGGGAGTCTCTGCCCTGCAGCCTAGGGGTTCGCGGCTCTGGCCCCGGGAGAGCTGAGCCAGAAGCAGGGCGCCGTGGGGGTGGCCCCGACGCACGTCGAGCTGAGTCAGTACAGGAAGTGACCCCCACAGCCCCGCAAGCCAGCGTCCCCTGAGCCCAGGCCGGCCCCACCGTCCACCCCCTTGGCCATGAGTGGACCCTGGGTCCCGCTGCGGCCCGCAGGAGGGCTGCCCAGCACGGCCCGGCAGGGGTGAGCCGCTGCGTCTGCAGCTGACCGGCCCACCCGCTCTTCCTGGGCTACCTCCTCAGGTTCTCGGGTCACTAGCTTCTGAACCCCAAAGCAAGGGCCCCTCACTCCGGACGCCCCACCTGCTGCGGACGTCCTTGGCGCGGATGGGCGCCAGGAGGCTGAAGGAGGACTTGGCCGAGCGGAGGGAGCCGTGGTCGTAGGTCAGGGGGCTGGGGGCGCGGCTGGGGCCCAGGCTGCTGTGGGCCCGGAAGAGCCGGGTCTGCAGGCGCGGCTTGTCCTCCTGGTCGGCGCCCGCCTTGCCGGCCGTCCTCAGGTCCGCGGCGGGCGGCAGGCGTGGGGGCAGCAGGCCGGCCAGCCTGGGGGTGCCCCTGCCCGCGGCCCCTTCGCGGTGCAGGAGGTCCAGGGAAGAGCTGATCATGCCCGACAGGCAGTTGCCCCAGGAGGACGGCCCCGCAGCCTGGGCGCGGCGCGAGCTGGGGATTTCCTGCAGGGAGGCGCTCAGGCTCGGGGGCGCGGCCTCGCGGATGGGGGCCCCGGGGTCCTCGGAGGCCCTGGGCGGGCCGGCCGGGTCCTGGGCGTCCAGGTCCTCGCCGCTGGCGCGGAAGCGCCGCCGCCGCCAGCCCTTCTCGTCCAGCGACAGGGCGCGCTCCAGCCTGGGCCTGGGCGGCGGCTTCGGGGGAAGGGCCGGGGCCGGGCGTGGGGGTCCTCGGGGCCGGCGGGGATGCTCAGGGGGCGCGGGGAGCCCGCGCAGGCGAGGTCCGGGCGCGGTCCGGGGAGCATGCTGCCCTCGGGCCGCGGGGGCGCGGGGGCGCGGGGCTGCCGCGGAGCCGCCGGCGAGCGCCCCGGGCCGGCCAGCCTGGACGGCATAGCCCGGCGGCCCGCGGGACCCGGGCGCGCGTCAGGGGCGCGGCGGCGGGCGGGCGGGCGGCGGCGCCCCGGCGCGCGGGGGCTGGTCGGGCCGGCGCGGCCGGCGCATGGCGGAGCCCGAGGCCGGGCGCGCCGCGGCCACCTGGAAGGACAGCGGCCTCAGCGTCCGGCGGTGCCCGGGCGCGCGGCCCCGGGCGGCGGGCGCGGCGCGGGGAGCCGGGGTCCGGGCGGGAGGCGCCCGCGCGAGGCCGAGGTACGGGGCGCCCCGCGGGGAGGCGGCCTCTGGGCGCCGCGCGCGACCCCGGCCCCAGGCAACGACCGTCGCGGGGCCGCGGCCCCCCCCGCCCCAGGGCCCCCCCGCCGGGGTCCCCGCCCGGACCGCGGGCCCCACCTCGCGGCGCCCGCGTCTCCCGCCCGGCGCGGCCTCTGCGCGGTTCCCGGGCAACCGGCGCGCGGGGCGCCTCGGCCCGGCCCGGCCCGGCCCGGCCCGGCCCGCAGCGGCCCCTGGCGGCCGGAGGACCCCGCGCGGCCCCGGGGAGCGGCGCCCCCCCGCCCCGCCCCCCCCCCCCCCCCCCGCGCCGGGGCCCCAGGGCCGGCAGACCCGCCCCTCCCCCTCCGACGCCGCAGGCCCGGCTGGCTGAGCGCGCAAAATATTTTATTTAACAATTTGCCGTGTAACAATTTGCATTTAGGAAAAATAGCAGCTCCCGCCTGAGGAAGCTCTTGAATCACAAGGGCCGCAGCCCCGGCCAGGGCGCCGGCCGGCGGGTCAGCCGCGGGCGGGAAACACGGCTCCTTCCAGCGGCGCCGGGCCGGGGTGGGGGCGCGTCCTGCTGATCCTCAGCCGTAGTCCGTCCATCTCTCCTTCAGGTCGCTTAGATTTAACAAGATGTAAGAACAGTCGAGAAAGCCTTAAAGCTCGGAGGCGCGTCCCCCCCAGTCTGACGTGGCTGGCGGGCAGGGCACGAGCCACCGAGGTGGTCGTGGGCAGGAAGGCCAGGCCCCAGGACGCGCCGCCCCTTCAAGAGCACTGGCCGGCCGGCTGCTGGCCTCCGGCCCCAAGAGCTCCGCACTCTCCCGGCTGCCACCAGTGAGGCCTGCAGGCGGGTGGCCGGCTGCTGAGTCTGGACAGTCACATTCCGACCCAAGTTGCCCGGAACTGCGCCCGCCCCCCTGCCCAGGGGCCGACCCAGCGGCCTGAAATGCCCTGTGGGCCTGGTCAAGCCACAGATGCTCGAGAAGCTGCAGGCATCTTTGCTAAAGGAAGGGCCGCTCTCCAAGCCCCAGGGGGCCACTGCTGAGCAAGGCTGCACTTGGTGGGCGCCACAGCCCCTGCCCGGGCTGGGATGGGGGCGCAGGGCCCCCTCTGTGGCAGAGTGGCCAAGGCTACCCTCCTCCAGTGCCTCGGCCCACAGCAGCGGCACCCCAGCGCGTGGTTCTGAGAGGCCCAAGCTCCTGAGAAACGTTTCTCCCTGTGCCAAGATGCGTCCAGCTTCGCCTCACAGTGGGAGCACGCTGTGCCCAGCGGCCATTCCTCTGGGCAGGGGTCTGAGCTGAGTCCTGTCCCCCAGCATCCTGGGGCTGTGCAGTTCAAGCTGATGACACGTCAGAAAGGGGTGGCAAGGAGGGAATTGCACAGTGGCCGCCTTGAGTCATCGCTGTGTCCACCTGGGGCGGAGGGGTCCTGGCCTGACCCGGTGGTGGAGAGCGAGAATCCGGGGTCCTAGGGCGCGCGCAGGGGCCGTCCTAGCTCAGTGCCGGGTACTTCCTCTGGCCGGCCCTCCCCGTCCTTGCACTCCCTGAGGCCTGAAACAGAGAGGCGCTGGCTCCCACGGGCCCGTCCCCTGGCCGGCTCCCCCAGGAAGGTCAGCAGACCTGTGCGACCAGCACATCGGGACGTGCACAGCAGGCAGGTGAACGCCTTTGCTTTGTTTCGACAAGCCCCAGTGGACTGAGCACGCTGGGCTCTGACCCTGGCCTTCTCTCCCAAGGCGCCTGCGGGTCAGCAAGGGCGGCGGGGTCGCCAAGCCTGCTAGCAGAGGGACACGGGCGCCAGAGAAGGCAGGGAGTGGACAGAGCGTGCTCCCGCCCCTCAGTGGCCCCGACTGACACGGGAGAAGCGTCAAGCGGGAACGCAGGGCTAGGGAGAGAAGGTGGCCGCCCGCAAGCCACAGCGCAGCGCAGGGGAGCTGGCGGGGACTCGAGATGTGGGAGGGATGGTATGGCCGCAGGTCTGGCCTGGAGTCTTGGCAGGCGGTGACGGCAGGGTCTGCATTGTGAACAAGCCCTCCCCTCTGATCTCATCCCCCATGGGCATCCCCAGGCTGGCCGCCCGGTCCCCCACTACAGGCTGGACACGGGGGCAGACGGGAAAGGACCCCTCCTGGCCTGCAGGGAGGGTGTGGCGAGCCACAGCAGTGAGCAGGCCCCGCAGGGCGCCCAGGGCAGCAGCCCAGCAGGGAGGAGGGCGCAGGTAGGTGGGGAAGGCGGGGGCCGGGCACTTACTGCTGAAAACTGGGCAGGGTTGTAGAAGGGCACTGCTCCCCCAGGGGGGCTGCCTGCGGAAGGGGAGCCACCGGGAGCCTAGAACCACAGAGAAGGAAGTTAGGAGGCCCCACCCGCGGTGGGCTCCAGGGCAGGCGCACGCGCTGCTTCCGGGCCGGACTGAGCACGCTCCCGACGGTCCCGGGACCGGGATTCAGTGGCCTGAAGGTTCCTAGAAAACGTGGCACTGCAAGCGCCAGGCAGAGCACATGCTTCAGAGACGACGTGCGGACATGCAGCGGACGCCACGGTGGTGGGACTCGTGCCCACTCCCGCCTGAGGTCAGCCATGAGCTCCGTGTGCTTGGCACCTGCCTGAGAGGCCCTCTAGGCCGCAGAGTCCACGGCAGCAAGGGGGCGCCTCCGCCCCTGCCCAGACCCCAGCCAGCCTCCTGTTCAGTAGCCCTGGGCCGGGGATCCGACTGGCTGCCCACGTAGGGGCTCTAGGGGAGGGCGCGCTGGCAGCAGCACCACTCCCTGCCGCGCTCTGGGGTCAGCGCGGGCATCGCCCTGGCTGGGGAGCGCCAGTGCAGCTAGAGAAAGGCGCCTGAGTCACGGGTCGGTGGGTCAGCAGCGGGCAGCAGGCCGCGCTCCGCAGGGAGGCAAGCGCCCGCGCCAGGCCCAGCGTGCCGCCAGCCGCAGTACCTGAGCGAGATGCTGGCTGACTTCACGCGACAACGAGCTCATTGAACTACAGCGCGAAAGCTACGAGACAGCAAGAACACACAGGACAGACGGACGGTCAGCATGCGCGCCGCTACCCAAGCCGCCAGCCTGCCCACCGCACTCCTGAGGCCACTGTGTCCACCTGACTCGGGGGGAGGAGCCCGAAGGATCCAAACCCTACTTGCGTGGACGGTGTTAACGTGAGCCGGGGAGGCCCACCCAGACCTCGCGCGCGCCCGCCCACCGTGAACGCCCAAGGACCCCAGGATTCCTGGCCGAGCTGAGGGAGGACTCGGCCGCGACTCCAGCTCAAGCCCCCTGCAGTGTGAGCTTCCAACTGTGCAGAACAAGCGGGCCACGCGTCCGCCCTGGAGCGCACCGCGCACGGAAACCACTGCTCCCAGCTCACAGGCACCTGTCCAAGGACCAGTGCCAGGCCCCGCGCCTCACCTCTCCTCCCGAGTTGCCGTCCAGAGAGCCAGGGAGCACTGCTGCAGGGCCTGGGACCTGCCGAGAAGGGGAGGAGGAGGTGCAGACCAGCCTCCATGCCAGGCCTGCCCGAGGGGTCCTGGCAGGAAGGCCTGTGGGTGTTCCAGCCCCACACCCACAGGCGCTGGCAGGGGGCACACGGGGCCTGGGGCCTGTGCTACTGCCCGGGTCTCAGAGCAGAAACTGAGGCTCACAGGGGCTTCGGGGCTTCCCCAAACTCTGATGGGCTAACCAGTGGGGACCCAGGGCAGAAACCAGGTCCCCCAGCTTGGAGCCCCCTGGGACCGTGCCCCTTCACGTGGACGTTTCACGCTCGCAGACCATGCGCCTGGAGGATACCAGGCCGCCACGAGCACCACGCAGGGCTCGCGACTCTGAAGACAGGAGGGAGAGGCTCCGCACAGAAGGCCCCCGTGCCCACGGGCCGGCTTGCAGGCACCTTCTGCCACGCCCTCCCCGTCGCGCTGCGCTGGCTCACCTTGGGCTCTGGGGTCAGCTCTGGGGGGGCTGGGCCCCTGGCCAGTGCCTGCCCTTCCCCGGCAGCTCCGTCTGCAGGTGGTGCGCGCTCCGCATCTGTGAAGGGACAGGGCAGAAAGAGGCCGCTGTGGGGGCCCAGGGGACCCCACAGCCCGGGCGCGGGAGGTGGGCACGCGCGGCCTACCTGGCTGTGGCCCCAGCAGGTGAGCTGGGATGGGCAGCGGGGCCAGTGGGGCAAAGAAGTCCGCGGGAGCAAGAGCTGGCTCGGTGCGCCGGGTGCCCCCTGGGTTCAGGACGTCCACATAGCGCGCCCTGGTTCCAGCTAGGAGAGGGGGAGCCTTCAGGTCCGCTGCCCCCGCAGCCCCGGGTGTTTGCCAACGCGGCCCCTTCCAGGTGGGATGGAGGAACCTGCCGATGCGCTCCTGCCTCCGGGGCGGCCCAGTACCTGCTTTTCTGGAGAACATGTTCACAGAGGCTCGGGGGGGCCCTCCCGGGCCGGCGGGTGCAGCCTGTGTGGCCTTGGGGAGCGAGGTCGGCGGGGGCGGAGGCGCGCTCTTCTGTGGAGGACACGCGGCTCAGAGGGGGCCCCCGCCCCCCCCACCCTCTCGGGGCCCCGCCACCTACCTCCTCGTCCGGCTCGTTGACGTCCACCCACCGGTTCTTCTTCTCGTCCCAGACGATCTGCCCGGGTCGGAGAACGGAGTCTCAGGGCGGGGGCCGCGCCACCATCGCACCCCTCGCGGCCCAGGGCGTCCTCAGGCCCCGCGAGCGACACTCACCGACTTGTTCTTGTCATCGGGCAGGTAAGCCTCCGTCCTCCTCTTCCCGGACAGCCAGCGGGAGAAGAACCAGGGCTCACTGCTCTGGAACGGAGACCGGCAGAGCCTCCTGAGGGCCGCTCGGGAGCCACCCACAGCAGGACGGGGCCTGGGGCCAGAGGCAGGCGCGTCTGACAGGAAAGGGTGCAGGGGCACGGGGAGCGCCGGGCTTGGTTTTAAGAACTGCGTTCTTGGCAAAAGACGCCCCCGGACTGGGAGAGGAAGCTGGCGCTGCGCCCCCGCAGAGGCGCTGTGCCCACATGGAGCTCCCACCAGCACCCGGCGCCCCGGCTGAAACGGGGAGCCCCAAGCCGGCACCACCCAGAGGACGGAGGGTGCCAGCCACGCAGCCCGCCACGCCCAGCCACGCATCCAAGCAGCGAAGGGCTGAAAAGAGGGCGGCCGGCCCCGGCCTTGGAGGCCACCAGTGCTGGGTAGGCGGCCCCACCTACGGCCACGGCCTGCGGTCCCGACCGGGCACACACACAGAAGGCTCAGCCACCGGACACTCCAGGGCCGCACGCAGGAGCGTCCCCATGACCAAGCCCAGGCGCGCATCACGGAGGAGAGCGGCCTCCTGCACAGGAAGCTCCAGGGCAGCCAGAGTCAGTCAGCATGTGGGCAGGTCCGGGTGGGGCCGGGGCGCCCTCGCCACGCAAGCTCACCGTGCACACACGTGGAGGGGAACTTGGGGCCGTGGGATGTGTGAGTGAGCCCTGTCCCTCTGCAGCTGGGGGCCGAGACTTACCTTCTTAGGCTCCTTGGTCTCCTTTTTGGCCGCCGACGACCCGGCTCTCTTCAGGTCGGGAGCAGGTGTTGGGGGTTGCGGGGGCGGCTCCCACGCCATGGGGGCCTCAGAGTCCGGCAACACCCCAGAGGGGCCCTGTCCCAAGGCAACATGGGAGGCAGCTCACCTAGGGCCCCTTGTACAAAGCCAGGAGAGGGGGGCCGCCCCCCAGAGGCCCTGGAGCCGCCAGGGAAGCCAGCCCACAGCAGTGTCAGGGGAGCCGGGCCCCTCGCATGCCCGCCTGACCGCAAGAAGGGTCAAGGGACAGCATCACCAAGGGCAGCTTGGGTTCTGAGGGTCATGGGAATTGCCAGGCTGGAGTATGCGCCAAGGTCAGAGGCGGATAGTGGGCATTTAAAGGTAAAACTGCTTTAATAGAACATCTAACCCTGGGTCAGTGAAACTCCCACTTTTGCTTTCCCAGGAACAGCAGCACATTTTAAGTGGAATGCACAGCTCGAGTTTAACAGACGGACACCGCACTGCCAGCTCCTCCAGAGCTGAGCGCCTCCAGAGAAGGTTCTGGCCTGCAGAGCAGTGCCGGGTCCTCCCTCTCAGCAGGGTCAGAGCCGAGAGGAGCCATCGACACGAAACTTGTCTCACAACACGCATCTCCGAAACCAGCGAGCGCTGCAGGTTCTGGAGGGCGGGAGCGGGCTCTGTCCAGTCGCCTCCCCCACGGGCCTCATTACAAGCCCCCTCACTGCGCGAACCCACGGACTTTCACAAGAGCCCTCTCTGAGAAGCCCTCTGAATGGCTACCCCAGGCGTTGCCTCTACTTACGACCAAGGACGAGGACCCCGGGTACCTACTTGGAGAGGTTTAGGGAAAACACAGCTCTAAGTAAAAGGAGGGCAGTACCAGGTCAGCAAGACTTTGGCCGCAGTCCCCGTCCCGGAGCTCTGGCAGCGGGCTCCCGCCGGGCGCCTCTAGAAGCCCTGCCCCTGTGGGAGAGGAGACGCGCGTGAGCCCAGCCAGGGCCGCTCCCCTAGGCCGTGGGCTCCCCCAGGGCTCCCAAAGCATGGACACAGGTCCCCCAAGCGGGCTCGACACTGGGCTGTGTGCAGGCAGGTGGAGACAGGGTCAGGGCTGCACACCTCCCGGACCAGGCCTTGGACAGGTTTTTCACCCTTCCCACCTTGACGGAAAGTCACCTCGGCGAGAAGACGACGACTGACACAACTAATGCGCTCAGCCGGGACGTCTTTAAAGCTTTTGGTCCGCGCCCAGGTAAGTCACCCAACTGGTATCTTATTTCAAGTTCAAGCAACCGAAGTCTCTTCTACCCATCGCCTCGCCCAGCACTGACCCAGCGCAGCTCTGCTCTCGGGCAGCCTCTCACACACCCACCTGGCTCCTGGGTCCTGAGGTCCTGGAGAGGTGGGGCAACAGGCAGCAGGCCGGGCCCAGGGTACAGGGCTGCAAGGTCAGGCCCAGAGGGCTCTGAAAAGCCGAGTGCAGGCCCTGGCTCAATAGGACCCGGGGGTGGCAGCACGGGGAACATTGGCACCCTGGCGGGGATGGCTGGCTGGCCGTCAGGGAGCACCTGTGGGGCTGCAGGGAGACAGCAGAGTGAAAGGGTAGGGTCACCAAGACGGACATGCCAGGTGGCATCTCCTCAGCAGTCACCTGCCTGGCTTTCTCGGGGCAGCAGAGCCAGTCACCAAAGCAAGCACCGCAGATGCCAAGGCACGCCACACCGCAGGGCGGGCAGACCTGTGGAGTGGGGCCTGGGCTCTGACACACCGCACCGCCCCAGGAGTGCTGAGCAGCGCCCCTGAGAGCTCTGGGTCCTCCCCCCATCCCCCACACAGGGTGGACGGGCACCTGCCCACCCAGACAGGCGCTCACAGCTGCGACTAGCGCAATGCTGGCCGAGGGAGCGAGTGGGCCAGTGCAGAGGGAAGGCCAGGGTGCCCCAGTCTCCTGGCAAGACAAGAAGGTGCTGCCACCCTGTCACCGAGCAGGTCTCACCTGAAGGTAGCAGCCGCACACCCGGGGCGAGACACTCGACACCCTGCACGGGAGGGGCCAGCAACGGGTTGTCCACGCCCAGGCTGGTGGGCTGAGCCAGGGCAGGGCCATCACACTGCCCCAGCTCAGAGCTTGGGGTGCTGGGGCACTGCTGGGGGAAGGCCACGTCCTGGCTCCACAGCACTGCGCCCTCCTGCAGGAGAAAAACCCCACACTCCCAGCTTCAGACAGCAAAGGCGTCAGTATGGAGCAGGTGCCTGCCCTGCGTGGGGATGCTGACTGCCCTGCTCTTGGAGGGGCCCCGCAGCGGGGAGCATGTGGGAAGGCCTGGCCCAGTAGGGACGGAGGGGTGCCCACCTGGACCTGCTTGTCCACATGCCGCAGCCGCACCAACCAGGCGGGCTCCAAGAAGGACTCCTCCTCCGGCTTCTCCTTCAGCTGAGGATCGAAGAGACGTAACTGGGACGCAACCTGCAAACACGCAGTGGCAGAGGCCTTCACGCCAGGGAACAGCAGGGTACCCCTGACCTGCCTATGCCTGGCACAGAGGGGGCAGTGCCAGGTGGCAGGCATGCCTGGTCAGCAGCCCTGGCCCCAGCCCCATACCCAGCACTCGACGAGTACAGGCGGCAGGGCTGCGGGATCGTGGGGAGGCCCCGGTGCCCGGTCTACGCGGGCCAGCAGCACCCGGCCACTCGGGCTGCGCGCGCCGTCTCCCACCACCCGACCCGGGCCACATCACAGTCAGAACCCTGTGGGGCTGTGGGCGGGCCTCAGGGACAGCGGTGAGAATACAGGCAGGCTGAGGGGCGGGGCAAGGACAAGTCGGTGGCTGCGCTCTGCACGAGCCCACACGCCCCGGGGGGAGACGCCCACGTCACGTCGGCCCATCCCGTGGTCTCCATTTCAGCAGGAAACCGAGGCTGCGCGCCCCTGCGGTCGGGCCCTGGGGCAGCAGCTCGTGGCCAGGCTGGGCTGCCCCTGGGCAGGCTTCTCAGGAGTCGGGGCTGTCCTGGGGTTGCAGCCTCAGGCCAGCCTCGGCACAGGCGCGGGCTGTCCAAAGAGCTCCCAGGGTGAGCGCGAAGCCTGCACGGCTCACCCAGGCTCACCAGCATTGGGAGGGGCGGCGGTACCTGAACCAGCTGGCTGATGAGCACCGGGGAGTGGATGTGGGGCTGGGCCAGGATGCTCTCGGCAATGACCTCGCAGTAGTGGAAGGCTTGCGTGGCGAGCCCCATCTCGGCCAGGCGGCAAGAGTAGATGAACTTGAATACCTGTGGTGGCCAGCGAGCGGGTCAGGCAGGGCTCTCCCAACTCCCAGCGTTGCCACGACCCCCTCAAGCGGAGCTTCTGCGGGCACTGTGGCTCATGCCTGTCCCTCCACACCAGCCCCCATCCTGAGATTTTCAGAGCTGAGCAAAGCTTCTGAGCAGCTCACCTTCCTTGGCCGACACCTGCAACAGGACCACTAGGCCCATGACTGCAGGCTCCAGGCTCAGCGACCACACTGCCCCCAGCCTCCCATCCCCCTGTACACGCGGGGACCTGCAGGGGTGCCCTGAGTAGGCACTGTCAGTGGGGTTCCCTCAGTGCGCTGGCAGAGCGCACCGCCATGTCATGGGTCACAGGGCGCTGGGGGCTGCCATGTGGACGCAGCCCTCAGACTGGATGGGCAGCAGCCTGCACGCCTGTCCCGCTCACTCCACGGCACCAAAACAGCTGACATGCAAGTGCTTGAAACCAGACACTCCAAGTTTTCAGATTTAAAACATTTAGAATCGGAAGCCTCCCTGGTGGCACAAGAGTAAGTTTAGTGTGAGCACCAAGAAGCCATCCGCAGCCTCTGCTGCACGAGCTCCATCCCCCGCCAGGGAGCTACCCCCAGGGCGCAGCAGACTCTCCTGTCTCCCCGCTGCTCCCCTCAGCAGTGGATTTCGTCAGTCTGCCTGTTCTGCTCCCCAGTCTGTCTCTGATGAGTCCTCTCACCCCTCCTCACTTCTGGCCCGCACCCCAGTTCTTGTGTGCATAAATAAAATACATGTTAAAAAATAAAAAACGTTAAGAACCCAAATGCACAATCTCCAATTCAAGCTTCAGCTCCCAAGCATCAGAGATCAAATGAGCCCCCGAGACTCCAGACACCCTCCTGTTTTCACATGTGGGGTCAGAGCCCCAAGCTTCCGCAGGCGCTGGGGGCCCGTCCAGGCAGCACGGGCAGCCTCACCTGGAAGTTGGGTAGGGGGCAGGTCTGGGCCCCAAGGGACTGTGCGTACTCGTAGGCTTCTGTCCTCTGAATGGCTTCATTGGTCGCAAACTTCAGGAAGGGCAAACTGTCGAGAAAGCGTCTCTGTGACGTGACGTGGGTCAGGCCACACAAAAGCAGCCAGGCTGCCAGGAGGCGCGCCCAGCCGGTGAGCGCAGGGGGGCGTGCGTCACCCTCCTGCAGGAAGCGCCACCGCCAGGTCCGCTATACTCCTCACCTGTGATTTGAGCCAATTAAGACGAGTTTTGTGGTTTTCTTTGTATAAACCCCAAATCCAACCTGGGCCATGAGGTAGCAAAAGTGAGCAGCTTCCAGGAGCCCTCTCGAAGCTGAGGAGGCAAACACAGGCAAGTCCTGGTCACAGGGACCAGAGCACGACAGAGACGCCGCGAGCCAGGGCACCCCAGCAGCTCACGCTCCGCGCCCGGCTTGTGCCCGTGCGGGCCTACCTAGGGTGTCCCCCATCGTGGCCATGGTCCTGGATTCCACATCCACGTTGTTGCTCAGGTTGGACAAAACCATAGCGAGATGCGGCCTCCAGTCCCCCCACTTCTCGTCGCCACAGCACTGCGCCAGGGAGAGCAGGACCAAGTGAGCCCTCAGCCCCGCGGCCTCCACCCCTAGGCCCCCCACCCCGCAGCCCGCTGACCGTGGAGGCGGCTGGCATCCGGCCCGACATCAGCTGGTACACGGTCTGTAGCGGGTCGTTGATTGGAAGGCTGTTGGCGAACCTAGGCGGACACAAGGAGGAAAAGCTTTGCCTCTGGTTTAAAAGACAAACAAAAAGGAAAACAAAACAAGTCCGTCTGATCTCAGCCCCTTTAACGAACTCAACGCAAGACCTTGGCAAGGCGCACAGGCGCTCTTGAGGTGAGCAGAGCGGAGCCTGAGGGCCCGGAGGTGGCAGCCAACATGGTGCAGTGACAGGGCATCTGTTGGGCCTCAGCAGCACGAGCCCGGGAGGAAGCCGCAGAGCCAACAGCCGCCTGCGTTCCCGACCAGCCACAGGGGTGCTTGTGGCCGAGGACGGCAGCGCACCTGGTCATGACTCTGGCGTGGGTCCGGCTATCCATCTTGCTTGCAAGTAACAAAGCGTGACCCCACAAGGCGTTCTTCATCGCAGACTCTAACGCGTCCTGCAAAGCGAGTTCACAGTTACGGAAGGCAAAGGCCCAGAGGCCGAGTCAGCAGAAGCGACGGCGCCACCCAGGCAGGGAGGGAAGCTCAGGTCAGGAAAAGCAAGCGCGGGTCCCCAGCACACCCACTCGGTGTTCAGGGCTGAGGGACACCAGACACGCTGCTCCCGGGGGTCATGCGGCGCCCACTGTCATCACCCCTGCAGCACCCAAAGTGAGCTCCAGTCAAAGCCAGGGGCAGACGGAGGATCCACCACCATGGTCTGTCCCCCCCGGACGTGGACTGGCCAGCTCCAAGCGGCCAAGAGGCCTCCATGAGTACCTTCTCAACACAGGGCGAGCCTAATCAACACAGCCTCCCCTTTATCCAAAATAAACTGGGTCTGGGCCTCCCTGGTGGCACCGGGGCTAAAGACGGCGCTATCAAGCTATCACCAGCCAGCAGCACGTGTTCGATCCCCAGCCGGCCGGGGAGCTACCCACATGGCGCAGCAGACCTCTCCTGTCTCCCCGCTGCGCCCCTCAGCAGTGTGTTTCAGTAGATCCGACTGTTCTGCTCCCCACTCTGTCTCTGGGGAATCCTCTCCCTCCTGTGCCTCTGGCCTACACCCCAGTTCTTGTAGCATAAATAAATCAATCTTTAAAAATAAAAAAACAAAATAAAGTGGAACTGACTCAGAACTTCTGATGAGGAGGCAAATGTGTCGCAACCATGGCAGATGCACGCTAAGCCCAGAGGCGTGCTCCAGCAACCCCGCGTGTTACGGTGCTGCTTTACCCCACAGGCCGTACGAGGACCAAGAGCCATGGCCTATCTGAACCCCTGCTGCAGCCCCGGGGTGCTCAGAGCCCCCAGCCTGCCACGCTGTTCGAGCACGGGCTCCAGGCGGCCACCCCAGACGCGTGCGATCGTCACACGACCCAGAACCGAACCTGCGTCTCCAACGCGGGCGCCATCTAGCAGAAGACGGCCGCCGCCCTGAGGGAGGCTCGGGCCGGCGCCCAGCCACGAGGGGGAATCTACCTTCTTGCGGCCATACAGCAGCAGCTCCCGGAACCGCTCGGTCTCCTTCTCGTCGCTGCTGGCGGGGGCCGCCTGACTGCCGGTGAGGAAGGACAGCTGGGCCTCCCCGGACTCCTCCTCCTCCACCTGCTCCACCGCCTCGTTCGTGAAGTCAATCAGGTTGGCCTCATCGGGCGATTTCCCGGGAAGCCACACTGTCCGGTGGTCCCGTAACAGCAGCTCAGCGATGTCTGTTCCCACCACGGTCTGCGAGGGTCGGGGGCACAGGAGGGGGTACAAAGGCTCGAGTACGTGTGGACAGGCCCACAGGGCAGCAAGACACCCACAACTGGGAGAGGAGGACCCCAAAGAATCTCCTTGGCTGGGCGGCCTGCACTCAGCAGCCCGGGCCCTGAGCCACACTCCCTCCACTCCCCACTGCAGAGGCTGCCGGGACTCTTCACAGGGAGCCCCAGGAGCGCTGCTACCCACACACTAGCTGCCGACGGGCCGCCCGGCCCTCCCGGACAGAGGACCCCACGACCGCGGGCAAATGAGACAGGCCGCTCCAGCAGACAGCGGCCATGGCCCGCGGCCGCCAGCTCATACCCTCACGCCGTGAGGCCTGGGGCGAGTGACCTCCCCTCTCTGGGCCTTGCGTCCCCACTGGGGAGACACAGACACTTACCCCGTTCTGTCTGCATAAGAGAACAATAAAATTCCAAAGAAGACTTGCAGACTCTTTGTCAATTAAATTGTCGTTCTGCAAACATTTTGTAGCTTTATTCTGGGCAAAATTAATAACATCCACTTTATGGGTGTCATCTCTGTAAAAAGAACACGCACTCGGTGAGGGGCGCAGCGGCGTCTGCAGCCCAGCCCGGCTTCCAGCAGGTGTGGGGAGAGTGTCCCCGGCACGTACCGGCCCAGGGGCCCTGGGAACGCGAGCATCTCCTCCTGCTCCGGCGTGTGCTGCAGCAGCGTCTGGGGAGAGACAGGGTGCTCAGCTGGCAGAGGCGCTCACTTGGGAATGCAGGCAGGTGTGTCTCCCGCAGACACTGCCAGACTTGACTTTACAGGTGAGATCCACTTCTCCCCCCAAGCCAAGCCCCCTACCTGGGACAGGTGGGGGCAGCTCCCACTGGCCCCATGGGTCTGCACTGCCCACCCCTCCCCACCCGGGCACAAGATCCCCTCTGTCCAGTAGCCAGACCACCAGTAGTGATGGTGACCAGGCTCCTCCCCTCAAAACCAGAAATGCAAATGCGGGAAAGGCACATACGGTGGATTCACCCTGACACCTAAGCAGCCCGTAAAACCGGCTTCAGGGAGGAGAGCGAAGACCCAACAAAATCGACAAGCTACAGATGAGGCCCACAGGAGCCCATGCTCCAGGCTGTGTCTCCAGAGGGCGCCGCGCGAGTTGCAGGCGTGGGGTGAGCCACCCAGGCTGGCGCGGGAGCTGGTACCTCCATGCTGTGGACCTCCACCAGTGCCGGCTGTCCTTCTGAGGGCAGGTTGGGGATCACCTTGATGAGCTGACCCCCGGGCCCAAATCTGGCGCAGAGGTGAGGCACCGAGAACTTCTCAGGAGAAGTTGGTCTCGAGGGCACTGAGGCGAAATCAAGCAGAAGAGAACCTGTGAGCTGGCCCTCTGGGGTTCACACTGCCGCGAAGGCTGGGCCCTCCGGGGCGGAAAGTAGAGGGCGGGAGTGCCAGGAGCTGACGTTCCCTGAAGCCAGCCATGGCCGAACACCTGCCGACAGTGGCGCCTGTGCGAGCCGGCCGGGGGCTGAGCTGCCCAGATGACCATTCTCTGCTAACGCCAAGAAGCCCCAAGCGCCCCTGCAAGGTGGGGGCTGCCCGGGGGCCGCACTCGCCTGCACGTGCCTCCACCCACCAACCTCAGACCCAGGGTCACAGAGCAGGACACCTGGCACCAGGCAGACCTCCAGCCAAAAGGGTGCTTTTGGGGACCCTGCTGTTTATGCTGCAGAGCTTTGCACAAGTTTGGCACATCTGATCAAACATGTCCCCGGGGAGTTAAGGCCTGGCCTGAGTTTCCAGGGAAATGGGGCATTTGTCCCCAAGACCACTGCCCTGTGTGGTCAGCATGGGGACAGCAGGAGGCCCGCCCTACAACTTGGCAGTGAGCCTGTTCTCAGCGCCACAGGGGACGGATGGATGGGGGGGGGGCAGGCTCTAGGCCCAGAGCCTAACCAGCTGCAGCCAGAGGAAGGGCATAGCCCCTCGTGATGCGCGCAGTCCGCCAGGACAGATGTGGGGAGCAGAGGATGCGGCTGGCCACCCCCGTCCTCCCCACGGCCACCTCCGAGGCGCACCTTGCTCCATGGCGGGCCAGTTGGCGTCGGCGCCGTAGCCGTACTCCGGGAAGCCCTGGGCACTGCCGAAGTTGCCCCTGTACGCGCCGTAGGGGTAATCGCCGTGGAAGGAGCCTGGCGGAGCCGGGGCCTCGTAGGCGCTGGCCGACACGTGGTGGCTCCTGTAAACCTGGCTCTTAGGGACACACAGCGACCAGGAGTGAGCGGCGTGCAGCGACTCGGGTCCGCCCCGCCACGGGTGGCGCCTACCTGCTGGGAGTGCGAGCTGAAGCTGCTGCGGCGGCTGTGCAGGCTGGCCGCGCTGTGCAGGCTCTGCGCCGAGTGCTCGCTGTGCACGCTGCGCCTGTCCGCCTCCTCGCCATAGGGGTCCCTGCGCGGCTCGGGGTCGTCGTCGAAGCTCCCGGCGAAGCGAGGGTCATACCGCCAGTGGTCGTCGCCCTTTTCAGGCCTGGGGCAAGGAGGTGCATGGAGGGCCTCCGGGGTGAGGCCCCTCCGCATGCCCCCCGTCAGTGTCCCGGCTCTCCCTCCCCTCTAAACCGGAAGGCCACGCTCCCTCCTCCTCAGACCCCAGCCAGGGCCCACCGGAGCCAAGCCCGTGGTCCAAGCCCGCCCCTCCACCTTACCGTGGAGAAACAGGCCGCAAGCTCTCCCCAGGCGCAGGCGGGCCGCTCCCGGACACAGAGAAGAGCCCGGCCCGGCGCCGTGCGGGCCGCGCCCCACCCTGGGGGAAACGCTGGCGGCAGGCTCAGCCTCCCCTCTCGAAGGCCCCGCGGCGCCCGCGGCCCGCGGCCCGCCAGAACCACACTGACTGCAGGGCAGGGTAAGCTCAAAGGTGGGGGCGCCACCCACCTGTCGCCGTGGGCGTAGCTCTCCCTCCTGTAGAGGTCGTACTCGGCGTCGCACCAGTACCGCTGGTCGTAAGCGCGGGGGTCTCTGAGTCTGGCGCCGTAGTGGTACCGGTCCCAGCGACCCAGATCTGGAAGCGGGACAGCAGGGGGTGACAGGACAGGCAGAGGACCACGGCCCTCCGTCCCGTGCTGCAGGCAGGATGCCGGCCCAAGCCAGGGACACGGCAGGGCTCCCTCGCCACAGGCCAGGGTGCCCCTGGGTGCTAAGCCGTGAGACGCAGGAGGCCCAGCGGGCTGGCCTGTCGGTGACCTTAATGCCTGGCAGCCGTGCTGTTCCTGCTCCGTGCCCGCAACCAGAAGAAACCAACCGAGCACGCCCTGGCTGACCGGTGCCCGCTCCTGACTCTAACCGTCCGCGTCAACGCTGCGGGTCGTGTCTGTCTCCTCTCTCCAGGGCGGTCCGGAAAGTTTTTAGAAATACTCTCAAAATGGAAAGGCCGTTTCAGAAAGGCACGATGATGACATAAATGAACTGAACGGACCGTTTTGGGCCAGCGTGTGCAAGGATTTGAAAATCGCACAGACGTAACAGAGAATAGGCCTGTGAGCAGCAGCAGGCCGGCAGGGACAACCGAGGGGCCGCAGCCTCGGGGAACATGGACACACCACAGTGACCAGCAGGACACCTGGGGGACCGGCTGCCGAGAGGGCGCGGCTGGCGCGCCACCACAGAGGACGGCCTCACTTCACAAACGTCCCTCGGTGGACACAGGTGGGCGGCCCTAGAGCTAGAGCGCGGGGCCTGGGCACAGGGGAGGAAGCCACCGGGTGACAGGCGCCCGCACTGCTTCGTGAAGACTGGCCGCGTGATCATTGCCCGACACCCTTATCTTCAACTACTTCAGACCTCAGACAGAAACAGAGACACCAACCAAGAAGAGGCGCCCCCGCCACCCCGCACGCACCTCCGTAGTCATACTGGCCGGGGTAGTAGTGGCTGTAGTAGTCGCTCCAGGTACTCTGGGAGGCGTAGTAGCCCTCAGGGTGCTCGCGCCTGCAGGACACACGGGCCGTCAGCGCCTGCCCGCACCCAGCCCACCCCGAGCAACGGGTCCTGGCGGAGCTGCACGGGCCGTGGAAAACCCGTGTGAGATCCAGAGAGGAACAGAGACGAGACCAGAGACGAGACTAGGAACACCCCCCGCCTGGTGGCGCGGGCACCGCTCTTCAGCAACCATGCAGAGGCTGCACGGCCTGGGCCTGGCCCTTTGTGCCCAGCGCAGGGCGCTATTAAAGTCCAGGCTGACGTCAGGCTCCCGCTTCTGGGGCAGCCCACCCAGCAGGCACACAGCAGAGGCGTCAAAACCCAGCCCTGTCGCCCCAAGGCCCGCACGGACCACGGCAGTGGTGAGGGGAGGGCAGGTCAGGCCCTGGGAGCCCAGGCGGCACCACCTGTGACCACGGCTGGGCTCCCTCTTGCCCCAGAAGCGGCACGAGCAACCTGAGGACCCGCCTCAGACCTCTGGGAAGGGCGTCATGGCACGTGTCCCCAACAGCTAGCTTGGACGATGCTCGGCTTTGAAAACGTGACTCTGCTCGTGCTCTGGCAGGGGTGTCTCACCTGAGCCCGGGACCTGGCTCACAGAGCTCCTGGAGTGAGGCGGGGCGCTGAGTGCAAGGAGCACGCCCCCGTCCCAGCACTCACACCCGCTGGCCTTCGAGGCCTGAGAGGAGTCGCCAAGACTGCATGAACCCTCGGGGGCGCCAGAAACACCACGTGACTCAGCGCAAAGCTGCCATGCCCCTCCCTGACTGCCCAGAGATGGTCCCCAAGGGAAAGGTCTGCGCGGGGATGGGAGCAGAGAGCAGGCTGCAACGCCGCCGGCGTGAGCCTGCGCGTATGCTCCCGAAGGCGGCCACTCCCAGGCTGCCAGACGAAGACCGGTGTGGACACATCAGACCCGAGGCCAGAGGGGTGACGAGTCTCTCCAGTGTAACCTGACCCGGCGCTGGCCAGGGGCCCCGGGCCCTGCTCACTCGCCGGCCTTGACACACGCCGCGCTCACCCGCCGACAGAGGGAGAACTGGACGGGCGGGCAAGCAGGGCCCTCCTCCCTTTCCCTTGCCACTGGGGGTTCTGAAACACCTGCTCTGCTCCCACCAAATCAAATGCTCCTTCCCAGGCGCCGTTACGAAACACACCTGAGCGGGCGGGCCTGAGCTGCTTAAACTCTTACTCGGCTGCAGGCCTGATGCCAGGGCGCGGCCAAAGCCTGCTCTGGACCGGCTCCTGAGGCGTGCGTGGTGAGTGCAGGCGGGCACAGCGGGACAGAGGTATCTGGGGCCGTCAGGCACAGAAGGCAGCGCTGGCTGGCTCTGCGTCCTTACCCAAGCCTGGCATGCCTGTGGCAGGCCAGGCCAGCCTCCCTGAGCACAGGTAAAAGGCTGCCAGTGTCAGGTGCTGGACATGCGGTCAGCAAACTGCCGGAGGCATGTGCGTGGGTCTCCCTCAGCGATGGGACACAGGCCTGATCCGGGAGGAGCCTGGCCCGGCCCGGTGCTCAGTTCCCTTGGAAAAACCAGCCCGCAAACAGCGCACATGGCCACAACACGCCCGCCGCCCAGTCCCGGCTCTTTCAGCCCCACTCTCCCCCAACCGCAAGGGGCACCCCACTCAGTGACGCGAGGGACACAGGGCCCACCTGGCAGGCGGCTGGTCCGAGCAGTGGCTGGCGCGGGAGCTGGGCCGCTCCGGCTCAGGGTGGCGGTAGAGCTGGGCGTAGGCGGACGCCGCGCTGTCATAGGGCCTGTATCGAGGCTCGCACAGGCCATAGGCGTCCTGCTGGAAGAAGGGTCCGTGCACTGTCAGCCCCACGCAGAGCCCACGCATCAGGTCCTGCACCGCCCCGGCTGCCAGCACTCCGGGAGGGCGCAGGTGGCCCCGCCGCTGTTCCCGGCGCCTGAGAAGCCGGAGCTTCACCTTGGCAGTGCACGTGGTGGCGTCCCAAACCTCACTTGTGTCCCTTCTGGGACGTTCTTATCCTGAAGGGAGGAGGTAAAAGGCCGGCTTCCTGCTGCTTCTCAAGTTGGCTTTTGCAGCCATGTCTGCCCAGGCAGGACCTGGCCCTGCAGAACCCACGGGTGTGGCAAGAAGGGCTTTTCCTTCACATGAGCTGGGGGCGCCACGCAAGGAGAAACCACGCAGGTGGTATGTACCACCCAAGGCATGGCCACGTGGGGTGAGCTCCCAGGAGCTGGCCGTGCTGTGGGAGCAGCCAGATGGCATTCTGAAGGGCCTGCTGCCGGATGGCATTCTGAAGGCCCCGAGACCACGGGGCATCTGGGTCAACCAGCGGGATCCACCAGGCAGCACAGAGCAGGAAAGGCCCTGGACAGCATCCACATGCCCCAGCGCAACCCACCTGGTAATAGAGGGTCCCCACGCCAGGGTCTGGCGGGTACGGCGTGGGGTACGGGGGCTGGTAGCCATCATACAGCGGCCTGTAGTAGTAGTAGTCGGGAGGCAGCGGCTGTGGCCAGGGCTGGTCCGACCGCGCGGCTGCCTGGCTGGAGCTGGTGGACACCACCGACGCGCTGGAGGATCGCGGTGGCCGAGGCGGCAGCTGCTGGCCCGAGTCGGCCGGGGCCCGACTCGCTGGTGGCTGGGCTGAGCTGAGGGACTGTGCCGGCGCGGGCGGGCTTCCTGCACTCGAAGATTCTGGGAATGTGGCCTGGGGCCCCTGCTGGGTGCCCTCTAGGCCCTGCTGGTCCTGAGCGTCTTTAGTCACCTGTTGGTAGAAAGGGTCTGGGTTATGGCCTCTGGGCCCAGAGTGCCTAGGCTGGCCGGCCACGGCGTGCCGACAAGAAGCTGGGCCGTCAGGATGGGATGGGCTACACATTCTGACGGGGCTCTCCGGACTCCTACGCGCTGTGACGTCTGGGGCTCCTGAAGCCTCCTCCCGGGTACCGGAGGGGTCGGCCTGCGGCGCGCCAGGCGCCGAGGTGTTGCTGGCGGGCGGGGCTACCACCACGCCTGTGCTCCCAGCAAGCCTGTGAACCAGCTCGGGAAGAATGTTCTCTGCCTTGGGAAGCTTTTGGCTTTCTGGAGGCAAGTTCCTTGGAGCTGGATGAGATGGCGGCTGAACCAGCAAACTGGCAGGTTGACTAGAAACCATTTCACAAGTACCAGAGACTTGGGGAAAGTTACTCTGGGCAGAATTGGACAGAGGCAAGCAGAGGAGAGAGCCAGACGGAATCCCAGACAGAGGCGCGCCTTCTCCAGAGTCACCCCCGCCGGCCCGGCTGCCCAGGGCGGCCTTCTCCCCCGCCACAGCCTCTTTCCAGGGCCGACTCTTCTCAGAGGGGCTCGACGAGGACACAGAGAAAGGAACAGGCCGAGTCAGGCTGCAGCTCTGATCGGGCTGGGCGCGCAGAGACTCCACGGGTGGGGAGGCTAAGACACCGGCATGGCCGGAACTTGCCTGCGGTGGGAGGGGCTCCTCCTCTCCCAGTTTGGGGGGGTTCTCCAGATTCTCAGAAGCACCGATGGCCTCCCCGCTCTGCAGTGGGGTCACGGAAGCCGGCGGGCAGGGCGGCTGAGTGGGGGCGCCCCCGTCTGGAGGCTGCGTCACTCCAGAGGGCTGGGCCCTGGCAGGCACGCGAAGCGCAGGAGCAGCAGGGGCAAGGAGCACGTTGCCCCCGAAGTCCGGCAGCTCGCTCTGGGCCCACAGCGTCGTCGCGGGGCTCTCGCACTTCACGGGCCCCTGCGCCCTGGCCGAGGGCTTTTTCTCAGGGGCTGGAAGCAGGGTGTCCAGGGGCAGGCCCCCAGTGCGCAGGGGCCCAGGGCCAGCCTCTGCGGGAGTGGGCCGAGGGCACGGTGTGGGTGGGAGGAGGGTCTCCATGTTGTCCGGGGGCTGCTCCAGGTTGCCGGGGGAGGAGTCGGGGAGAGCGTCCGCTCTGTGCTGCCTCTGGTGGGCATGGGCGCCCCTCACCTCCCCCACCACGTTGGCGCGGTCTGCCTCGACGGGTTTCACCCCAACTAAGTGGGATTTCACTGGCTCAAAAGAACTATTTGCACTTGTCTGAAACACCCCTGTGGGTTTTGGGGGGCTCGGGGTTGACGGCTGAGAAAGGGTGCCCCGGCGGTTCTGGCTCACAGCAGTCTCCTCCGCCTCACCTCCGAGAGGAGAGGAATCGATCTGCTGGAAGAATCCCCCCAAGGCCTCCTCCTCAGGCCTCCCGACTTCCTGCTGAATGAAGGTGCCCCCCAGGTCCTGGGGTCTGGCCACGCCAGGAAGGCTCCCGCGGCTCCTGCCGTAGCTGGACGAGCCGCTCTCAGACCGCGGGGGGCCGGGCCCTGGGTCCGGGGCCTCTAGGTTGGGGCCCCCGCCTGCTGCGAGGCCCCCTGCACCGAGCCGGGGGGCAGCTGGCCCGTATCTGAGCTGATCGCTGGGGGAAAGGTCCAAACCGAGGGGCTCACTTGGCAGGACTTCCTGGTTCTGCACAAATTCCAGGTTCTCCATGTTCTCAAACTGCGCAGGGCTGGCCCCGGGAGGCCCGGCCCCCGCCCGCGGGTCCACGGCAGCGCCTGCACTGGCCTGCTGCTCTCGCGGGGTGCCCGCTGCCCACGGGAGGAAAGGCTGCACTTGCCTTCCCTGCGGCGCGGCCTCGCTGCCGGAACCCCTGGGAGGGGCGTGAGCTGGGGGGTGGCCGGGCCCAGTGCTGGGGGAGAAGGCGTCCGGGTCAGGCGGCCCCGCTGAGCCTGCTCTTCCAGATGAGAGGTTCTCCTCATTTTCCGTCTCTCCGCCTTGGAAAAACATGGAGAGGGCTCCTGAGTCTGCCTCTGGCGGGGCCCGGGCGGCCCCTAGCCCAAGGGGGGCGTGCAGATGGCTTTCGGGGCCGCTCCCCTGGGTGGGGGGATGGCCAGGAAGAGGGGCCAGGAACTGCTCTTTATTCGCTCCTGGGTTAGGCCTCGCCTCCTGCGCTGCCCAGCTGGTCCCAGCTCTGGGCTTCTGCCTGAAGGCGAGCTCGGGCTCCGAGCCAGGGGCGGGTTGGTCCCCCCGGTGCAGGTAGACGGCCTCGGCCCCGCCCTCAGCGGCCAAGGGTCCTGGCAACGACACCATCGGGTTGTGGCGCTCGTGGCTGGGACCCTGGCGAGGGAGGGCCGGGGCAGGGAAGTGGGGAATGCCAGAGGCCCGGGGCGCCGTGTTCGGGACCGATCCCTCGGGGCAGGGCCAGTAATGCTGACCTGAGGGCGGGGGCCCGCCCTGCACTGGCCCCCACTGCCCTGGCCCTTGCTGGAGAGGTTGTGGAAAGAAAGTGGAGCCCGCGGGTGCCATGGTGCCGTCGTGCGGGGCTGGCCGGCTCAGGGGTCCGTCGGGCCCAGGCACGCCCCCGGGGGGATGGCCCCCCAGAGGAACACCAGCCCCCGCTCCCGGAATGTACTGAGGAAGATGTGGCAGAGCCTGAACTTCAGCTTCCGAGCTGGGTGCAACCTCGGTGCTCTGGTTCATCTCGGGCCCAGGGGCCAAGCAGCTGTGGAAGGGGCCGGCCCCTGGCCCGGGCTGCGACTGGGCACGCTCCCCGGCGCTGGCCTGCGGCATGGGTGGGCCCGGGCGCTGAAGAAGTGGCGATGGGGCCGGGCCTGTCAAAATCGGGGGGCTGCTTTTTGACGGCCCTCCAGGCGAGGGGTTCTGGAGCGCCTGCCTGCTAAACGCAAAGGGGTCCGTGACGGGTGGCAGCGGGCAGGCGAGGGACGCCACTGGGGCGCTGCTGGGCGCCTGTCTCCTGTAGGGGCTGTTAGACCAGAACAAGCTCTGAGGCTTCCCGGCGGGAGGGGGCCCCACCAAGCCCGAGGGGACTGCCTGGGGCGGCGGCTGCATGACTGGTGGCTCGCACAACCAGGTGTTTCTTACGGCAACAAGCAGGATAGAGGTTTTCCTTGACTTGAACTGAAAAGAAACAGAAAAAAGTTAGTGTAAGATCTATAGGTTCAAGGTCCCAGTTGTAATCAGAAAATCTAGAAAAGATCGAATGTGATCTCTCATCAAGTAAATCCTGAGAGGTGCACTGCCCCCACCCCAACTTCCCACCCCACAAGACAAGCAGCGTTCCTGCTCCGGGAGGGCGGGCAGTACAGGAAATGACAGCAACTAGCAAGTGGGCTCTGCCTTGAGCGAGCAGAGCGACTTCCAGCAGGCAGTGCCCTGCGCAGGCCTTCAGGCTCCCCACCCAGCTGAGCTCCCGCACGCCTGCCGCAGGCAGGGCCAGGGTGGGACCGAACCACCAGCCTGACGGTCTGGCAGTGCAGAGTTCCCTGCGAGTCTCCTGTAAATTAACATCAAGTCCAGAAAGAGCCAACCGTTCTGTTAAGACAGAAAAGCCACACATTAAACTCTTCATACACCTCAATTTTAAATCTCAAAAGGCAGGCAGGTTTCACATCTGCTCCTCCACTTCCTCTACGCGCACAGGGAGGACAGAGCAACGCAGGCTGCGGAACAACACATGGGGTCTCTCCGTCTAACCTGCCTTTGCCCCACGTGTAAAATGCCTCTGGTTCACACCTTAACCTGCTGCACTCCGCTGCCAGAGCCTAACTATGCCTGGAAGAAAATCCAAGTAAATCAACAACTTTTTAAACACCGACCAATAGGGCCTCCCTGGTGGCACAGGATTAAATCTCAGTGCTATCAAGCTATCGCCAGATCCTCGGCCAGGGAGTGACCCACATGGCACGGCAGACCTCTCCTGTCTCTTGCTGCTCCCCTCAGCAGTATTTCAGTAGCCTGTTCTGCTCCCCACTCTGTCTCTGGAGAGGATCTTCTCCCCGCCCCCTGCACTCTGGCCTGCACCCCAGCTCTTGTACGCATAAATAAATATTTTAAAGAAATAACCAATTAAAAAAAATGACCAATAAGTTGACTAAAAAGCCAACTGACCTTTCAGAAAAAACAGAAGGGGCCCTGCTTTTTAATAAGACGCAGCAAGTAAATCCTTAAGGCGAAAACCCAAGCGCTGTCTGTCCACCAAGTCCCCTCTCGTCTTCCAGCCTCCTCCCAAGCACACCTTCACAGGGCGCGCTGGCCACCCAAGGGGGCAGGACTCAGAGCAGGGCAAGCACAGCCTCGTCCTTATCTTTGTGAAACGGGCACCAGAACTCTGCGAGAAAGAGGGGCTTCTGCCGGCGAAGGTCCAGCAGGGGACCCTCCAAGCACTCTGAGAGGCTCTGGGAAGAAATGAGAGCGCACAGGCCGAGAGGACGCATTCTGGGGGGACGGAGGGCGGAGGCGGGCATGCCCCTTCCTTCGGCAGCTCAGCTTCCCCTCCATGAAACGAGAGATCACCACGGAGATTGCTGAGGCCCCGTCCAGGTATCATCTTACAGACTTCCTACCCACAACAGTCCTGAGACGGGCTAACCCGCGCTGCCAGGGAGCAGGGAAACTGTATCAGAACAGACATTTCACAGGTTGACACCTGAACGTTTTTCTTGTACAAACTTAAAATTATTTTCTCAGCTCCTGGACTAAGAGCCGTTTATAACAAACACTACCTTTTCCCCATAAAGCAGCATCTCCTGGTCTCTCCTCCAACAGACCCATTTCATTTGGAACAGTCTTGCGACACGAACCTTATTCTTTTGATCTTTTTCTCTATTTCACCGCAGAAAAACAATGCAAATGCATAGCATTTACCTCATGACCATGGATAATTTTATTCTGACCAGAAAGTCATTCTGTAGTCTCAAGCCACCTAACTTTAAAAAAGGCAGACTGTTTCAAAGAGACCAGCTGATCTTAACGATGCATCACTTGCAAACTGAGCTCTTTCTTAAACTGCCCTGGGTCGAGCTCAGAGTTAACCGTGATCTGTTTTCAATACGCGCTTCTGGCTGCTGACCTGAGACGCCCCACGCACACAGCACACCGGCTCTCCTCCAGGGGCCGCGGCCTCCAGCATGTAACAGGAGAGCCAAGGAGCACCTGTGAGTCTACCTCTGCCTACGATGTCGCTCCCGGCGCTGCCAGAGGACGTCCCGGTCAGAGACACTGTAAACCCCAACTTCCCCAAGTACAGGATCAAACATGCTCACAGACGGTAAAGATAAAGAAGGGGGGAGAGGGGTCAAAACACTGCACAGAACGCCAGACACCCTGCCACTCAGGAAAGATGCTCAGAGAAGCAAGGAGGAGTCACTAGCGCTTACACACTGCCCTGAAGAAGACCCTCGGCAGGGTTCTGGGACAGCCACTAGAGGTAAATGTGTCGTGAGGAACAAGAAAGAAGGTCCTCTGCCTCTCGGCTCACCCTGTAAGGTAAGGGCAGCACTTAGAACCCTAAAACGGGGCCACACAGGGCAAGGGGCCAAAATTGGCAGCAGGCAGCTTGTGCTGACACTGCGGGGGGGGGGGAGGGGGTGTCTCCCGGGTCTCACACTGGGAAAAACTATCTGCGAAGAGTTTGCTTCTAGCTCTCAAGGTAACACCTGCACCGGATGAAATTAAAGCAGAAACTCAGAACCCTGAGGCTGGGGGAACCAAACAGAACCTCGGCAAGCAATCTCCAAGCCACTCCGTGCTTTTGGGTGAAGCAGCAAAAGCTGATTTTAGGAGCTGTGCAGGCCGGCGCTCCACTGGGAGGCTCCATCACAAAGGGCACACTGCCCACGCAGTCCCCACCCTGGGCAGGAAACACAGCCTCCGCCTCCCTTGCAACACCTTGGTCACCTTGCCACGAAGTGACCAATGGCCACAACGCTGCGCCTGGGTCCAAATGCACACATCTCGCCACCAGCAGGGCCAGAACTCTTCCAACCAACCAGGGCGGCACCGCCTCGGGCTTGTGGATGCGAAGGACACCCCGAAATGCTGAGACCCCTCCCTGAGGGTTCCACTCTTCAAAGAGTTGCAGGTCTGGCTCCTCTTACCCGCCCACACCGGGGCCAGCCCGGCCTGACAGAGGCCGCCCGGGTCCACGTCAGCCTGGCCCGCGGCTCCGGCCGCCGCGCGGTGGGCCGCCCCCCGGCCGGGATGGGCCCCGCCGTCCCGGAGACAGCCCTCCGCTCCCGGCCGGCGCGGCCCAGCCGCCTGCCCTCTGCCCCGACCCCGGCCCTCCGCCCGCCTGGGCCCTCACCGCGCGCCGCAGGGAGAAAGGCCGGCGCCGGCTCCCGCCCGGCCGCTCCGCGACCCCGGGCGCCCTCCCCTCAGCAAACGCGGGCGAAAGCCGGCCGGGCGGTGGCAAAGAGCGCAGACGCGACCGCCGCAGCAGCCATCTTGGCACATCCGGCTCCGGTCGCCCCGGCTGCCGCGTAGCCGACGTGTCCGGCTGCGACGTCAGCGCGCGCCACGCCCGCCGGCCCCGCCCGGAGAGCCCGTCCCGAGACCCCGCCCCTCTCAGCTGCTCTCGCGACCCTCGACCCCGCACCTCGACCCCGCCCGGCCCCGCCCCCACCGACGTCCCGCCCCTTTGGCCCCGCCCAGTCGGCGCCCCGCCCCCGACACCCCTCGCCCCGCCCCTGGCCCTGCCCCTCGCCCCGCCCCTCGCCCACCTGCCGCCCGGCCGCGCGGGGCTGCCCGGGGTGCCCGGCCGGGCCGGGGCGTCTCCGCGTCTTTTCTCGCTCGGGACGGCAAGGAGTCGGGATTCTCAGTGCCCCCCAGGGGCAGGGCGGCCTTGCGAGACCGCCGCCAGCAGCGCGCCCGGCGAGAGCGGGACGCGGCCGGGCCCGGGCCCCGAGCGGCGCCCTGACGCAGGCGCGCCCGTCGCATTCTTCCGTTGGCCGCGACGGCGGGCCGGCGCGCCGCCCTGCGCACGCGCCCACCGCCGTTCCCGGTTGCCTGGCAACGGCCGTTGGCGCCGGCGTTCGGCGCCGCCGGGGGCGTGGGCCTCTCTCCGCGCCGGGGGGCGTCCGCGCCCTCCTCGGTGTCCCTCGGGCGCCGCCCGCTCCCCTCCACGCCGGGCGCGGGCGCCGTCTCGGCTCGCGGCCCCCTGCGTGCCCGGGGACGGCGGCCGGGCCTCGACCCGGGTCCGCCCCGGGTGGGCGCGCGACCCCCCCCCCCCCCCGCCCCGCGGGCCGGCGGCCCCCCGGAGAGCCTGGGGAGGGGCGCCCGCGTGCGCGTCCGGCTCTGCCCCGCAGGTGAGGCCGCGGCCAGCCCGGCCCACCCCCGCTCACCTGCCCGGCCAGGACGGCGCCCCGGCTGCCCAGCCGAGCCGAGCCCCAGGGGCTGCCGCGCGGGCGAGGGCGCCCAGGGGGCGGCGGGGCCCAGGGAAAGGAGGGCGGGCCGGGCCCTCTGCCTGCCGCTGGCCGGGCCCGCCACGCTGTCAGGGCGCGGCCGGCTCGGACAGGCCGCCCATCCGACGCGGCCGCCCCGCGGGGCTGACATTGGGGAGGGGACACGGGTGCAGCGCAGCCCGGGCCTGCGCCCCCACCTCGTCTTCCTGGTGGTCCCCGACGGGCCTCGACATGGAAGTCATAGTCGACCCTCCCCAAAGAGGGGGCAGCAGAGGCGAGGAAGTCCCGCGCATCTAGCCTCGGGCTTGCCTCCCTTCCTCTCAGTTGAGTTCAGAGAGCCCAGGAGCCGGGCCTTGGCCTACAGGTCCTGAGGATCCCTCTGCTGGGCCCTGGTGGGCTGGGGGGGCCGTGAACTGTGGACACCAGCCTGCCCTCTGGGCCAGGCAGCACTGTCTTGCCTCCCACTGGGGTCTGGAAGGCAGAGTCGGGCCTGCCTGGCCACAGGCTGCTCTGGGCACCCTCTCTCCCTCCCCTCCTGCCTGTGGCACCTCGAGGGCCATAGTCCAGTGTGCAGTACAGGCTCTGGGCCACGGGGCCAGGGTTCTGAGCGCCAGGCCCTCTGACGAAGGCCCGCTGCCACCTGGCTGCTCGTGCTCCTCAGCCCCATGCCCCCCTGAGCGTCAGGTCCTCGTCTTAAAGCTGGAGGTAAGCGTGTCCTCCTGGGGTTCAAGCAGGGTGAGAGCACCTATGCCATTTGGAGACAGGAACAGGGTGCTGTTAATACACGGCTGGGACCACAGGGCAAGAACGGGGTGCACATGGCAGAGCTGCACGTGGGGGCCTGCAGGACACACGGGCCCAACCAGAACGTGGCCCTCCCCACAGCATCGCACCTGTCGATTAGGCTTCCTTCCCCAGGCCCCCTCGGCTACCCCCTCTCTAGGGACACCCGAGAGATGTCACCCACTCCCAAGCCTCCCTCAGAGGGCTAGAGTCAGCCACTCTGCTGGGGCAGCATCATGGTCCCATGCCCAGCCCTTTGGCTACAGCTGTGCCCCCGTTTCCTGGTGCACACAGGACATGGCTGGGCGCTTCCGGACGCTGGCCCAGGCCATACGGGGAGCCCAGGGCCAGGGCCTGGCCTCACACGCTTGGCAGGGCGGGGGACGGGGGTTGGGGGGGCAGGGGGGGTGCTGAGCAGGGCTGAGAGGGGAGCGCACAGCTGAGCCACGACTGGGGTATTGCCAGCCTTTTTCTTCCATGTTTGAAGTGATATTTTGGACCTACTGGGTGAAATAAACTTTCTATTAAGTACAGCGTTTTAACAGTGTGTTTCTTGACAGTGCAGCTACTAGGAGTTGAACTCCATGTGCCTGGCCTTCTGTTGGGGTGGACGGTGGCGGTGCAGACGCCCACACCCCGCGGGAAGGGTTGGGGACGCCCCAGCAGGGCCTGCACCTCCTGGACTGTGGAGCTGGCTTGTTCCCAGTGCCCCACCCCGCTCCTCTGAGGAGCCCTGGGGTGCAGGGGGCCAGGTCGGCTGGTCCCTCACACCCCCTGAGTATAAAGTCCGTCACTGAGTATGATGTGGAACATTGGTAAGGCAGCTGCTTTGTGTGTGTGCACCCCACCCAGCTTGGCCTCGAGAGAGGAAGGGGCAGCTTCCGGAAGATACAGCGCATGGAGTAGTCCAGCAAAATGAGCGTTAGGGCCTCAGAGGTGGGAAGAGCTGGACTGAAGGTCTTCCTGGATGGGAGGACTGAGTGGTTGGAGAGGAAGTGGCAGACGTCTGCGCCATTGCGAGAAAGCAGGTGCAAAGGCCGGGATGTTCTCTGGGCCCTGGGCCCTGCCGGTGAGGGCGTCTGTGGGTGTGCAATCAGATCAGGTGTGAGGAGGTGTGTACAGCCCGGGGTTAGAAGTGTTCCCCCCAGCAGAGCTGCCCCAGGGCCCTGGGTGGAGGGGAGCAATCTACATGCAGGCCAAGTGCCGAGGGGCTGGGCCCGAGAAACGCCCCCAGGCCGCCCTTTCTTCACACGAGCCAGTATGGTGTACCTGGGGTCTCCTGAGTGTTCACTGAGCCGGGTCCTGAGGCAGTGAGGTGATGCGTGGCGGGGACGGAGCAGGCAGTACGTGCAGACGCCCACCGCACACCCACACGGCCCGGGAGAAGCAGGCATGGCCCCGGGCAGGCGCAGGCCCCAGGCCAGCCCGACACCCTCCCCAAGACAGCGGATGCCGGTGCTGCCCCACGGGCCCTGCACCACTGCGGCTGGGGCGTGGCGGGCCCGGGCCGCCATCCTTGAGGGAGCGTGGGCACTGCAGCGCAGACCACCTGCTGGGGTGCGGGGTGGAGGCAGAATGCCAACGAGGGCTCCAGCTGAAGCAAATGAAATTTCCATGGTGGGGGGGCAGGAGGTGGGCGGGGCCGGCGAGGTGGTGAGGGCGCTGCGGGCCCAGCTGCCGGGACTCTGGCGCCTGATCCTGAGAGTGGGCGAGGTCCTGGGGGCCTGTTCCGTCACGGCCTCGTGGGTTGGTCTCCCCGGCTCTCTGGCCAGGCACGGGGAAAGCTGAGAGCCCAGCGGCGGCCTGGGGCCCCCCGAAGTCGCAGTGGGCGGCGGGGACCAGCACACTGGGGAGAGCTGAGTCCCGAAGGCCCTCGGGGCAGGACATAGCTCTCCTTGCCCGTGGTGTCCCCGGGGCTGGCACAGCAGCTCGGGGTCGGGCAGCACAGGCGGCGAGCCCTGACGCGGCAGTGGACTCAGAGGCGGGGGCTGTGAACTGGGCAGAGGAAGGGCCGGGCGGAGGCGGGAGGCTCCCGGCACCCACAGGCTGCCAAGTGCCAGGCTGGCCGCAGCACTAATTCCTGACAGTGTGACCTTGGCAAGTCCCTCCCTGGGCACCAGTTTCCAGTTTGAAAAGTGATGGGCTGGGCGACAGGCTTTAGGGGCCCTCTGGGTCGACCCAGGGGAGGTGACCCCTCAAACTCTTGGAGAACATGGACCAGGGTTCTCACGCAGTGGGTGAACCAGCGAAGTCTCCTTCCTCTTTGAGCCTCAGTTCTGCGTCTGAACACCCGGGGAATAACACTGGGGGGGTGTGGCCGCGAGCACTCCCTGGGGCCAGACCTGGCCGACCCCAGCCTCGCCTGCTGGAGCAAGGGGGGGGGGCACGACACACAC